AGGTAAGGTGTCTCGGACGACGAACATTATAGTAAAAATCACTTGTAGGCTAAACCTATTACATACACCTAATAGTTTTATCAATTTATTCTCTAATATATAAGAAACGAAACGATACTCTTTATTAAGATAATTTAACAATTTTTTTATCAATAACTTTAAATGGAAGAATTCAATTGAAAATCTCGTAATCGAATATGAGATAAAAATTTCCTAGATCTAATTGAGAATTTGCATATATGAGTTTTTTTTCTTTATCTTTTTTTTCTTTTTTCTTTTTAGCACATAGAGATAATTTCACTATAGATACATAAATTTTTTTAAAAATCTCAATCGAGTATGTGAATTTTAATTTTTTCATATGAGTCTATCATTTTTTTCAAAATTACAAATCAAACACTTTTGTTAATTTTTTTTTAATTGATGACATGTCCATCGTTCTAGAATATCAAATTATAATCTTGCTCTCTTTGTAAGAAAAGTTTCCTCCAATAAAAAAAATTATAATTTAGCATTCTGGGAGTAACAAATACTTTATCAAGTATGAAAAAACTAAAAAAAGTACTTATTTGAAAGTTTTAAAAAAGTCGATGCATTCAAATAAAAAAATTAAAGTCCACGTATTCGATTAAAAGAAAAAAAAAGAAATTTATAATTTGGTATTATAGGAGTAACAAACACATCATAATGTAACAGAAAAATTAACAAACATATTTGATTAAAAATTTTGAAAAAGTCAATGTATTTAAAGGGAAAAAATAAAATCTATATATTTGATTGAGAAGAAAAATAAAAATTAGTGCAGTTACAGCGTATTTATTCTGTAGCATATATGAGGTTTAGCCAGCAATAAAATGAGAAACACGGGATATTTGTGTCCTGGGCATTTTTTTTCTTGTACTTGAAAGTGTGGTCCCTGCCAGGAAAGCTAAAGCTTAACTGCCATGTGGGGTGGTAGCTTGGAGGCCAGGATATGCTAGTGAAATGAGCTATCACCTCTCTTTGTACCATTAAATGCAATGTCAGCCACGACTGTCTTCGATTTTAATCAACCGCGACCATCAATAGTGATCCAATTTTAACAATTAATGACAGCTAATAAAATCTCCTAACTTGTGTGTTGACAAGTATAAAACAATTTTTCGTGTAAGTGAAATAAAATTGTAGCAATATATTGCTATAAAAGGTTGATCTCTTGGATGATTTGGAATCACGTTCACAATATTAAAAGGTTTCAAACTTTAATTTCGTGCCACGATATGCAGAGTTTTTTAAAACGAAGGAAGAAATGTTTTGCAGAATCATTGGTGCGACAACCTGGATTCTCGAACTAATTAAACACTTTTGTAGCACAACATTGGTTTTACCAACCCGTGGTTATAACTCCTATGTAAATAATACAAAGTTTTTAATGCACAATATTCAACGATTTTATACGCGAAAGCTTATAACATATAAATAATAACTAATATCATATACGATAATTACTTCATAAATCTACTTTGAAAAGAGAGATAGACAGCAGAGAGAGAGAGAGAGAAACATGAGAGAAAATAAAAAAATTTGAGCAGACGAAATCTTCTTTTTACTTTTGATAAATATGGATATAATTTTTTTTCTTTTAGCTGTCTCTCCTCAAAATAAATCTATGAAATAAATATTATATATATCATTAATTATTTTTATGTATTATAAAATTTCTCATTTTATACGAACAAAAGATACATTGATTGTTGCTTTTCAACCTTTCATGCGAACACCCCTTTTGTTTTCTAGCTAGTCATGAGCTCTTAGCCACTTCCGCTTGCTTGTAACAAAAAAACAACTGCATTCATGGATTCCATATGGGTATACCTACCTCCTCGTGTATGTACGAGGAGTTTTAATTATTTAATTTTATCAATTAAATACAAAAAGGTTACCATAGGACCAAGTATCAGTTTTATTTCATTTAATTATTCCCATAAGACAAGTCGGAGTTTTGAACACCGATTAATTTAGTTTTTTTTAAATAATAAAATAAAAAATTTATCTAGCGACTAATTTGTTTATCACGGGACTTATAACTTGATAGTTGGATACTGATTAATTAATTAAGCATCGTGGAACTGCATGATTATGGACCAATTAACAATCAATGGATTAAACAATTTTTTTAAACAATGTAGTACACAGAAACATGTGAGATCATGTTCGTGAACATGTTCAATTCGTACCCGTGATCTTAAGCAAATCAGCCTGCAAATAGTTCTCCAGCTTAATTAAAGAAGTGGAAAGCTATCTTTTTTTTTTTTGGATTGGTAATTCAGGATATCCGGATCAATTTGTATGCATTGCGACTAATTTTTGGAGCTCACTGAACACCCTACAAGTCTAAAAACATGTAATGCATCATGAGGATAACATGCATGTGCAGAAATAATCGAATCTAGATAATACTTAGAGGATAAGCTCTCGTTACGTTAGACTAAGAAACTCAAGCGCACCATCTCTACTTTCTTTCGTTGTATATACGTATCCACCACATTGTCAATTTTCACTGCTCGATAATCAGAAAAACAGTAGTTTTTTCTCTCTCGTTTTTTCTACCTCGACATGATCTAAGCACGTGAATCCAAATCTAGACGACATGAAAATGGCCAAAATAAAAAGGGCAAATACATGAATTCACTCACCAAAAGAAAGGTGAGATGCGCAGAGTAGATCGATCAATGAAAGCATCACTCCAGCTTTCCACTGAAGAAAATCAATTCAATGACATGTCGAAGAACTGATCATTGTTACCCATCTAAGAAAAAGTTGCTATAACAGGAATGCAAATTCTTGTAAAATGAACCAGCACCCATCACTTACGTTGATGGGCTATCTTAATGTCTCTGTTATCCCACTTTTACGCCACTGATCAATCTCACCTAATCGAACCTCTTAGGATTTTATATTTTCACTGATAACGCCTCAAATTTTCTTTTCAAAGCAAGTGAGTGCATTACGTTCAAGATTCCAAGTTTTTTCATGTACTACATAACCTTTCCATTCTTCCAAACTAATAACGGTGATGATGGTTCTATCTGTAAATCAATAAATAACGGTGATGATAGTGATAATATAGCAACCGTACAACAATTTCATAGCGGGAAGATGGAAATGGTGGTGTGGATATTTTCAAAGTACATATACATGCAGTTTTTTACTTTTCTTTTCTTTTGATAATGGATATAACTTTTATTCTCAGGTATCGTTGCTTACCAAAAATAAAAAATTTAGAATAAAAATATAAAAATTAGAAAATTAAAATGATATTGTATTTGAAATATCAATAAAAAATCAAAATAAAATTTAAATTTTTTAATATTTGATTTTTAAAATAATTAAAAAGGATTTCTTTCAATTACAATGGTAGCTAAAATCATGGAGGTGATTGCAATAATTGTGATAATAGAGGAGGAGGAAAAGGTAGTCATAGTGGTATGTAGTAATAGTATTAATATATTTTAAAAAAATCATACCACCACCTTATGAGATAGTAATGAAAAAAGAATAGAAATGGTTGCGGTGTAATAAAAATAGTGGTAGTAGTAGAAAAATAATGATAATTGAATAATAATAATAATTTTTTTGAATTTTTTTACCACCACTATCAATGGAGGTGGTGGTGGTGGTGATGATGGTAAAAATTATTGATACATAATAAATAAAAATAATATATTTTTATTTTGAAAAAAAACTTATTTTTGTTTATTGTCTTCATTCCCCCTCTCCGTTTATGATTTTTATTTTTATTTTCATTCTTTATTCTTATTTTTATTTCATTTTTTCAACCAAAACACCTATAAAGTAGAAATAAAACTTCTATTTTTATTATCACAATTTCATTTATTTTTACCAAACAAGACCTTATTATTATAATAGCAGTAAATACTTTTTTTCTCTTTTTTTTACAAAATTTTGAATGATTATTTTTAGATTTAATCATAACTAAGTCACTTTACTTTAGTAAAATTAATTAATTAGTCCGTATGTTTTATAAACTATATGTTGGATCTTTATGTTTTAAATTTATTTACAGATCAGTCATTTCATTATTTTCGTGTTATTTTTCAATTAATATTTTTATTTTTAAAAAATAGAATAAAGGAAGGAAAAATAAGTAAGATAAGAAATTTTGATCAGAAAAAAGGTATTTTGAGGAAAAACTACTGCATGAAAGAGGTCAAAGCTGATCACTTGACAATTTTTTTATTTTACAAAGAATAATTAATTAATTTCAATAAATTATAGGGATTAAACTATAATTTATTTTTTCTTAATAGAAAATGAAAATTTTACCAAGTTGTAGTCGCGAAAGAGTTTTCCATTTTTTTTTTTTGACATTGATAAGCCTAGTTATTTTCCAATCAAAGACCGGATTAATTTTACTCATCACAAGCAGTTAAGGGTTACATTTTTTACCCGTTATTAACTGTATACATTTTGGATTCAAATGACGACTTAGATCATAATAAATATAATTTTATTAATTGTTTAGTTACTATATAATTGGATTAAAAAATTAAATTTAATTTCAATGCAAGAAAGCTGGTTTGAGATAAACCACAAAGTGACACCTTGTTGGTAATTAAGTATTACTTTGTAGGTCAAGTTCGTGATTTAATTATTGTCGTCAATATTTTTAAAAATTTATTTTCGAACACTCTAAATCATGCGTTGAAGAATGTTTTTTTTAGCTACTCTAAAAAAAAATTAGTTTTAAAGTATATGAAAATTAGATCGAAAACATCCTTACTACTGAAAAAAAAAAAAAAACTGTTTTGAGATACTATGGACAGTAAAACTAAAAAAATGTTAAATTGCTTAACCAGTAAAAGTAATTATGTTCAATAGTTACGAAGTTACATCCAATCACGCTCTAATAAAGATCTTATTCAAAGGCATTTGATCTTTCGCCAGCTTACCCTTTTATTTTTTTCACCCACTGACGTTAGAGTTTGAGAGAGCGAGAGTCACGGGCTACAAAGCGGAAACAAAGTTTGTTGGTTAGTCGTTTCCGTTTCTTTCTTTTTTCGCTCCTGACTTTTAGGTAGATGACGAGCCTCGACATTTTGCTGTCTGGTTTGGATCGCTTTTAGATCTGCCACGGTGCCACCCTCGAAAGGGAATGAACCCACTAGAGTCCATTCACCAACTGGGAAGGTGCCCTACATAATTAAACAGCAATGAGTGCTCCCAATTGCACCTAGATTAATATTCGAGTTTTGATTATATCTGTACCTTTTAATACTAGAAAAAAGTATTAGAACGCTAAATTGCCCACGCCGTCGGCAACGATGAAGATATTATATATTTTTTTGAATTTAGGATATTTTAGATAAAAAAATCCAAGTTAATCCATTGTTCAATCCAACGTGTTAAGTAAAAATAAATATTTAAAAAAATTTTCTGCATATAAAAAAAAATTAAAACGAAAATTACTTGTTTAAACGATTAGAACTCTTTTCATTCAAAACAACTCTCTTAGATTTGAAAATATTACATTTGATAATGCTATAAATCATCTAAAAGATAGAAGGCATTGAAATTGTAAAGGTTCAAAACTTATCAAATAACTTATAGCATAGTGATAGTGATTTTTTTATAAAAGATCATGAGTTAAATCTTAATAAATTAATTATATTAAAAGCTTTAAATGTATGCGTTAGCGTAGGAGTTAAAAAAAAAAAAGGGAAACAATGGTTAAAAACTTTATTGTATTATATATCAATTAATTACAGAAAAATGAAAAACAAGTCGGTCATAATTTTTCCTAAGCTTGTAAATTTACCACGATGACTTGGAAAACTTACATTAAAAAAAAAGAAGTTATTTGAATTTATTTGTCCTACTCAATATTCCTCGTACTAATATAGATTCTTTCATCAACAAGTCAGTGACATGTATTCCAAAAACATTAGATAAACAAAAATGAATACAATACGAATTCAGAAAACTGCAAAAGAAATGGTATTCTTTCCTTGCAGTATTGGTGTACGTGGCTGCCACACCATCAATGCAACCCCACTACACCATGCGGACACAGCCTTTAGTGCCTTTCTTTTTCATTTTCCCCTTTTCCATGGCGAGACGACACCGCACACAGTTTAATTATTTGTTCAATGGCAAATTAGTAATTAGCATTAATGTGCTACATTTATTTGATGACTAGATTTCACACTGTTCAAACTTTGGCACGATGTGCTTCCCTCTTGAGACCTTTTCTAGTAGGAGACAGCAAGATATTTGAGGATCATTAGAAAAGTGCTTCCTCCACTATTATTTTCACAGTCGACTGGATATATACTTATAAATCATTATAATTATATTGTTAAATTTTTGTTTACTGAAGAACTCTTTAAATCCTAGAATGCATAGTGAAATATAACATTCTTTTATTAAAAAAAAAAAAAGAAATAAAATTTTTGTGAATGTGTTAATTTGGATATAAATAGTTTGTCTAAAACATGTTTGGAGAAAGAAATCCTGATTCATATAAAGCATTGATAAAAAAAGTATTCTATGACTATTAAAACTAGAAAATGAAGGGAAAAAAATCTATCTCGCAAGAAAGAGAGACGGTAGACTAGAAGAGAACTTGACAGCCGACTGTGCAGTTGTGGTTTATTGTTAAAAAAAAAATTAATTTTTTATATATTAAAATATAAAGATCTAATTCAATAAATCAATGGATAGTGTAATTAAAAATAACAATAAAATAAAATAAATCACAGACTACCAAAAAATAATTTTTAGTTATTAAAGTATAAAGATTTAATTCAAAAAGTAAATGGATAGTCTAATTACAAGAGAACAAAAAAATAAAAAATAAAAAAATGAGTGGATATAATTTTCAAACAAAAAAAAAAAATTAAACTTGAATGAAATTTTAAAAAGAAAAAGAGAAGAATATACTTATATGCATAAGATATAGATATGAATTCTCAAATAAAATTGTACTGAATTGCATTTAAATAAAATTTGCATGATATTGAGGAAATGATATATATAGGTTTTTATTAAGTACATTCCAAATAAACCACGAATATAAATATCTGTATAATTAAGTTGTTTTTAATCAAATATTAACTTGTTATTAATCTAGATATTATCAACCGAAAAAAATATATATCTCATGTGATAGCACATATAAATACTTAGAAGTTTTTTTTTTTTTAAAAAAAAAACTTGAGATTTAACAAATATATATATAGCTCCAAAAATATGAAGAACTTAGAACCTTCAATTTTAAGATTAATATGTACTCATTAAAAATAGTTGAAGAATAATCAGTTATTGGGATACCAAAAAAGAGAGACCAGACTGATTTGTTTTAATTAGTGAATTCGTGATTCAAATTAAAAGATCTTGATTGATTCGTGTGCTTTAAATTTGACATGTTTGATAACCTTTGTATTCACCAACACTTTCATGCACCTAAAGCATGTTTTCGTATGTGTATTATGGACAGTGACTGAAATTAAATAATTAATTTGTTCACATTCGTTTTCAAAGAAAATTGAAAGGGGATATACATCGAGCCAGTAGAATGATACAAACAGGTACCGGCAATAGATTGATTGATTCTCAAACACTCAAGACCACCCAACATACCGGTATGAAATCCTCTGACACCCCAACTTAGTCCTAATAATTTAGAATAGACTCCAAAAGACAAAAAGATAATACACAGGTAATGATATTTTATTTTATTAAATGGTCACAAATCAAAATAAAGGGCCAGGCTCGATAGGAGACAGAGAGCGACTGAGTGAAAAATACATGGCGGACACGTGTGATGGATGGCATGTGCACCCTATCATCTTCTTCTACAATAATGGTCCACATCGGAGTTGCCGGAGAATGGACGTTGAAACTAAAAAGACGCCTTTTTGGCTGGTTTTTTAATAGTTGCTCCTCTTTTATTTGTTGCTTCCTGTTTGACACTAATACCCCTCTCCCTAAACCTTTCCCGTTGGTGAAGTTGCTTTTTTTTTAAACAGTAATTAAGGATGAGAATGGATGCAGGCCTAATACATTAATTTAATTTTTTATCCTATCAATCAAAAGAATATTTAGCCATTACTCTTTAAAAAATCATTATATAAATCTGTATCCATTCCATATCCGAGTAATATTAGTTTATCAATCTATTTAATGTTAATTAAATACTTGATTAAATTTGATTTGTCAAAAATATTTATTCTGGCTCCTATAATTTTTTTTAAAAAATTTTTTACGCTTAAAATTTATTTATTTTTGCATTTTTTGTCATTTATTTATAAGTTTTTTAATTCAAAAAGTTTTCAAAAAAACATTTTGATCCTTATTTTTAAAATTTATGCAATTAAATCCCGATGTTAATAAAAAAAATTAAAAAAATTAGTAGTTATTAATAAGATAAAAAAGGATATTTATACTCTAAAATCATATTAATTGATATGTATTTTTTTTTACCTGCTTCAATATTCATTGGACATTCTAATGAGTATTTATTGAACATGATAAAATGGGTATTTGTTTTATACTCGATTTATTGTCATCCATACTAGTAAGAATGTCTTTGGGTCAATTTTTATATATCATGAGATTAATTTCTTTTAAATGAAATTAAGAGGTATTCTTCGATACACAATATCGGATATTTTGAAAATAAATTTTCAAGAATACAGTTCATAGTGATCAAAACCGAATATCTTGTAAGGATGGGAAAAAACGGTAAGGATGGGAATGGATGGATACCTAGCCCATTGATTTAATTTTTTTCCCTATCAATTAAAAGAATATCTTGTTCATTATTCATTAATAAATTATCATATAAATCTTTAGCCATTTCATACTCAATCATATTAATTTACTCGTCCATTTAATACTAATTAAATACCGGCTAAATTTAATTTGTAAAAAATATTTATTCCGATTCCTATAATTTTTTTAAAAAGGTTTTTTTATCCTTAAAATTTATTTTTTGTATTTTTTTATTTATTTATAATTTTTTTAATTCTCAAAGTTTTCAAAAAAATATTTTGATCCTTAATTTTTAAATTTTATGCAATTAGATCTCGATGTTAATAAAAAAATCTAAATAAATTAGTAGGTATTAATAGAATAAAAAAGGATATCCATATTCTAAAATCATATTAGTTGATATGTATTTTTTTATCTTTACCTATTTTAATAATAATTGAATATTTTTAATGAGTATTTATTGAATAGTATAAAATGAGTATTCGTTTTATATTCAATCTATTGTAGGAATAGAAATATCTTTGGCTCAGTTTTCATATATTACAAGATTTTTGTTTTAATTGTGATTAAATGGCATTCTTCAATACATAATATCAAATTCAAGACTACAATTTATAATGATAAACCCGAATCTAGCACATAAACCGAGGCTTGCTTACTTATCAAAAGAAAGAATTGTTAATTTAAATGGAAGACTTAGCTGAGGATTGTTTTTTTTTTTTTAAATGACTCTTCTAACCTTATTGAAAAAAACAAACGCATCCTCTGGCCTTTATTGCGAAGACAACTGCCAGCTGGAGCTCGAGTAATTTACCGATCGAAACACTCAACAGTCAACTCATCTGTTCCATTCACCTCCGTTGTGTCAAAAAGCAGAGTGGACCTTCTTGTAATATAAGATTCTCAACGAGGGCATTTATGTACGTGAAAAAACTCCACTACCCAACTCCTTCGCTATTGCCTAGTAACTTAGATTAGCTAGCCTGGCGTGCTTGTAGTGTGGTGCGTGTGTGTGTTTGGCTTCACTTGAAGCCAAAGAGTTTGTCTGCGTGCACTCAATACTCACAACCTCACAAGACAAACAACACCGATACTCTGAGCTATTGAGACATTGACACGCAGAGAGAAAACTTCCTCCTTCCCTTCTGTGCTCAAAAAAGTCCAAAATTTATTCACAGAGGAGGAAGAAGAAGAAAGAGCTCGTCTCTTTTTTCTCTTTTCCGCAAAGCAATGCCTGTGATTTCCAGAATTCAATGCTTTCTTTCTTCTTCTCTTTGATTTTCACATTTCACTAAAATAACAAGCGTTTGCATGAAGAAGGTGAGTTTTTCCACGAGCATTTTTATTGTTTTTTATTTTTATTATTATTTACAGTGCTTCTTCAAAGAATAAATTTCTGTTTTTCGCAATTTAATTTTGAAGCTTCGCTTTCTCTTGCAGGCTTTGAATTTCTGTTGAAGTTATTTTTTATTTGCAAAAAAAAAAAAAAAAGAATTCGAGAAAAGGTTAGTCAATGAAGATTTGAACATTCTTTCTCAAAAAAAAAAAAAGAAATTGACGTGTTATTGATTTTTTTTTAATGAATATTTTAAGCTTCATTTCCTTTCTACTTCCTTTGAAAAGGGAGTCAAGAAGCGTTATGTATAATATTGCTCTTTTTTTTTTTTTCCCTTTTCTTTATCTTTATTTATTTATAATTATTATTTCTGCTTAATTTTTGGGCAGTTGAAACGGTCAGTTGCACCGTTACTCTTAGCTTTTGGAGATCCTGAACGGTTATGTTGTTTGTTTCTGAAATTGAAGATCCAGTGAAGAAGTCTAGCATTTGATCTTGATCCGGCTCGAAACCGGAAACTCTGTGTACAGAAAACCTTTGGAATTAAAGTCTGCATTATATTTAGCAATGCAAGTGGCGGAACTTACTGCCATATTGAAGAAGTTTGAATAGAAGAGGTAAAATGATTTGATAATTAGCTTAATTTCACTACATTGTCTGCATTTTGCCATGAAAATTTTCATTCTAAAGTTCTGTTTTGTTGCTTTGGTTTTGTAATTTTTGGCAAGTAACTCCAGTTTGATAAAATCTTGAAATCGAAAAAAGAAGAAGAAAAGAAGGAGATTAATGCGACTTTTTTTACAAGCATAATTAGATTTAGGTTGGTTGACAGGTGAAAATGACATTATAGAAGCATTTCTCGGAGGTTGATTTCATTGGCTACGTTTTCTCATTAAAATTTTCAAGTAAAGTTTAGTTTAGTGTTTTTTTTTTTTAAGTAATAATAAATTTAAATTTTGGAAAAAATGGAATCAAAAGAAACAATTTTTGCAGCTTCAATTCGGTAATAATGATGTTGAAAAAAAATTTGTGGTCAAGTAGCTTCAATTTGGTAACTGTTTTGCATAATATCTAGAGTAAGATTTAAAGAAAATATTCATAAAAAAAAAAAAAAATTTGAAAGGAAAATATTTGTAGTGATCATAGTGACTTTTTGTACAGGTAGGGTAGGATTTAGGTAGCTTTGAGTTGTAAAAATGGCAACATGGGAGAATGTTGGGGAGGTGGCAAATGTGGTCCAGCTGACGGGCCTTGATGCAGTGCGGTTAATAGCCATGATAGGTAAAGCTGCAAGTACGGCACGGATGCACAAGAAGAATTGCAGGCAGTTTGCACAGCATTTGAAGTTGATTGGGAACTTATTGGAGCAGTTAAAGATCTCGGAGCTGAAGAAGTATCCAGAAACACGGGAGCCATTGGAGCAGCTTGAAGATGCTTTGAGGAGAAGTTATCTTTTGGTCAATAGCTGTCAGGATAGGAGCTATCTTTACTTGCTTGCAATGGGGTGGAACATTGTTTATCAATTTAGAAAAGCACAGAATGAGATTGATCGGTACTTGCGGCTTGTTCCTCTCATTACCCTGGTGGACAATTCTCGAGTCCGGGTATCATTTATTGTTCTTAATTCTTGTTTTGCTGTTGTTTTCCATATTGCTGTGATATTTGTAATTGTCTCCATCTTTCGTTGCTTTGATTATATGCCTGATTTCCTTTTGCTATAACTAGAAAAGAGATTTGTGTGTATCAATCCTGAGTGTAAAATTGAAAAGTACGGTGTGGAAATTCCAAATGTCTATATATTCTTTGATCTCCTTGGTTAAATATTTGCGTCTAACCTTTAATGATGGGAGACTGAACTGAGGAAACTTGCTTATTCTTTTCTACGAGGCCTGTTTGTGAGCATCAGACGAGCCTTATAGCTCTGCTAATCAATTGATGTCTTTTGTTCTCATCTTCCCTGTGCATGAATTTCTGGTTCACTGCATCCTGTATTTCTAAAACATAAGCCAATAATTTGTTGCAAGTGGAGGGCATATTGGAACATTGATAGCTTCAAAATTTGGCATATCTGTTTTGTAGAGATGACAATTAGAAATGAAATACATGGTGTTGTGCTAGTGTTTTCTTGTAAGCTGCCTTGCAATGAATAGTTTAACGATTTTCTGTGGGTATGCATGTGTCTCTGTCTGTGTGTGAGTGATTCAGAGAGTGGGATTGGATTTCCACAAAATGGTTCCACTAGCACGTGAGGGAGTCTTTGAATAGAAAATGTAAGGACCTTGTTGAAACTTAATTGGCATGTAGCTTTCCTGTCTAACTCTGTTTTGACTGATCCAACCAACACCTCTCCCCCACCAATCATAGGCGCACACAATGCTTAAATTCTCTCTCTCTCTCTCTCTCTCTCCCATACACACACACACACACAAAAAGGCAGCAACTGCATTTATTCTTTACTTTCCCCAGAGTTGATGATAGTCTGCTGTCTCCTATCCATATAGGAATGGGTTTAATATTGTCATTTGCTTAATGTTGCAAGTTCCTTTATAAAAACAAGCTTTAAACCATGTAACCTCATCTAAGTTAACTAATTTTTTGTTCACTCTTATGCAGGAGAGACTGGAAGATATTGAAAGGGATCAACGTGAGTACACATTCGATGAAGAGGACAGAAAGGTGCAAGATGTGATTCTGCAACAAGATTGCTCAAGAGAACACACCACAATGTTGAAAAAGACTCTCTCTTGTTCCTACCCAAACATGTGTTTTAATGAAGCTCTAAGACAGGAAAGTGAGAAGCTCCAACTTGAACTACAAAGATCGCAAGCTCATTTGGATGTGAACCAATGTGAAGTAATTCAACGCTTGATTGACGTCGCAGAAGCTGCTGCTGCAAATTCTGTTCCAGAGAAGAGTTCATCAACAAAACGTTCTAAGAAACTGGAGCCTACAAAGTCAGATGCTAGTGAGAAAAAACCCTCATTTGATGACAGCTATCCTACAAAAAGTGATTCTCACAAAACTTCAAGGTTAGATATCCTTTAAAATTTATGTTTGTGGAGTTTGGATGAAATTATTGTTTGCATATAGTTCATGCATTAATGTGCAGTCCCAACCTCCATGCATAAACCAAAAACATAATCGAAGTGTGTGGAGGTGGTTTTTGATTGGACTTCTCACTTGCAAAAGGCTAATTTGATTTGAATTGATATTTACGATAGCTCCATTTTAACAAGCTTTGTGCATTTTTTCTATAGGGATTTGCATATGTTGGTTTAATAGAATAGGTTCATTTTGATTGGAACATGTGAATTAATACCATAAAAATGCCGTTTCTAAAGATGCTGAAATTTATACCAATTCAAGACTGACACCCTTTATGCTTTCCAAGCCAATTGAATTCTCTAATTTCTCTAAAATCCTGAAAGATTAGCAATAATAAGCAGTAAATACCAAAAAGCAGTATAGTTTCGTTATATATATATATATATATACATGTTTCTCTTCTTGCCATGGTATTTCCTAGGTGATTGTTTCCGGGCTATACAAAATGTATATCCTTCACACTTTCTGTAAACCAAGGATAGTTCAGAGAGTTTGACGGCAATGGCATACTTTACTGTGCAGAAACACTTCCTCAGTTTCATCGAGAGATGATCTGTTGTCAAGTAGAGGTTCACATCGGCATGAAGAATGGCATACTGATTTACTTGGATGCTGTTCAGAACCATCTCTGTGTAAGTCTTATTAGGCGCTTTGTTTTCTTTGTTCTCTGCTAGTGAGTTTTATGCAGTAGTAAATCAACAATATGCTATCCTCTTCTTTCCTTCTCGTTTTTCATGTAATATTTTCCTCATGCTGTCTTCCCCTCTTTTACTTTGCATATCCATATCAATGCAGTCCAATAATTCCATGCTAGCAAAATCAATCTCTTTACTATATGTTAACTTCTGCATAAGCAGATAAATTGCAACTAACTTCTTGCTTATTTAATTTCTGTCCTTATGTTTACTGCAATGTTATATTCAAAATTTCTTCCTTCCCTTTACTTGAACTAATCACCAAAAATGAAGAAAAAATAACTCAAAATTTTATATCTTGATTGTTGTTGATGGTGAAAACTAGTTCTGGTTTTGTACAACTGTAAGTATTAAAGACATGTAATATATGTGCGCGTGTCATTCATGTTTTGGGATCTAGGTTGCATCTCAAATCTTTCAATTGCACTTATTTCATTCTTCTGGACTATATTTTCTCTTGTACTTTTTTTCTGAAGTGGTCTCAAAGAAATGATTATTAAAATGACCAAGCTTGATAGTTGCAACCGAAGGACCTTGTATATTTATTTTCTTACAAGAATCCTTTTCAATTTCAGGTTTAAAGACATTATTCTATCCTTGTGGTACGTTCGCGAAGATTGCTACTGTGGCAACTAACCGGCAAATGTGTAAGTGGTGTAATTTTGTAGTCAGGACCCTGTTCCATTTGTCAAGTTGTAGTATTCAGGATCATAGTTTTAGAAAAATGTTACTGGTTTTTTGGAGAAACACAAAAGATGGCCTATCAAGTGATTTGAGTGGAGACTTTTTGGGTAGATTAACAGAGAGTTGAATTTCCCTACTCTCTTCTTTTGCTGGAGGGTTCTGCAGAACTGCCTCCATGTTAACTTATTCCATAGTTGTTATGACTTGTGAACAAAACTCCAAAGTTTTTTCAAAACTTTTGCCTCTAACTCAATTTTAAGGGGGAGTTTACAAAGACCGTCTCTTGGAGCTAATGCTCTTGATGTCGATTTTATAGCCTTTGTATTTTATGTGATACTTGGTTTTAATGGAAGAAAATGTGATCCAATATTATGATGAAGCTTGTGGACTTGCAGGCATGAAGATATGTTGCAATATTACAAAGTAGCCTGGAGGTTTATAGATTTAAATCACTTGATGAAAATTTAGGCTTTGAAGGTCACATATGAAATGTTTTCCCTTTTCTTCTTCTATCAACTTCAATTGCAAATCTACAGAAAACTTTAAATTCTAGATAATTATTTTGAAAGTGTTTCAAAGCTTATCTGGAAAATTTTATTTTCATGATTATCAGCCTCAGCAGAAGCATGTAATGAATTGATGGCATATTCATTGATATTGTCGTGTTGCTGTTATACTTGTTGCATTAGAAGGAAGCTTCGCAAAACGTTGAATATCACGGTAATTCCTACCTTCTTCTGTATGGTTATGATATTTTTCTTTTGGCACCCTATAGATTTCAGAAATAGGCACAGAGTAATGAACATGTCCTTTATTTGTGTTTTGTGAAATAATAGTGTGAAATACAAGGCCTTTGTTCTAAATTCTAATTGTAGTTCCTGGTACTGCACATATTTTTAAGGGAATACTCTTATGACTATAGCTAAATGGTTTTAAACTGTCCAATTGGAAAGTTTATCAATCCTTCACATGCACCTGAAATCATCTGCATGCAAATAATTTGCTAATACTCCATCAACAGCCGATGTCTTGCAATCTTCTATGTGTGAGTGGGTCTATCAAAATCAGAGGATGAGTATCGAATTCATGATCTCCGGTTCTTCCCGCTTAACTGCCAGTTTTAATCTCGAAATTTAGACTTGTTTTCCTAATAAGTTGCCCCTTCTGTTGCCAACTTCTTTGGCAGGGAGGGTTTATTGATGATTTCCTCTCGCATTTGATGTGTTGTTGCTGTGCCCTTGTACAAGAATGGCGAGAAGTGGAGATTCGTGGGGTTTATGGTATGTCCACTTAAGAATCTCTCTTATTGAACTTCAATTAATAGGATATACAACTAATCCTCGGGAATGGTGCTTGTATAATGTTTGTTACTAAATCTACTTTTGAAGGTCCTGAGAAGACAAAAACGAGCCCGCCACCGTCACAGTTCATGGAATCTTAAGAGATAATCTGAAAGATTATTTAGTCGTTGATTGGACATTAATATACCTTCACGGTCTGGTAATATAGGCAACGCCGCATTGCTGCCATCATATGGAACTTGTTTGGGACCGCATTGTGCCACTGAGTGTCATCCAGTATGTTGAGTTACCCATATCTGTAAAGTAGCTTTCATTGCTTACCATATCCACACGTGATGTATCATAAGCTATATATATTTTAACTGATATATAGTTTTGTTTGTGTCAATTGGTTGGATCTGTCTGTCTTGTTTCACTAGCCATTGGTTGGAAATGAATGGAGCAACGATTTCTTAGCGTGTTGCACACGATTAACTTCAATAATGCTAGATTCTTCCTTAACCTCACATGAGAGCATGGATAGAGCCATTTTTTCTGTGGGGTTTTTTTTTTAATTTTATGTCTTAATATTATCCTTGCAGGCTTGCATCTCTTTCATGACGATCCTCATAATTGCTTGGAGATACCAATTGTAAGTTTTAGATCGGAAAATTGAGTAAACTTTTCTGCCATTGGTATTGAAGATTTTTTTTTTTTTTTTTACCTTATTCCCTTTTGGTAAGGTGTGAAAATTCAAAAACATGTTTCTTGGTCCCACGTGCTATTTGGAGACCGAGAAAATTGCACAGTAAAGGAAAACTCTCTACAAAGTAAATTTGTTTGTTCTCATTTACTGGAATAAGAGGAAATTTCTTGGCACAAAAGAAAAATTGATTTCAAGAATATGTTAATTAGTCTCGTTAATCAAGACTTGCCAGTCATTAATGTTACGCATTAAAGTACTAACTACCAATAAAATGGTCTTGCAAATGATTATTATTAATAGAGATGCGCCAGGCCGGTTTGTACTAATTAGATTAATGGCTTTAAACGAACCTCTACTTTTGATACTTTTACAATTTTGGTTTCTGGCTAATTTTTTAAGCAAAAGCGACAAATAACAAAAAATTTGATATGGATAATGTCAGGTCAGATACAATTATCACGTGACAAAAAATTGAAAAATAAAATAAGAAATCCAAAATTTTAGTTGTAAATAATAAGAAACAAAATATATAAAAGCACAGAATGCTCCTCTCCTCTACCAGGATAATATAATATGTTCTAATATTTTAAATAATTCAAAAATTTTTGCGTAAAATAAAAATTAATTAATTCTAATTGTAAAGTTTAGTTTAATGTGTATTATTTAATATGCATATATATATATATTCCATCGTTGAGTTTAAATATGTCATAAGAATATTTTTTATTTTGATCAATAAAAAAGATACAACAAATTTTTTTAAAAAAATCAAATTAGAAGAAAGTGTTAAATTAATTTTGTATTAGCAAGAATGTTTGATTTTAGTTAATAAGTGTATACAGAAAATAAAAAAATTATCCATTAATTATGGAGAAAAAATTATTTTGAGTAAATAATAAGTAGTGAAAAATAAAAACATAATAAAAAAAAAAGTTAGGCTAGGCTCGCACTAGGCCCTTCCATATGGGTCTGGAGATAACCGGTCCATGCGGTTGGGCTTGTAGCGCAGCCCAATAATAAAAAAATACAGAAATCTTTTCGTAACAATAATTAAAATTAAGTATTGATTTTGTATAAAATAAAAATTCAAAAAACTAAAATGTAAAAAACAAGACAAAATGACAGAAAACTTATTTTTTTAATCATTATTTAAAACAACGATCGTTCCAAGCTACATCACATATGAAAAAGAAGTGAATATTTATAATAATAATTCTAATCACATATGAATGGTAAGCAATGTGACATGTTCAACGATGTTGATACGCTTGGGAAAGTTGCTATGTATCGAAAGAATCCAGAAAAGCTAGCACATATTCAATGTTGCAAAATCAGAGTTACAAAAGGCTTCTCAAGCTTACATCATCCTCATCGATCTTCTGCCCAAAGCCTCATCGATCTTCTTTTTGAAGCTTCTTTGTCTTCTTCTTCTTCTGCAAGAAATCTGTCACTGCTAAGCAGACTACTTTTAACCGAATAAGCCACCTCAAGATAGCAACAGTCCATATTTCAAAATCACAACTTCAATCAATCACAATAAAAATCCATTATTTAAATCTGTCATAAAAAGATAACAATGATTATAGACAGAGTAACTCAAGATACATAGCGACTTTCCCAAACGTGTCAACAACGTTGAACATGTCACATTGCTAATAGCGAAAAAATTAACCAAAAAAATATCGAAAAGAAGAATGATAATAACAAAGGGAACATTAATATGAATTTGATAATCCTAACTCAAGATATTCCTGTACATGACAAGAACAAATTTATAATAAGACTTCATAAATTTGTCACTGTTATCTCAGACTCCCATCTATACATTTCATCATAAATTGAAAAAAGTTAGAAGTACCGAGTTTAATTGTCATGTCATTACCTCATATGCTTCATTCGTATCTAGTTTAATTGGCATGTGATGGTTATATTTTAAAAATATATAAATAAATATTGAATTGAATAAAAATAAAAAAATATATGCTAATATGATTTCAGAATATAGATATCTAGTTTTTATCCTATTACTATTCACTAATATATTTTATTTTTTTAAAATATATAGATTTAATTACATAAATTTTAAAAAGTAAAGATCAAAATAATTTTTTCTAAAAACTTTAAGGACCAAAAAATTTATAAAGAAATGACTAAAATATTACAAATTTAATTTTTAAGGATGGAAAAAATTTTTCTTGAAAATTTCATAGATTAAAATGAAATATTTTGATTATTATTTTTAAACGAGTGTTAAATAAAAATAGATATATAAACTAACGTGAACGGAATAAAGATTTGTGCGATGGTTTTTTAATGAATAATAAATAAAGTATTTTCTTTATTTTAATTGAATTAATCGGCCGATACCTTCTTTCTTTTGGAGACGGTTTTATAGACAAAACTTGCATAAGCTGATTGGTCCGTCGGCTCTTTACTTTCGAAATCGGAGTTATCAGCATAGTAGAATACACCTGTTTGCCCACGTGCGAAACCATTTATTTCCCTTCCTACACGTAATCTTTTCTACACATGTCAAAATCCCATTAGTTAGAGCTATACTGTGACCCAATCAGTTTTTGCCACGTGTATAATCCTTTATAGAACTACAAAACCGAAAAGGAAACGACAATTTCATAATCAACGGTGTCGTTTCAGCACAATAAACTAATATATAACTGACTCCAGCCCAATGCATTTTCTCTAACTTTTGCATATACTCTTGTTTTGATTTTTGCTTTGCGGAGAATCGGGAAAAAAGCAGAAGCCACTACAAACTAGCTCCAAAACGATGTCGTCTGGAAGAAAGATAACCCTAAGGAGCAGCGACGGTGAGTCGTTCGAGGTCGACGAAGCCGTAGCTTTGGAGTCGCAAACTATTAAGCATATGATAGAGGACGATTGCGCCGATAACGGAATTCCGTTGCCGAACGTAACAAGCAAGATATTAGCGAAAGTTATCGAGTACTGCAAGAAACACGTCGAAACTCCGAAATCTGAAGATCGTGGAACTAACAGCGGTGATGATGAGCTTAAGACTTGGGATGCTGAGTTTGTCAAAGTTGACCAGGCTACACTTTTTGATCTTATATTGGTAAGTTTTTTTTTTTTTTGTTCAAATTCTTTTATTGTTAGATCTGTTTTCTTTAGTGCGCGGTTGATGTTAATTAATTTGAATCTTGCATTAATCAGGTTTAACTGAAAAACTACCATGACAAGGGAGTAATTAAGGCTCTTAATTGCTAATCTTGTATTTAGTTTTGAATCCCGTATTAATTAGGGTTAGTTATTGTTGATTGTTAATGCATTTTAGTTGTTTTACTTTTGTGTAGGATAAATTTTACTTTTAGGTACTGTAATTAGGTTTTAATTTATTAAGAATCACGTGAAGAAAATTTTTGAATAAAAAATTACAATGACCAGGGTGGACCTTTTACTAAAATTAATCATTTTGTATATGAGTTAATAATGGTTGTAATGGTACGAACTTTTTGCTTCTTGGTGAGTTTTTATTTTAATGTTTTAATTTTGGTTATTGACTTTTACATAGGGGTTGGTAATTGGTACTGCTTGCTTTTGTTGATTTTCTTGGATTGATGATTTTTTTAGGTGCTGGGATTGTGTATCAATTGCTTTTTAGGGATGTCCTCACGAGAGGGGGGGGGTGGGTGGGATTACTGTATTAAAATGTTATTGGATGGGAGATGAATTACACAAGCGGAGATATTGAATTTAATGGAATAAGTTGTTCCTTTGTTTCTTATGTTTATATTCAATATCATCTATGTTTCATTGAAATGTCAATTTTACTTGAATAGTAGTAGTTCGTGTGTGCAAGGAACCATACCTCTCCGAATCAAAATAGTTCAGGGTGGTTCTATCAATGTAACTTTCATGTTTGCATCGAGAATCATTATATTGCCTTGTCTTCTTTTTTGCATCTTTTGTATCTGCAAATCTTGTCTCGCTGTTATACATGGGTGATTGTGACCTTTAGTTTGATACAAACATTAAATGCCCACCTCCCCCAATGTTTTGTAGGTGCTGTGGGACATTAAGGCTAACCGGTATCTTCATAATTCAATTCTATTTTGCAGGCTGCCAACTATTTGAACATCAAAGGCTTGCTGGACTTGACATGCCAGACTGTTGCAGACATGATCAAGGGAAAGACTCCAGAGGAGATTAGGAAGACTTTTAACATCAAGAATGACTTTACACCCGAGGAGGAGGATGAAGTTCGTCGTGAGAACCAGTGGGCATTTGAATGAATCATGTCTGATGTTTTTATTTGATGAAATGTGGTTTTCAATGGCTAATGTATTTTGTGTGTTATCATAGCGTAGACAAGCTTTAATGTTCTGATGACTCCATTTTGAACTGTGGGCACATTGGCTGTAAATAATAGTTGCATTTTGGAAGGGGACTGGTAGTAGTCTCCTGCAATCATCCCCCTACCTGCCGTCATATGTCATTTGTTGCAGACTTGCTGTGATCCGTATTTGTTATATTTGAGACGCCTCCTCGTTATGTCGTTATGCGTTCCTATAATGTTTGATTGTCCCTATAATGTTTAATTGTCCACGTAATTTTCAAGTCTCTTTTTTATCTCTGTTCCTTGATGTACCCAACTGAAGCCTGAAACTTGACTTCGATGGTTTGCAAATTCTTGCTTCTCAATTAGCCAAACTGGTGGTGCATATTAGTTGCAGCTTTAGGTCTTTCTGTATCGTTATATAAATTTTGTATATTCGTATGAAGATATTTGTCGTGCAGCGTGGTCGAGTCCTTGCTTGCGTGCAGCAGGATGTCGTTCCTACTTTTGTTTGAGGCTAGTGTAATGAAATGGGTGCTGTGGGTTGATCTTAGTGTAGAGGAGATTTATATCTGATGCTGTTTCTTTATCATTGATCGCATTGAATGTCTCGGATGGTAGGATTCGGAGGAGGGGTTTGGCTGTATCAAACTTTTAATGTCATTTGACCTGGTGAGCCTTGTTCATACCAATTTGATCATATATCATTCTTGGGCCTGTTTGCTATTTTACGTCTGTTTCTCCATGCTTCAGATTGAAGCCAGAAACATGTAAATCTAAGTTGCATGGCTTCCACTAAAATTAGAGGATCCAAAAACTTGCATCTTAGGTCGTTTTTGTGCAGTTTTGAGATTGTTTATATGAACTATATTCCACACAATCCCATGCTTTCGTATAATGAGTGGGAATGTTGCAGGGGGGCAAGGTCCTACTTGAGCCCTGCAGGTTGTCTTGCCTGCCATTTGATCAAGGCTAGTGTTATATAACAAGACGTTTGAGTAAATTAATATTGGGAATCGAATTGCTGCTTACTCAGTAAGACTGAGAGGAATAGTCTCGGAAATAAGCTTCACCATTCACCACAAAGTGCATTGCCGATTGCAGGCGAGCATCTGAATCCACTTGAGTGACTAAATAGACTTGACGAATTTCCCATCATGTATAGTAAAAAATTTTCTAATGCAATAATGTCACCGTTTTTGTTAACGATACAAAATTTGACTTATTAAATGATAAGCATCCCCCAAAAGAATGGCATCATACCTTGTATTAAACTCGTTAGCCATAGCCGCTGTCTTCTCAACTTTATGCCTTGAGTTGGCATCTCTCATCACTCAAAGCAAGAGTGTATATCATTTCATCCAGTATGTATAAAGAACTGATCCTGCAAAAACTGTATTTGGGAAGCATTGCGCTGCTTAGCTGAGCTCTTACTCCCTATAAAGAATCCATCTATCTTCTTGTTCTGTTAAAACTTACTCCATGAATGTATAGCTGAGGGATACGGTGCCTTCCTTAATCTTTCCTTGCCTGCATTTGACTTAAAAGGCTAAATCCCAGACTGTGTCTCGCTCAGTGGATGCTGTTCTAAACAAGCAAGTCAGAACTGGGTCTCTCAGCTATTTCATCAATCATCATGTTAAGTTCACCAATCCCCTCTGGCAAATGGTTTCCAACTTCATAGTCGTGAACAATTTCTTTCAAGTCCACAAGATTACATCCTGGTTTTCTGCCATTCATCCTTGTTTTCACCATCTCTTTTACCCTAGCAACATCATCCCACCAACCTGCCACAGCATAGACATTCAGTAGCAGCCGGTAATGCAAATAATTCCAAGGTTCCATATCTATCAATGAGTTCGCAATTCTTTCCCCAAAAGCCACATTTCCTCGGAATCGACAAGAATTGAGCAAATTTGCCCAGACCAAGGATTCTGATGACAGATCCTCATCATCCTCCTGTGGGATCCTTAATATATCCTCTGCTTCTTCAGTTAGTCCAGCATCCGCGTAAAGATTAGCCATACACCAATAATGTGCAAAATTGGGCTTTAGACTATGCGTGTAAATCATTTGGCTGAAAAATTTCTTTCCCTCTGTCAACATTCTTGCTCGAGCACAAGCACACAGCACCCCTATGAAAGTAACTTCATCCGGAAGGATAAAGAAATGTTTCACCGAGCCTTTCCAATCCTCCATATCTTTAAATAACGCAAGCCCATCTTCTGGATTCCCATGAAGGCAATGCCCCAAAATCATTGCATTCCAGCAAACCAAATTCCTCTTTTCCACTCTATCAAAAATTCTCTGTGCCATTTCAACCTTATGGCATCTATTATACATATCTATCAACGTAGTCTCAAGAATTACATTCGAGTTCAAAAACTTCTTAACAATAAATCCATGAACTGAACGTCCTTCCTTCAATCTAGCTGACCTACCACAAGCACTAAGCACGCTCACTATAGTCGAATCATTCCCTTTCAATCCATTATTCATCATTTTCCTAAACAGCATTAAGACGCAACCAGGATTATTACCCTTCAAGTACCCACTAATCAAGATATTCCAAGTAACCACGTTTCTGTCACGCATTATCTCAAACAATGCATGAGCATTACCCAATTCACCAACAGTAGCATACCCAACTAAAATCGAATTCCACGACACCAAATCTCTGTTCGACATTTTATCAAAGACCTTCTTAGCTAGCGTCATATCCCCACAACAACCATAACAGTGAATCAATGAATTCTCCACAGGCAATACCCTATCAACCCCATTTTTCAAAGCTTGCCCGTGACACTTTTCTCCTAATTTAACACACCTCACTTTAGCACAACACCCAAAAAGCGAAACAAAAGTGTAACTATTGGGACCGAACCCATTCTTTAACATCTCGAAAAAGAAAAAAGAGCCTTGAAGGGTTCAGAACTGAGCGAATACGCTTTAACAACATTATTGACAACAAAAGTACCCGGCGAATCAATAAATTTAAAGATCAAAATAGTGTAATCAATATCACCAAAATCAGCAAAATGTTTAAGAAGTCTAGGATACCATAAGGAGAAAAGCCCACAAGTGATCAATCGAGCTTGGATTTGGTAAAGATGATTTGGGTTTAGAGCTGAGTATAAAAGTTCAAATCTTGGGTTGTTGTAGTAAGTGATTGGCTTGTCTTTTATAGAAGAGGAATATGAAGATGATAGTGACCAGAGGGAGTTCTGTCTTGGAGTCGGAAGGTAGTGGTGATGGGTGAGAATGGCGTGTCTGAATTTAAAGATGTCTCTTGTTGAAACCCTTGCCATTCATTTGTGAAATTTTGACGTTGTTGATTGTCGATGTTTGAGCCATTAATTCATGTTTTTTGCTCTCCTTAGTTGCTTTAGATTTTGAGTGATTGTTCCTGGCAAGGACATTTTGATTGTTGAGAAAACGACCTGGGACGAAGACCGTAAACGGCGCCGTATCAGAGACCACAACACTGCCTCTCCAAAATTAATGAGTTGTAAATTGATTAAAAGCTTCTATCATCTCTCAACTCTTGATTTTGTACAAGTTTTATTTCCAAACATTTAGTCAGCAACCCTTATTCTATATTTACATGTTTCCAAATTCATTTTTATTTAATTTTTCTTTTTCTTGTTTTTTCTTCTACTTCCTATGAAATAAATTAAATATATCTAAAAATATAAGCACAATAAAAATTAATAAGATACATACTTTCTACTATAATTGAATAAGTGCTCGAATAAGTATTCGAAAAAAACTCGTATCGTTAAGAAAAAAACCTTAAAGTATTAGCAAATCTTATAGTTTATGCTAATAGTTTAAGATTTTTTTATGTTATTGCTAAATGACATGTGACATAATTTAATATTTATATTATTAGACTAAGAACTTTTTTTTTACCTAATTTTATGTTTCTATCCATTATGGATGTCTAATAATCCATCACCCGAGTCTAATAGTATAAACCTTTAATTGTCATTTATAAATTTAAAATAGAACATGACACATGACTATACTAAAAGATATCTCTTACATTATCTCACTTAGCTTGTGTAGCACCTTTTGAAAAATAACAATTCTTTTACAAAGTCAAGAATAGTTAGCACGTGAAAACAGATCATGTTTAGATTAAAAATACAATATATGAATTGTAATGAATCATCCTTTATAGCTAAACACTTATTTTCATATATTACAATACATTGCATTCTCAAAATAAGTACTTAAGAAGCAAATAAATTTTATGAATGAATTTTCAATGAGTTATCTAAGTTTATCTTTATATATCCTAATAAATATAGAAAATAATATTTTATATGTGTAAAAATTACATATAAATTAACTAGACCCATACGATCTACACGATCGGCATACTATTTTGCCGATAATGTTTTAGCCGTAGGTTCTATAATCATCATGTTGGTAATAATATACTTAATCAGCATTTTATGTTCCTTTTCTATCAATATATTAATTTGTTTTAGCTTCCAGTTAAAATGTCAATTATGTTCCTTCTTCGCATAACATCAATCCATCTCGTAGTCTCTCTTTACTTGTATCCTCCTTTAATAGTGTCCACTCATCGGTAAGGATCCTTTGCTATTGCTCAATCAGAGCCAAATATTACGACCTCCTATAAGAAATTATGAACTTCCACTTGCTTCGTATTCATATACAACATCTTCTCTCGTATCGCTCAATACAAACATAGATTCATGTTGGCTTTTCCTAAGTTAGTGAAGAAGTTTTTTTTAAAAAAAAAACGTAAAGTTAAACTATAGGAGTCAAATCGGCTTCCGACTTTTGAAAAGGATTTGAAGATAGTTAAAAGGTACGTGTAATCTCCAAACACTAGGCGACCAATTCTAAGAGAGAGAATTTTTAGCTCGACCAATGTTTTGACAAAGGAATGCAGCTTCAATGCCAAAACAATTCCGAACGACGAGACCTTCGAGGCATGATAAATGATCGTGGACGAACCTAGAAATATTTTCCACTGGGGCAAATTATAAATTATAAATTTAGACAAAAATCAATGACACAAATACAATCTTTTATAACATATCATAAAATTACCATTGCTCACGACGAGATTTTATATTTTGAAATCGTTGAATAATATTTTCATTATCGATGCTATTGAATATCTCCCTCTCAATATATGTAACCAAACAATCATTCAAGCAAAGCATCTCTTAAGCGATTGTGGAGTCGAGTCTTCACTATCTTCATTGCGATAAAAACCCTCTTTACATAAGTAGTAGTCGCTTGTAAAATCAAAGCTAGTTTTAAAGGCAAATAAACTAAAGGATATAGTTTATTCTTTTTTGTTTTCAACTAGCTTTTTAGCAAGATCTCCAATCCCTTTAAGGCCAAAAAATTGTTCATTAGATCTCACATCAATGATATAATTCTCAAGTTGATCTTCAAGTTTAACAAAATCCACCTTGGAAAAATCAGATGGATAAAATGTGACAAGATGAATGATTTTCTTCCTATCGAAAGCTTGAAAAGAATCAATAGGATTTAAACAAGCCACACAAAGAAGAATTTTTATGTTCACCTTCATGAATCGATTGTTCAACTCTCGAAGTTGCATGTCAATTACACTATAAAATAACTCAACTTGGTAATGATGCAAGTTTACCATTTTTTGAGCATTTCTTCGGGGCCTCCCCGGAATAACAAACATATTATCCATTCTTGGAACAACAATACTATGAACATCACAAAAAGAAGATCCCTCGGAGAGTAAAGATGTCCATCCACCTGTCTCTCATCATTTGAAGCCGCTTCTTCGATACATTAACTAAAGCCATTACATTAATGATATCTTGATCTTTTCTTTGTAATGATTGGGACAACTCATTTGTAATCCCTAATATTTTTTTCATCAAATGCAAGTTGAAAACAAACTCAAAAGATTGCATCAAATTAAGAAGGGCATATGCTTCAATTGTAACCCCCGTAAAAACCCTTATCCGTAACGCGACGTGTATTAGAATAATTCTATATATACGTATATTAAGAGTAAGTGTAATTATCATTTCATCATGAGAAATTAATGCTTGAAATATGTGATTTATGTTAAATTAAAGTTATTGTGCTTAAGATTAATGGTTTAATTATTAAAGAAATTAAATATGCAAAATCAGTGTTTTAAGGACTATATTCTACCCGAGTTTTGTGTGAATTATTTGAGGCCTTTAGAGTAATTTTTGGGTCAACCTTAAAGAATGAAAGTTGTTCATCTATGTGTTTAATAGGCCTGTATAAAAGTTTATAATATTTGGACCTATACATTAAGAGTTATACCAATTATAGTGAGGGTTGTTTCGAAATGCATTCTGCTGGAATTTTGGGAGAAGAATCTGGCCGAATCTTGTGAGATTTATTTGATGCTTTTAGATTGATTTTTGAGAAAAACGTAAAGAATAAAAGTTGTTTTTCTATGTGTGTACTAGCTCTCTATAAAATTTCATAAATTTTGGATACATATAGAAAGAGTTATGCACATTTTAGTATAGATGGGTTAGAAGGAAACACTGCTGGAATTTTAGGGGGAAAAGAAATTCCGAATTTTTAAAAATGGAAATTTCCGAATTTTTTATGAAAGAAAGCAGTTTTAGTTACTTGAATTAAGTTAATTAATGATTTTAATTAGTCTAAATTTTATATAGACACCTAAGAAAATGCAATAAATGAATTTAATGCCAACTCACCCATTATGGATTCCAAAGCAGCCAGCTTTCCTCATGACTCACCCATAACCTTTACACCTTATCCCATTAATTTCTAACACTTGTAGCTGAATGAAAGTAAGTATATATATGTATAGCAAGTGCTAAAATAGGAGAAACACTTTAGTAAACCGTAGGTACCAGAAATTGAGAGAAAAAAGGCAAGAAAGAAAAGAGAGGAAGAAAAACGTGAGGAGAGAAAGGAAAGGAAAGAAAAAGAGGAAGGGAAAAAGGAAAGAAAAAGAGCTAGGAAAACTATATTCAAACCTAAAAGAGGTAAGTAGGTTTCATTTTCTTGGCTGATTAATGTCTTAAATTATTTTTTTAAAGTTATTTTGTTAGTGTTTATTTCATGGGTTGTAATAATCTTCATTGGTTATATGCTTGATGCTTGGGATAAATCTATGTATGGATGCCTTTTTGTGATGATTTATGATGTTATAATTTTTTGTAAAATGTCCAAGTATGTGGTGATGGGTTGGATTGAACTTGGACTAAATTTAAGTGAACTAAAACATGTTTAAAATTGGCTTGGAATGAACTAATAAATTAGTGTTAATAAGGAGTAAACTCTGTCCGAATTTTGGGGTGTCTATTCAAGGATTTTAGATCGATTTCTAGGTGAAACTTAAAGCATAAAAGTTGTTCATCTATGTTTCAACTAACTTCCTTTAAAATTTCTTGGTCATTGGATTAGTGTACAAAGAGTTACACCCGATTTAGTATGGATAGCTCTAGATAAACTACTATTAGGCAGATTGCTCCCTAAGTTTCAAAAATTTGTAATTAATTGTGTACTTGGTATTTAGACCTACTTTTTGGATATGTTATAAATAAATATGTCTAGTATCTAAAATAAAATGAGTAAGATTTAATTATGTTCTGAAATTAGAAAATTATTTACTCAATTAGGAGTTGCCCGGTAATAAACCCTAAAACCAAAAAAATTAGACTTTGACAAAATTAATAGGTTTGGAATAAACTAAATGAGCTTGGACTAAATAAAATGGAATTAAATAGAGTCAATGGACCTAGGATAAAGTTAATGGGCTTGGATTAAATTAAATGGACTTGGACCTTCTTTTAAATATTAATGAACCTAATGAACAATATTAATGAGCGGAGATTGTGTTCCCGCTTGTGGGTATCATGATTGGTATGTGAGCAATGGATAAATTCCGAGTGTGAGTTGGACCGTGAGTATGGCATGAGAATGAAGGGTTGGTACCCGAATTTGGTTGAATGTGATTAAATATGTCATCACGTGCATCATGTGCATAGTGGGTGGTTTAAGACAAGTCAATTGATTGAGAAACGGTTTATACATCTAGGTTTGATAACCTAATTGGAATAAGTGGGTATTAGTAGTCCAAGTACTCTAGGCTATGTGCCCGCACTATTAGACGATGGATTTTCGCTAATAGTAGTTACAACGAGGGATAATTCCGTTATAGCAGAAGATGATCCGAGGATCATCTGGATGAAATCAAGTTGTATGCTTGCACCGTTAGACGATGGATTCCCGCTAACAGTAGTTACAACGAGGGATAATTCCGTTGTAGCAGAAGGTGATCTACGGACCACCCGGATGATAAATAGAATAGATCGGCTAATACCTGTGGTACCCGAGATTAAAATTTATGAGTATGATGGGAAGTCAAAACAACATTGCATATCACGTGCATCACCCCGCTTATCGAGCTTCGGCTCACCATGTTGTTATTTTTTTTTATGTCTTGACGAAAAAGGACACATTGGTACGGATGCGGTCGGCTCCTCCTAACCGGCTCATGTGAGGCACCATATATTAGTTTTTATTTTATTTGTAAATTTGGGATATGGAGTTCGTGAGAAATTGAATATTGCTTGTAATGTTTTATTAATGTATTTAATTATGTTATGTAAATTTTATCTTAAGGAGTTATATACGTAATGTACTCGTTAAAGTCCTAAGAATATCATAAGAAAACTACTTAGAGTTTAGGGTATGTCGGTGTAACGCGCTTCGTCCAGACACTTACTTGGGTAGTAGAAATACGACAGGTGGGGGCGTTACATCACCTCTTTGCTCCGATTTTTTACCTTCATTCTCAATTATCTCAAGCACATCAACTATAGATGCAAACATAATAATAAGATTCACCAATGATCCATAATGCGAACCCCATCGAGTATCACTCGCTCGTTGAAGGAAGTTTCTTGATTTAAACCCCGCCATTTTGAATTTCACCAATTTGAAGTGCTTCAACAACCTTGCTATATTGTTTTTCACGAAGAAGATCTTTTCTTTTACATGAAGTTCCAACAACATTTGATAAATTAGAAATAGTGTTGAATGACAAAGCAATTTGAGCATGATTTTTTGCCACAAGCAACAAGAGCTAATCGCAACTAATGAACAAAACAATAGACGTAAAATACGGTTAGATTTTCTTTCATGATCAATGCCTTTAAGCCATTAAATTCACCTTGCATGTTGCTAGCCCCATCATATCCTTGACTACGTAAACAAGACAAACTCAAAGAATGTTTAGAGAATAATGCTTCAATTGCCAACTTAAGTGAGAGAGTCGAAGTGTCACTAACATGCATAATACTAAGAAAACGTTCAATTACACATCCTTTAGCATCTACATATCGTAACATAATTACCATTTGTTCTTTCACCGATATATCCCGAGACTCATCAATTAATATAACAAACAAATCATCTTGAAGATCACTAATGATGACATTAGTGGTTTCAATTGAAGCAGCATGCATAATATCCTTTTGGATCTCGAAGCAACAAGTTTGACATTACCACGAGCATTTTCTAAAACCACATTCTTTATGACTTCATTATGATCAGCAAGAAACCGTAAAAGTTCTAGAAAATTACCTTGATTATTAGAATTTGCTGATTCATCATTGCCACGAAAAGCTAATCCTTGACATAAAAGAAATCGGATGCAATCAATTATCGCGGTTAGATGAATTCGATAATCTCTTTGAGCTTGATTTGATTGAGCCTCAAAAATGAAATTAATATGTTGTTTTTGATTCATTAGATTTTGACATTTTCTCCAAGCTTCACTGTGAGCACTATTGTGGCTTCAAACATGAATTTGAAATCTTTTTTTTTTTTTTCCAATTTGTAAAGCCTTCAATAGTAAAATAATCACCATTTGCTTTCTCTCTAATATCAACTTCGTAAAGATAGCAACATAGACAAAAGGCAACATCTTTAGTTATACTATACTCCAACCGGGTTTTATACTCCTTAAACCAAGAAGGAACAAATCTCCTTAACATCTTTCCAATCCTTCTTTATGTAAAATAGTGTTCATGAGGTTGACATAGACCCTTTTTCCAAATAAGCTCTTCGAATTCGATCTCGATCATTTGGATGATAATCTGAAATTTGTTTTCTTAATCCAGGATCCGAACATAAATCATCCAAATCAATTTCGTTGTTTGGAAGAACTTTGCTCTTCTCTTGTACTAGCATCGTTGTCGCTTGATGGTTCCTTGATAATTTGTTTTCTTTTAAAAAATTTCTCCATAACTACATCATATAAAAATAATTCAATAATGAGTTCAAAAGAATAATATATATCATATATGGGTACAAAAAATAATATATATGGGCACAATCTTAATAGCACCATGGAAGTTAATAATTAATTTGAAACAAATTCAAAATTAAATGAATTGAGATACTACCACATCAATCTCATATAACACAAAGCAACAAGTTGAAATAGCAATGTAAGACAAGTAGGAGTAACAAATTAATACAATGGTTATTAGGCTATCACCTTTTATAATTATAGTAGTAAAATTTCATATACTTTCTAACTTTCATTATATATATTTTTTTCCTCTAAATAATTAGAGCCTAAAAATGATGGGTTTAATTCATTAATTGTAGATTGCAAAAGAAAACCAAGCCAATATATATAATTAATGAAACATCTCAATTTATCCTTTTTATTTATTTATGAATCATGAGCCAAGTTTATCATGAGAACTATAATTAATTACCCTTACACACTTATGAAAACATGGCCAAATTTAATCATAAAATTCACATGAATCGTGATCCTCCATATTCTCAAACATGCCATCTTCACCTTCCAAAAAGACAATTATTCTAAATCAATCCTTTAAACTAACAAGGAGTTCAATTACATATCACTTTAACCACCCCACTTTGATTCTATGGGTAATGTGCTCCTCAATGTTTTTCTATGTTAATATTATAGAAGTTAGGTATCAAAAATACATATACATATGTTAATATATATTACATGATAAAAAATTAAAAATAGATAATTGAGAAAAAATAAAAAAGAAACTAACCTGATTTTCTATTGAGATTCAAAAGCCAAATCTCTACTTCACTTAATTTTTTAATAACAAAGATATAAGCTCTTGACTTAAAAAAAAAAAAAAACAAAGAAAGAAAGAAATAGAAGCCGTAAAAGAAGAAGACAGAAAACGAGTGAAAAACCAAAGATGAAAAAAAAAAGAAGGAAGTTAGGATCATTAGAAAAGAAAAAAAGATATACACGTGGGTGTAACATATAGGCAAAAGTTTGAATACTCTCTCTTCTTCTAATTATATATATATATATATATATGAGAGAGAGAGAGAGAGAGAGTTTTTGGTGAGACCTAGCACATTTGTCTCTTCATATAAAGGCAAAAATGGCTTTTGATCATCCGTTCTTCTTCTAAATCAAATATATATATATATATTATTTTTAAAAAAAATTTTGACTTGCCCCCACTGGCCCTGTAAACGATGATGATGAGCTTGTAGGACGATATTTCAAGAGATGTCAAACAAGGACTGCTCAAATATGTCCTCCTCTAACAAAGCAGGAATTTATCTCCATCTTTGTTGATACTTTCGAATCTTCATATATATTATGAGTGTTTAATAGGTCATCTCTCATCTCAATTTAATGATCTTATTGAAATGGTTGAAAAGATAGAACATGACATAGATCAGAAGAGGATCAGAGATCTGTACACACTCCTAAGTCCTAACAGTCTAAAGTTGAACTTAGCATTTTCTTTCCCACGAGAATCTTCGTCAAAAGTTGAGATGCTTCTCCTGTTAAACGAAAGAAATGAAAAAAAAAAAAAAAATCGAAAACAAGGAGGATGGAGAGAGACAATGGGCCAGATCCTCGGATGGCTCTTGAGCTCTTGGCCCCAAAGAGCGGGCCACGTGCAGACTAATTGAAGGGCTGGTAAAAAAACAAACGGTACCGTTTACTGTTTGTTCGGACTCTGTTTCTTAGTGTCTTCGAGGAAATAACAAAAATTGAGAAACAAGAAAAAAGGATGAGGCTAAGCAAACCCTTATTAAAACAAGCAGAAGGAATCAGCAAAACTCTCTCTGAAATTCTTGTCTGCCCACTGTCTAAACAACCCTTAAGGTATCTTTTGTTCTTTCTTTCTCTGTTCTTACAGTTTCTTTTCTTCCAGTAGTCCTTAACTCTGTCTACTTTTCTTTGCTGGGGCTCTAGGTATTGCAAAGAAACAAATTCTCTCATCAGTGATTTTATTGCTGTCTCTTTTCCTGTAAGTTCTGCTATTTTCTTGATTAATTATTACTTTTTTTGTCTTTTTTATTTATAAATTTTGTGATTTTTTTTTCTGATCTGGTTTATGATTTCTGTTGTTATAGATAAAAGATGGAATCCCTCATTTGGTTCCAAAAGACGGCAAGATAATTGAAACTGTTGACGACCAAAAATCTTGATCCTGCTGTTTTTTCATCTGCTGCAACAAATAACATGTTATTACTAGGTTGTCCTTAAGTTAGAGAAAATCAGTGTCTTTTTTTTTTTTTTTTCTGATATTTTGTGATCTTTCCTGTCGCTTGGTCTAGGTTTATTGTGTTTTGTTTTTTGCATTCGATAGTTCAATCCCAGAACTGTTCTGTATTCATTAGCCGGTTTTACCCATGAAGCTGAGACTGAGATCTGTGCAGTCAAAAGAAACTGTGAAAATAGAAGTTCCCAATTCATGTACTTTACAGCAACTAAAAGAAACCCTCTCTCGAGCAATATTTTCCGCAGGTTCGTCTATTTATTTGTCTCTTAATAGGAAGGATGAGCTCAACCCCTCTTCGCCTGAGGATTCATTGCAATCTCTTGGTATTACATCTGGTGACCTTATTTATTTCTCTGTCAATCCCAATTATTTCTTGTCCTCTGGTCAACCTCTATGTTTAGGTTCTACTTCCTCTATAAGAGAACAGGCTCAAGGGCATCGGGGTAATGTTCAAGAGCCTATGCCTGATCAATTGATGAGTGCTCAGGAGTCTGAAATTTTGGGTTTGAATAAGCTTGAGAATCAAGATTTGTGCGCACAAGGACATGCTGGTGTTCAGGCCAATGATGTCAATTCTCAAGAAACCAAATTTGAAAACTCTGAAATTTCTTCAGATATGCACGTACAAGGATTGAATGTTGAGCATGAGATTGGAGAATCTGACATGAGTGATGCAGTTATTGAAGAAACTGTGAGTGGAAAAACCTTCGACACCCAAGAATTGACCAGTGAAGAAGCTATGGATGTCGATACTGGGTCTGTAGATGTGGGCAGTAAGAGGTTTTCAGAACCTTATTTCTTGAGGAGGCTATTGAGGAAAGAATTAGGTGAAGATGGTAGCAACTACAAGCTCTTGGTTATTACAGTTCATGCTGTTTTCATAGAATCTGGTTTTGTTGGGTTCAATTCTATATCTGGGACACGAGTTGATGGATTTCATCTTCCAGAAGAGCAGGCTTCTAGGAATTTGTCAGTGTCACTTTGTTACACCCTTCCTGAACTTTTGGATGGTAAAAATATTGCTGAAACAATTGTTTTGAAGTTCCAAAGTTTAGGGCATTTTGTTAACATCTATGGGTGTTTGGCCAATGGTGGATCGGACCTATATCGTGCATGTTTGGATATACACAAGTTTGCGCCAACTATAGATTTTGTTTGGGAAAGTGATAAGAATGACAGGATGAATGAAAATGATAGGTCATCCATGTTGGATCCTGAAAATGAAATTTTTGAGTTCTGGAAAATTGTGAAGGATGGCCTTGCTTTGCCATTGTTGATAGATATTTGCGAGAAGACTGGTTTGGTTCTTCCATCATGCTTGATGCGCCTCCCTACAGAGCTGAAGCTCAAGATTTTGGAGTTACTGCCTGCTATTGATATTGCAAAAATGGGATGCGCATGTTCAGAGATGCAGTACTTGTCTTCAAGCGATGATTTATGGAAGCAGAAATTTGTGGAGGAGTTTGGAGATAGGACGAGAGCACAGGGAGCTGTCAATTGGAAAAAGTGGTTTGCTTCTTGTTGGGAGAATAAGAAGAGGCAGAAGAGGGATGCCAATGGATGGCGAGAGTATCATCCAGTTCTGCCCTTTCGCTACCCAATCAGGAGGGACCGTAATCGATTCGCGTTTCCTTTAATGATAGGCGGTGATTATGATCGTCTGCCAGGGCTTTGTATTCCTCCCCTTTATGGTCCTCCTGGTCAAGGATCTCCCCGATTTCGTCGTAATTTTGCATCAAATTGTAATTTGGGGGGATTCAGTTCCTAGTCTGAGACTTGAAGGCTTGCTTGATCTGAAAATGAACCCATTAGAGGCATTCTTGGGTCAGTTACCATAATAATATATATTTCTGGTTGTTGTAGTGCTGTGGAAATTTACATTACAATTTAAAAGTTTTTTTTTTTTTTTTGTTTGGTTTTGCTGTTTTCATAAACGCTGTTGAAGGCTCATCTCTTTGTTCTTAGTAGTTGAAACTATTTTGGATAGATTTCAGAATGCTTATAACTTTTGGTATCTTGCATAGTAAATTTGACTACCATGGCATGGTGCTTGGATATCTTCTTCATGCTAAAAAAAGGGAAGGAAAATTATGTGTGGGCGCAGCAAGGACTTGAAATATCTTCTTTAATGCTTCAGAACGCAACAAAGTTATTGTGCTTGCTTTCAACTAATGATTTTTATTAGAAAATTATCAACAAGAAGTGATATTGCATATTTTGTTTGTTCTAGCTAACTGTTACGCTGGCCAAGCTTTTTTACCAACATTATCTTAGCACTACTATCACTTGAAAATTCATCAGCAGAATTTCACTTCCGAAGTGAAATTCTGCCTTTGTTCTTGTCTTGAACAACTGTTGTTGCTGATTTAGCTACTGTTGTTAAATGCACAAATATGGCTTCCATGTGCCCCTGAACTTGAACTGGCCCTAAACCATGTCAGCTAGGACCTGTTATGTTATTACATGTGTTTCAATTTTCTCTTATTGAATTCTGTTTGCACAGCTAGGATTCATGAATCTATTCTGTTGTGTATCTTGTACTGCCTACGCGTGTAAAACTGCTGGATCATGTCTGAAATCCAGGTTTCAAATGTTTGTGACACTTCTTTCCATTGCTGGTTGGAATACTATCTGATTTTTGATAATACACACGTTTGCTAGATTTGTAAGCCTTCCTTGCAAGAAAGGATCCTTTAATATATTTCTCATTTTCAATGGGGTGGACCTATTTTTAGCTCTCGTTTATGTATCGAAGAGGGATCCTCAGATGGTAAACGGATTTGCTTTGCACATCATCATCTTTGATTCAAGTTATCTGTGATTCAAATTCAAAGAAAGGTTGTGAGATTTGAAGTAAGGTAGTAGGTATTTGCCAATTTCATATGAAAAGGTCAAGAGTAACACTCATGTTTAGGTGCAACCGCTTTTTGTTGCGAGCTCAAAATCTGCTCTTTTGAAGCCAACAATTCTTACAAATCACTCAAAATAACTACACAACAAATATGACCATCCAATTTGCACGTACTTTCAACCACTTGTAAACCATCTTAAATATCTAACAAAAATACTAGTCCTCCATTAGAACCAAAATGGTTTTCAAAAAGTTCGTCTCCTGCGTATACAGCTTACTAGACCTAAGAGGGCATCCAAGAATCAAAGATGCGGCAACAGCTTGTAAGGGAATCACGTTGGATGTGTCGGACAACATCAACGATAGCATGCTCGAACCTCCGGTCAGATCATCGAGTTCATCCGAAATCGTAGACGCAGAAGGTGAAGTTTGCTGTGTTTGCTTGTCGAGTTTCAAGGTAGAAAAGGACATGAGTGTTTTACCTTGCTTGCACAAGTTCCACAAGGTATGCATCGAAGGATGGTTTAATAATATGTGTCGAAAAACTTGTCCGCTGTGCCGGTTCTCAATGGGGGAACAAGAGAGGTCTTATAAGAGAGAGGAGCAGTTTACTGAAGAGATGGTAATATGGTTTTCTTCTTTTCATGTTACTGGTTTTTGAGTTGCAATTTTCTGCTCATTTTTTACCCTTCCCGATAAAACAGAAAAGGAAATGTAAATATTTCCATAGGGAAAGGCCACACACAGAAGGAGGAAAAACAAAAACTTCCGTTGCCGGGAATCGAACCCGGGTCTCCTGGGTGAAAGCCAGATATCCTAACCGCTGGACGACAACGGAGTCTTTTCAATATCTTGGCTGCAATTTTGCCTCGAATTTGTATAATTGTCAATCTCAAATCAAACAGTATGTTGTTGAGATCCTCTTCGTGTAACTTGACGTTGAATGTACGAGCCAGAGTTCATTGAAGTCATTCAGTTCTTGAATAAATTCAAACTTATGCTAAATATAGTAGCGATGGGGTTTAAAAAATAAGGAAATCTAGGGTTCCAATTTTAGCTCAAAATAACCTGCAAATTTTTTATTTTTTCAGGCCACCAATCATATAGTGTCAAAGAGTTGGCGTGAATGGCTGGACCATTTTGATGCGTGTGCGTTCGTGACGTAAATAGATCAAAGCTTTGAAGTTGAACTCTTGGTTTGAAGCCTTGCCGAGAGTACCAAGTTGTGGCCCATTACAAATAAATAACCTCGTAAAAGTGTGGTCCAATGTTATGAAATTTGGAGAAGTTGTAACCCAATTTGCTAAATCTAGGCAGGCCTACTCTTCTCATAGAATACCCTAAATAAAAAGCCGATTAATTTCTTTGGACAAAATCCAGCAACCTTCTGGCACGATTGACCTTCCAAAAACTGCAAGACTCAACCTTGAGAGAGAGAGTTCTGGGCTATTTTAGATGTCCATAAAAGCGTATTAACAAATCCTAGAGTTTTCTTAACTAAATTATTTATTAAAGGTCAGTTAAAAAATCTAACTTGACCAAACAAACTTTCGTGGTAGAATCTTTATGCAATTCTCGTCTACAAGCAAAAAAACCACAATCAAATCAGAAAAGAAAACTTAAAAAGCAAGTCAAGTGCGATGGCAATATATAAGTATAATTAGGCAAAAAAAAAAAAAAAAAAACTCAACATCCCGTCACCAAAAGCCGCTTAGACAAAAGATACGTGTTGCTATGGTGTGCTGCCTAACCTAATGTAGCAAGTGGGCTAGAATGTTTACACTATCACGCAAAAGTAATCAAGCAATGGTCGTCTCTACTAAGAACAGAGATTTATTGACCGTTTGGCACCGAGTGCTTATTTATTTATTTCGGTTTTGGGACTTTGTTTTTAAAAAAAAAATGAAAAAACATTTAGTAAAATTTTGATAGATAGTTTAAAATTTTAGACTATTTTATTGCTGTTTGATTGGACATAGGAGACAGATTCAATTATTCTAAGAGTTTTCTACTATTCTAAGAGTTTTCTACGTATATAAATATTCGAATTCAAGATTACTTATTTAAATAATTAAAATTCTTTTTGCTCGAGCAAAAATAATAATAATTAAAAATTAAAAGTTAAAAACTATAAAATCAAGTTTTATAGAACACATTTTAAAATTATTTAAAATTAGATTTTAGTAATTTAAAAACACATATTATCAAACATATATTTTATTTATATAGTGCTTACAAAATAAAGAGGTTTTTTTGGATTTTTAAGATATGTTAACTTAAAAAATTCAGACTAATCCATCGTTATTCCGTCCGATGCACAAAACGAAACAATTAAATAACGTATTTTTTGCATGTACAAATACTCAAATTCAAATTCAAGACTATTTAGTAAGTTATCGAGTTTTTTCTACTCAAATCAACCATTTTAGATTAATAAAGAGATTTTTGAAGACAATACTTTAGGATAATATTTCGAAGTCCAAGACCTTACTATCGCTTATGACATGACTTTTACCCATAGAAATGCTAAACAAGTTAAATGGATCGTCTTTGATTAAATTCCACCCTTCATTTATCAAGTTTAACAACTTTGAGAAGTTGACATAAAAGTGTTGTCAAAGATGCAAATGGTTGCTGGATTTCTAAGCTTTTATGGTTTTTTTGATGGGTTTTTAATACGTTGGCTTTTTTATGGAAATGTCTACCATCACTCGTCCATAGGAGTACGTTTTTGTTGAAAATATTAAAGTTCTCCTTTGTAGGTGGGAGTGCAAACTTATTCACACTCTTAAAGAGGATAATCAATGTGCTAACTATCATTCGAAATTTGAAGCATCTTCACAGATTTGTCGTCCCAAAAAAATGGTCACAACAAAAACTATAATTTTTCAAATAGACCCTCATTGGATTTATTGGTCATAATTTTGAGTTTCTCACTTATTTTTGAAAAGATGGGGTATCCATATGTAATCTTCAACTAAAAAACTCCAATGTTGGTCAAAAAACCCTAAAAGTTAGACTAAATATTTTATGTAAATATGAAAATTGCAATGTTTTTTGTCGTTTAGTTCTCACAAAAGTAAAAATACTGATTTGACCTAAAGTGTCTTTGAATCATATAGGGCTTGCTGGCCATTGTTCTATGTGTTGGACTGTTGTTCAATCGGAAGTTGACGTTAATGTGCAACTTTTTGAATGATGGGAGGAGGAATAAAAATGCCATCGAAAAACCAACAAAAAAGGGCCACCCGATGACTGTTACCGATGAAGAAAGAGACAAGGTGCCACCGAGAGAGAGAGAGAGAGAGAGAGAGAGAGAGATGAAGGAGATAAGGCTGATCGCTAGGTTTCAGAACAAAAAGTCCCGTCATTTCACTGTACAACATCTTCGAGCTTCGTCCAACCATCACGTTGTTTCCCAATTTTACCCTTTCAAGCCCATTTTTGCAGGGCGAGGAGAATACAAATCCAAACGCTGCCCCACCAAATTAAGCTCCTGCTTGTTCGGAATTCCAGAAAAAACATTTGTTACCTACTACACAGATGTCCTTTCCTAAAACAACAGTATTTGCCAGCTACAGCTACATCCCTTCTTACAAAAACATCAAATACTTTCCCTCCTCTTGTCCCAAAAGGAGCTAAGTACTGTGCTGACGGTAAAGAAACACAACGTAAAAATTGAAAGCACTGATACATCACCACTGCTTCTCAAAATGGAGCTGTTGACGTTCTTTGTAGGGTGTGCCTTTTTGGCAGCTGAGCAGCTGCAGCCAAATATAGCTGCCCAAAAAAACGGAGACACTCTTAACATCAATATATGGACTACGCAAATGCGACATTGACTAAACTAGAAGCTAATGCCAAAAGTACTGTTGTTTATAAGCCGGTAAAGACAAGAAATAATGTCTGATGCAGGTTTTTTATTTCCCTAACTAAAAAATTACCTCTTGTTGTTGTTTCTTGAGTCTTGCATTTTCTTCGGATAAATGTGCAACTTCAAGCTCCAATTCATTCGTATAAGCCTGCAAGACGCAAAGCATAAAAACAAGTCTGTCAAAAAACAAAACAAGAGATTCTACTGGTATGTGAAAAACGAGTCTTCGAAAAGAGAGGGAGATTCCTGCTTTCTTGCTCTAGATCGAGCAGCAGATTCTCGATTCTTGATCATTCTTTTGTGTCTGCGATCGCCAGAACTAATATCAGATTCTTGAGGTCGTTTTCTGACAAATGAAGGCAAGCCAGAAGATGAATCTAAACCCTCAAAAAAAGGACTGCTAGTAAAAGAGGAAATATTTGAAATTGGGTTGCTTTGTAGGTGTGAGTTAGACCTAAGAGGATGATCAGAGTTATCAAGAAAATCAAAGCCAGGGCCAGAGTTCAAGCTCAAAACAGTAGCAGGAGGTGGCACTGAAGAGCCAAAGGGAGTGCTGTCGCTAATAACAGAGAGCATTCTTGTTGGAGGGTCTTTGTTAAAAGGTCTAGCAAGAAAATCTTGAAGGATAAAATTAGGGTTGTTACTATGATGATGACGATGATGGTGAGAGATGTCGGGAAGTCTAGGGGTCATAGAAAGATCTTGATCGGTAGAAGTGTGGTCATGAAGAGAAGCAAGACTTATGTCTTTCCATACTTCTTCCATGGTTTTGGCGTTTTGATGGGCTAGGAAGTGAAGATTATCGGAAGGTGAAAATGGTGAAGGAGATGAGGAAGTGGAGGACGATTTTGAAGATAATGACGACGAGACTCTATTGAGACTCTTTGTCTTGTTGTTGTAGCTGGTGCCTTCACGGTTTATTGATGACAACATTTGGAGAAAGTTGTTAATTAGCTAGCAGCAGAAAGGTTCAATTTGTGTTTTGGGTTTTGCTACTTAGTACTACTGTCACTGTGCGAGACTGGAAAACGTTAGAGAGAGAAAGTGGGCAGCGATGGGACGGCGAGGTTGTTTTATGGCGAACCTTCAGTCAATGGTCATGTCCAATATGGTGATAAGGTGCATGCACGTGCACCGTGCGTGAGAGTGATTTGGGTGAAAATATAACAGGGTGTTTGCAACGGGATTCTACAAGGTATCTTAGCCTTAAAAATTATTCTATCGAATGTATTACGCAGAAACAATTATTCAGAAAAAATTTATATATATAAAAATTCAAACTTAAAACTATTTATTTAAATAATTAAAGTTATTTTTACTTAAATCAATCATCTTAGGTTACAACGGAATTCTTTAATTTCCTTTTATCAACACATTTTAACCTATCTTAGATATGTCTAACAAAATTTGTGTTTGGTTTTTAGAGAATGTTAGACTATGCCGTTACACCACAAATCAAGGAGTGCATAGACACAAAGAGGACATATGTTTTATTTCTCAGCTACAGATTTATCAGTTACTGCTCGAGCGGCTCTTCAGAAAGACAACTAAGAATTAGCTACTTATAGGAAATAATTTTTTTGATTGTGTTTTATTCATCTACTTTATGCAGGGTCTGTTAGAAGAATAGTAAGATATGATTATTGTTTTTTTGTTAGACAATAGGTAGTCATTGCTCTGTTTAAAAAAATTAATCTATATCATTAGGGTTTTAGGCTTCCTTGTCCTCTCAAAATGTGAGCTAAGCTAATTTGTCTCCTTTTGTTTCTTTTCATTTGATTAATAAATTATCAGGATATCGCTCATGTTTCCTAAAAAAAGGAAATTGCTTTTTTTTTTCATAACTAAATTGTCTTTATTTTTAACGTTAAATAAATTAATCCTATCCTTACTTCTTTTTTTATAATAATAAAAATGCTTTAGACTTATTATTAGTATCTTTAGAGTAAAATATATCTTATCCATAATATGATAATTCATTGGTAAGCAAGCGTTGATTTTTTTTATTCATCAAGTATCCGCAAGTATATGATCCTACATCCCTATCCTTATTTTTTTAATTAAAAAAATAAATTATTATTGTTAACATGTAGGATTCAAATCCCGAAACAATATTTGTTGTGAGGAGTTAAATTTTATCGTTTTTATTTCGAACAATATTAGTTCTATCTCAAATGTAAGATAAAAATATGTGAGAAAAACTAAAACAAATAACATAAATAAATAAAATTTTCTTAAAATTTATTGTAGCACCTCTCCTAACAAATTACTACAAAGAATCTCACATAATAAATAATCTTGTTTTTTAAAAAATTATATTTAAAATATTAATACTATATAGGATTTAAAATTTAGAATGATATCATCGAATGTCACTAGCAATTTATATCAATTAGTAAATCATCAATGAGTAATATTGTTGTATATATGAATAATTCAATATCGATTTTACATTTAGAATCATGTGTTTATTATTTGTAATTTGACTTACATCATGTATTTCCAAAGGATATATTAATTACCTAACTTGATTATAAAGCAAAGTTAGAAATTTATCCACAATACAATATTGTTATAATAATAATTTTACATGAAAAAAATTTTCGTATTTATAAAGTAAAATTTAGGTTAAAAAATAAAGATTGAATAATTAGATTTGTTTAAGACTTTATAATCATTTTACAAAAAATAAAAATAAAAATAAAAGAAATGATCAAATATCATGTTGGACGATGGGATGGGGGGTTCCACCGACTTCCTGACTCAAGTAAAACCTAATCAGTTTTTCATAAGCCTGGAGCCCACCGACTTCCTCCAGAATTTTAAGATGCTTGTATATAGTATGGCAAACCTGGCAAAAGGACGATTTTTTTTTTCCCCTTTGCTAACGTAATGCTTGATAAAATTTAAAAATTAATTACTGAAGTTTTTAAGTATTGAATAATTAAATATTGAATATTTTACTGATAAGTTGTTTAATATTTATTGAAAATTAAATATTAAATTAAAATTAAATATTGAATATAATAAAATTATTTGATAAATAATATTATTAAACATATTAATACTATGTACATGATAATTTTAATAATATTATTATAATATAATATTTTTTTAATACAAACTTAAATTAAGAACAGTTAATATGAGTTTTTGAAAATTAATCATTTTTCGATGTCACAATTGACTTGAGCCACTTGGCTTTAGCTTGGCTCCTCTCGATGTGGACATAGAAACAAGATACACCCTTTCCTTCTCTCTACTTCTCGCTTGCACTCATCTCTCTCTACCCTTTTCCATTTTCCCTACTCCATGGGAGAGGATCCGATTCCCTTTAACTGCAATTTGCAATATTCCTCATTTTATCAAGGAATTACTCGATTAAATTATTATTCTAAAGTTCTGGAAGGATTCTTAGCTTGAAGCAAAATGATCCAAACAAAACTTATTACATGCTTGACTTCTATTCAGAATCAACAATCTTTTGCAGTTAAAAAATAACATCTATAACATTTGAAGACAAACAACAAAACCTCGTTAGATTTGTGATGTAAAAGTCAAAAACTTGGCTTATGTTGTTTTTTGCAGAGAGCAGACATGTTAATCAACAATGAAAAAAAAAATATTTCAATTGAAAATCAATTTATATGTCAATTTTAATTTTGGAATACTATATATAGTGCTAACAAAGAATCTCAATTTGCTTCACTGATTCATTGGGATTGAATTGAAACTAAAATGAAAAAAGACTTTAAATAATACTGGCAACAACCTAAGGATTATAAAAATATATAAGAACTATATAATCATATTTAAAAAGTTTTAAATATCTTTCAACCAAGTATGTTAATAAAAAAATTTTAAGTAAAAAACTTTAATTTACCCGATTTGATGAATTTTGATTGAATTTAAATTTTAAATATGAAATTATTTAGATTATCAAATAAACTTTTTATATTAAATACTACAATTTATTTTTTTGTTGCTTTTAATGGATTCTCAATTAGATGTAACAATTAGTTTTATTCTCGATTAGGTTTAACAATTCGTCAATTTTATGTGACAAAACTGTTAAATATTTATATAAAACTTACGTGATTTTCTTTTCAATACTAAACTATTAAATTCTTTAATTTTTTTTAATAATGTGAAAATCCTTATCGATAGAATGATTTCTTTTATGGTTCTTTTAAAAGATTTAAACTTTGAGTTGGATTGTTAATTTTTAATTTATTATTTAATTAATATCTACGTATTTGGTTGACCTCTACATTTATGTGTTGCTTGAATTTGATATAATTAGTATGTGTGCGCAATTAAATGCGATTTTCCAAACAAATATGTACTCACATGAAAAGAAATTAACCCTTATCCTTATAATACAAAACGGGACAAACCTCTTGTGTCATGTGTGACCAAACTATAGGTTTCTCGTAAGCCTCCAAAAAATGACAATAATTTTGATAGCTAGTGATCATAAGTATTAATTTCCATCCAAAAAACAATAAATTTTTGGTACTCTCTGCTCAGATACCGACTGTCACACAACCGCGTTACGGCTGAACAGTGAGTCGCCGCCTCATTACTCCTTTCAATCTCCATAATTAGAGAGAGCATTACGATCTTCTTTTAAGCTCCCAATAATTTGTGTACCTTTCATGGCAGAAACAATGCATGTTACCATCCCACTCAAACATTTGCCACCTTACTAGAAAAACTCCATGATTGAGGGGGCCTCCCTTTGTTGCTTTCCTACTACTTGTATAAAATTTCTTCTTTTCTTTTTATCATGCCTGTTTTCGCCGTATTGTGTTGTACTGTGAATTACTAGACGATTCATAAATTTTTATTCATGCATGTAAATTAATTTCTATCCAAATTATATTTAAAGTTTACTTACTCTGAATGATAAAAAAATATTCTAAAAAATATTTTACATTTTTTTCCCTATATAGATGGTTATTTTTTCAAACAATTATATGAAAAATTCTTTCATCATTCTTTCCGATCTCAAATTATTTTTATGAAAAAAAACATATAAATGTATGGAAAAAATAGTTGAAATTAATTTAAATTATTTTTTATGAAATAAAATATAAATTTATTTCATCCTTTTTTTTAATCTAAATTTTTATCCATTTTAAATTTGTTATTTGTAAAATATTTAGATCTTCTTTCACTATCAATCAAGTTGTGTCTAGAGCAGATATATATATATATTTTTTTTTAACTCTATCATACTTCATACTTGATTTAAATTGATTTTTGACCTTTACTACTATTCTCATCCATTAAATAATATTTAAATATTTTTAAAGTTTGTTTTAATTTGAAATTGTCAAGTTTTAAATATTTAATTATCGAGATCTGATTAGGAGTTAGTAAGTGATAAAATGAATCAAAATTCTCAATTTGATGGGCTGAACAAATTCCTAATTGGAATTATAGGATCTTTTTTAGTTAATTCTTTTACTACATTATTATAGTTTACACCATTGGATGGATCCATTTGGAAACAATTAGATGATGGTAAAATTATCAAAGATTGACATTCTATATTTCTATTCAACAATGTACTAATAGTTCCTTTATTTTGTTTATTTTGTTTAAGTGATCGTGGAATCTTTGTCGTGGAATAAAATGGATTAATATTGATACAATTTGGCCCATTATTAGAGATCAATCTCGAATCTAATGAATCGTTCCTTTCTCTTATTTTCGATGATATAGGAAATGCTAGATTTTTCTAATTGGATTCTTAGGAAATTACGAATCAGACCATTTAATTTTGGTTTTTTGAATAGTGAGACATTTAGATTTATTTTATTTTAAAATTGACTAGTTATACATTGTCATAATATATATATATATATATAATTGAAATTTATTTTATATTGAAACATGATTTTAAATATAGTTTTTTTTTTGTAACAACGATAAATTTTATAGATATTCAAATCTAATATGAACTAGTAAGAATGCGAATCCACCAATATAAAACTGAATTTATAAGATTCAATTTGATGTTATTTAATAAACAAATTGAATCTAAATTTATCATCATGTACTCCGAAATCTATTTCGTTTACAGCCACTCGAGGAACAACCTTTTTGCTGTGGTCAACAGAAAGGAAAGTGAAATGGCATTGGTTCCCTGCAGGTGGAAGTAATGGATACCGCCGCATCATAGGGTTCAGTCGTTTGAACTGTGATCAAGAAAGATTAAAGAAGCATGAGAGAAAGGAAATGTTTATTTACTTAAGAAATTTGTTTTTGATTTGACTCTGTGATTTATGCAATATTTTATAATACATACATGTTTGAGAGAGAATATGACAAGTAGCCAGTAGGAGTTGAGTACGATCTTGTGGGAGTTATATATATATATTATAAAGAGGAAGGGAGGAAAAGAAGCTGGATATGCCGCCTCAAAAGATTACATCAATGCCAGTTTCGCAGAGAGATTCTCTCTTTTTCTCTAATCTCTGAACTGTTGCTTTGTTCTTGGGACAACATGCTTCTTAATTAAGGTGGTGTTTTTCTCTACCTTACTCTTGTTGCTTACCCCTTTCTTACATTTTTTTTCTCGTCTCATAAGCCTTTTTCTCCCATCATCTGCTGCTTCCTACCACTTCTATCTATTTTCTTACTTTGTTTAAGCATGCGTTTTTTTATTCATGTAGTTGAGGAATAAGAGCAATAATTTGTCACACTGCCGAGTCTCTCTCTATCTCTCTCTCTCCACATATATATATATTCTCCTCTAGTCCTTTCTTTCCTATCTCTTATGTATTGACTATGGTGTCTAGACAATAACTAGTGGATCACTGCTCATTTCTTATATCTGATCCACCTTTTTTTTGTTTTTTCTATGTATTTTCATGTAATATTAGATATCATATAATTAATCATATTCTATACGAAAATAATAAAATTTAATCTCTTTTAATAAATATAATTTTAAAAATTTGAATCTTTTACATTACATTAAAAGAAAATTTATTAATCATATTTGTAACGAATGTAATAAAATTTAATCTTTTTAGTAAGTATAAATTCAAAGTTCGAATATTTTATATTGAAAAAAATTCACTTACCAACTTATTTATGATTAGATCAGCAATTTGATAATAACTAAATCATACATATATACGAGAAATTTTATAATATTCAAAGAGTAATTAGTGGCATGTACGGTAATTATTTCATAGATCCATTTAGAGAAAAGAGATAAACATAGAAAAAAAAAAGAAATACGAGAGAGAAAATTAAAAAAAATTGAGCAAATGTGAAAATCTTTTTATCATTTTTAGTTGATCCGGATGTAATTTTATACGTTTATCTCTTTCTTCCGGATATATTCATGGAGTAACTATTGTTCATGTCACTTATTACTTCTTAAGATTTAGTCTCCGTAAACAATGATTACGTAACAATTGCTCTTAAGAATGATGATCTTTTGCTCGAAAATGGTGGTTTTACGTTTTCCACGAATCATATTAACTATTAAAGAGTTTGTATGTATGATAATAATTTCTTCCAACCAAAAGTTATAAATTTAAATACTAATAAATTAGTTCTATTAAAAATTTTATCCGTGTGAGTTAAAATTTTTTTTAAAAAAACCATATTAACTTAGTCCTGTGTTTACTTGCTGACTTCGTATGCTTTCCATAATACTCCACTAAAGTATATAGGGGTAGCCCAGTAGGAAAACCTAATTTACCGATGGCCTGCAAGAACCAACGGTTCTTGGGAGAACTCAGACTAATAACCTTCGAGTCATGAAGGTGCGCAAGCTAGGTAAAGCCATCAGGAAGTTGATGAAAAGAGAGAATCAGACTAGCCCAGACTCTAGTCGTTTAGTAGACAGCTGTCAGCTGCGTATTACTCTGTCCCAGAAGTTATACATGCACCATCTTTTTACAGTCAAGTCCATTTCCTACATGCCCCACAACTTCAATGTTATCAGCACATCATCATACCTTCCCATAAGTACCTCAAACAACCCTGTACTGACACACACTTGCCTCTTTCAATCAAAACCCTAGAGTGATTCACTACCCACCGTTCTTTCTCTTTCTTAATAGCTTTGTTTCGTATTTTTTTCCATCCGAATATTTGTATCCTATACTGTAATATCACTGATTTTATTTGAGATGAAAAGCATAAATTTTAACCTCTGCCAATAAGTACCATTTGAACCCTATATATAGATAAAAAGTTTGTTTGAGATCAGTTTATTTACTACTAGACCAAAAACTTGTTATGTAGAGTGATCAACCTTAGGATGTTTCATCTCAACCTGTATGTCTAAGAATCGGTAGAAAAAAGGGTTGAGGAAGAACCAAAGATGGCACTTTCTATGAGATGCCGTCATGTAGGATACAGGGTGGTATTCAATATGATATAGACCCGTCATGCATCTGTATTTGAGCTTTCCAGAGAAAGAGAGATAATGTTCATCTGATTCTAACTCAGATTTTCAATTTCTTTGCCGATGCTTGTCCATTTCAAGGCTATAATCCATCGGGTAGGGACAATGAACCAACAATAACCGTAGGTTAAACAAGTAGGAAGTGCTTTAGAGGACAATGGAAGGCGTGGCTGGTGGGACCTGTTAAACAGTGATGGGCGAGAGAGGCAACGACAGGAACAGGCACAGACATTGCAGGCACAGTAGCACCGGATCCTCTCAAAGAAATTTGCATTTCCCATTTCTACCAGCCTTTTTCCATGTGCTATGCCCACTTCCAGTTGAACTAACCAAATTCACGCATAGTGCTTCAATTCTACTTTGTAACAGTGAAAGGGTTTTTGCCAAATGAGGGTGACGCCACTACCACCCTGCTTCCAGTATGACACCACTTATAAACTCAATCCGAGAAAGAATGTCCAAATATGAACCCAGAAAGTTAATTAGCTCTAGGGTTCTGAAATTTATAAAGGCTGAATGAGTCAATATGGACAAGGATGTTTTTAATACTAACTTATTTTTTATTTTTCTCGATTTTGAATTTTTTAGAAAAAAGAATGATAGTTGAAAATTATTGAATGAATTAAATTTTAAAAAAATAAAAGTTTAGAGGTTGGAAAATCCAATTTTAAATGAGTTAAAATTTAGAATATGTTTGATGCATTTAGCCCAAGGAAGAAGCAGAAGACTTCTAAAACAGTCTTCCAAAAGATTTGTCTATTAGCATATCAGCAAAGAAGTAATGGAATAATGACATGAAACGTCCCTATATTTTTTGAACTTTTTTAATATGACCCTTCTAGTTTTCTTTTTAAATCACATCTATTTACTCTTGAAATTTTTATAATGTAGCCTCTCCAATAATTTTCCGACCAATTTTACGATCAGAAGTAACATAAGGTGAGAAAATACTGCTTATGATGACATGTCAAATGAATTCGTCACGTGAAAAAAAAATTGAAAAATAAATAAAAAGGAAAGAACAGTTATTTTTTAGGTATAAAAACAAAATAGAAATAAAATTTAAGGTTTTTATTTTTTCCAGAAACCAAACTCTCTTCTACTATTTACTTCTCTATATTTTCGACAAATAGATAGATTATAAAGAATAAACTTCAACGTTCTTCACACTTCCAATTCTTAATATGACGTTAGACCAAGAATGTTTCTAAATCAATTCCTAACCCTATTGTCCAGAATATACCAAACGCATATATTTATTTATTATTATTATTTTTTTTTGTAAATACCTAATTTATCCGTTTGCTCACATCATTAAGAAAATCAAGAACAAAAAGCAATAAAAAAAATTAACAGCAACACATTAAACAAAACGAAATGATTTTCTGACAAAAAAAAGAACAAAAAATGACAACGATTCCAAGCTTCTTTGACCATCGAAGAGGCAACCGCATCTTCGATCCATTCCCTTCTTTGGACATTTGGGATCCATTCAGGGACTTCACCCCTCTCGTTTCCACAAAGTCTCTCCTTTCTCGTAAAAATTCAGCTTTTGTAAAGAGACCCCAGAAGCTCATGTCTTCAAGGCAGGCTTTCCTAGGCTTAAAAAGGATGTGAAGGTCGAAATCATAGATGACAAAGTGCTTCAAAAAGGCTTAGCCGGTTAGATCAAGTGACTCGGAGAGAGAGTGAACAAAATGTTTTATCCCTAATTTTTTCGTCTCCTCTTTTCATTTTCAGCCAAATTTTTCTTTTTTTTTTCAGGTGAAAAATTAATCTCAAATGTCATGACAAGTTGTGTTTTCTTACTATATATCACTTTTTATCGTAAAATTAGCTAAAAAACCATTTTAAAAAAAGCCACATTAAACAAATTTCGAAAATAGAAAAACATTAGAAAATAGAAACACGTTTAATGCTATTAAACCAAGATGTACCACCAACACTATCATAATCTGGGAGTATTTTCTGTACTCTAAACTGCTGTTTCTCACAAAATTCTTAAAACCGAATTCATTGACGTTCAACGAAACCAACCAATCTATAAACAGAGGCAGTCATCTAACCAAACCATTCTAACTCCATCAAACTCACACCAATTAAATCCCCCAAAAAATCATGGCTGCCAGTATCGTTGAAGTGCTGAACAAAATTCTGAGGCAAATAGGCATACCACAGAAAAAGACCAAATCTCGAAAGTCATTTCGATTATATTTCTATTTCAGACGAAAGTCAAAAGGAGTCCTCCAGGGCCAAAAAGCATCTAAAGTTTCAACTTCATAAAAAAAAAAACACGAGACATGAGATCAAAACATCCAGCAAATACACCCAAAGACACTGCCAGGCATTTTATTAGTCCACTCAGCAAACCAATAAATAATAAAAATGGGTTTAATTAAAAAAACTGGAACATTTCAAATTCCACAATTTAAAGTCTTAAACAAACATGTAATACCAACCACGTCCAGTTCGACTCTGGATATCTCAATGGCTTCTCGCTTGGAGGAACACTTTATGCAGTGAAATCTTCAAAAGGTTTGAAGAAAAAGGTATAGATATAAATGTAAACTCTAAATATAGTTCAATGAGAGACAAAAAGAGAATAATCAAAACAAGGACACTCTGACCGAAAATAGTGCAATAGTAGACGGAGCACGAGCTTCAGCACCCTGCAAAAGCCACCATTCACCCTCCCCTCATGATACATAGACCTCAGTCAAAAAATCATGTTTTCCACCTGGAGTGGGAGGTAATCTGACCCCATAGATTTTTAAAAAGCAGCCGAGGGGCAGAAAACCAAAATTCCCCCCGTTAAAAACAGCAACATCATACCACCACAAATAATCATGGGGTAAAAAGAAACACCCCCATAAAAACATAAATACATCCCAATAAACTCACGCTACTAGCTCAAAGTCATAAAAGTTTCTTTCTTCTCTCTCTTTTTTTTTTTCTTTCTTTTCTTTACTTTTCTTTCTTCTTTTTTTTTGATTTCTCCCTTTTAAGTTTTTTTTGGCCTTAAAAGTTGTTCTTCCCCCCTTTATCCCCATCTAATTTGCTTCCTATTTGCCGCAAAGGAAACTAGGTTTCACTGTGCCAAGGCAAGACCCACAAACTTCAGCAAAATGTAAGATATTCATCAGTAGAATCAAACCCCTCAGTCCCCACCTTCCTCCAATTCTTGATCGACATTTTACTTGCTTGAATTTCTTGCTGAAATTGGGAGATCCAAACCTCCTTGAAAACTGATTTCATCTATTCCCTTGCTGCTAGATAGCTGTGACTGGCTATTCAAATCCCCAGACGATGATCTACCAAGAAAAACTTCAGTACGAACATCTGCTTGACTCCTCACATTGCTATGAACAGTAGCCATCTCCTCCAGAGAGGTGCCTTGGACATGGGCTGCCAGCATGTCATGGCTGGACTTCTCACCAGACTCAGGACTGGAAACATTAGGAAACTGAGTGGGAGTTGTCATGATCCACCGCATCCAATCATTTCGCTTCCTTACCTTCTGACCCTAAAATACAAGGAACAGGAAAATAGGATCAGAGAAGCTACAACATAGACCACATTGTTAAAATATGATAAAATTGGCATGCACATCTGAGTATCTATATATCATATGCTCCTTCAAAAGAAAGGGTTTGTAATAGAGGACCAGAAACTAGCTCGGATGGGAAAGCACAAAACCATCATTTTGTACTTAGCAAATTTCAAGAACAGCAGATCTCATTAAAGTACAGAAAAAATCACCTGTACTTCAACGACACTTGAGTTTCTTATGGCATCCAGTATAAGTTGGATATTGTCAGTCAAAAGCGAAACCTGAACCATAAGCCACAGGAAGATAGTCTTTAAGCTAATAGCATATGAAAATACAATAGCAAAATCATGTGGCTGTGACTTGTGCAGTGATAAATGAATCATTCATGGATTTCAATGTTTTGAGAGGGACAAAACTCAAAATCCAAATACTTCCTATTAACCAAATAAATGCAGCTTGAAGACAAGATTTCTTACTTAGCATTTCACGATATAGATAAACACACACAAGCATACAAAGATAGCAAACAACCCAGGAGTGTGCATGCTGACAAGTTTGACATAGCAATAGAGATATTAGAAACCCTCAAAAGTAATTTAAAGACAACATGCAATAATGATGAAGAAAACAAGTGCAGCCCTGACCTAAATCCCAACAGATCCAACACTCATGGCAGCAATCACCGCATAGCATGGAATAAATATTCAAGTTCATTTCACAATATATGTGACTAGATCTGAAAGTGCCATCATGCAGGAAAAAAGAAATCAGTAAAAGGAATGCCATTACGTCTAGTAAGTACACCATTATCTCCTAAAGATCAAACTTATATCATTAACATCCCAATGATAACAGATTCCTGTTGAATGTCATCTGAAGCACAGCACTGACAATTGGTATTAACTAGGCATGAACCTAAGCAGCAAAAAATTACTTCAATCAGAAATTATGGGGATTGAAATTTAAATTCTGATAATGCAGAAACTCAGACACAGAAAGAAGCACGTGTGAAGTAATAGAAGACTATGCAAATTAAATCTACATTGCTTGTATAACATTGAGAAATGTAATTATGGCTATAAACAAATTGTTCTAAAGGTATTATGTGAAGCAATGTAAATAAATCAAGGTCAAAATGACATTGCATATAAGTTGTGAGACTTCAAAAACACATTTATATCACCTCAGCCACAGATTTATCTTCAATTAGAATATCTAAAGACAATAGGCAATAATGAGAAACAAATAAAATGATCAAGCTTTATTTCTTCACAAAATTATTTCCCAACAGAAACATTTTCTCAGGTTGATTGCATCAACTAACATGCAGACTTTGCTCACTATCACGGACAGCAACAATTTAAAAAATACAGAATAAAGTAAGCACAATTTACTAAAATATGATGGTGGGCCTCCATGCAACAGTAAGATTATTCTGTTGTGACCTGGAAGTCATGGGCTCAAATTGCATAACAGCCACCCTGCAGAAACAGGGAGAAGCACTGTATATATTTGACTCTCACCAAACCGTCCAACAAAAGAAAACATGAACTGCCGTGCTCTCTTTGGAAAAGAAGAAAACATGGAAAGAAAGGATTTTGGGAGAAACGAAACATCATTACTATCTAGTTCCACTGTTGGGGTATTATGCCATCATCTGTCAATAAAATTTTCCAGCAATGGACTTATAAGTTGACAAACACAGAAGTGTGTTTTCCATTTGATGCTGATGACAAAAATACAAAACTCTTGTATTTTATGCATTTTTTTATACAAGCGTAACTCTGTAATTGCCAGATTTGCTTGAAATTTTCTAGGTCTAGGCTTTTATTTTATGTTTGTGCCTTATCAGTCCTTAATTAAGTAGGTTTAAATAAGTAATATTTTCTTATCTAGGAATCTAAGTTCTTGTTAAACTTGGAGTACTAGGAACTCTATAAAGGTCTGTAATCATTTTATAGAGAATCGGAATTTATGAACAAATTTTCCACCTACATGCTTTATGATTGTATATTATGCCATCTATCTAGGGTATGACTCCAAAAAAAGTGTGTGATCCTCCTCCTAGGTGTGACATTTGTAAAACCTACTAGAGAGACTACTAAACCCAATAGTTTCAGTAAAAAACCTCTTATATCTATATTTAGTTTATGAATTCGTAAAAGAGAGATTGTTCTTGTGATTCGAAATGAACCTTTCTCAATGGAGGAAAGGAATAGTGATAGATTCCTAAGGAGCATCCAGGAACAAGAAGATTCATCTATAAAATTTAAAACCTCCTAAGCCCTTTGTCCTTGAATCTAAACCTTTAAATCCCTAACTTCCAAGCCTTAATCCACCACAAAAACCTAGTAAGACAGAGATCTTAAAGTTATCCTGTGTCACCATTCATCCATCCCAGTGAAGTCTTAGTGGAAATTCCTTTGGCATTCCAATAAGATACATTGACATATTACCTAGTTCACGTCTACCTGCATCAATTTTCAGCTAATGGTAACTCATGGCCCACAAAATCGATACTTGAACAATAACATAATAAAATCATGGAGAAAAAGAAGGATCAACCATGCAGCACGTAATAGATCAAACATAAGTCTAAAACAATATCAACTCTCGAAAGAGAATAGATAACAGAATAGTATTAGGGAAAACCAATTAATCAGCGACAAAATAGATAATCTACTAGTTATTCTCAACCTGTAAATGCAGAAAGAGAAAAGGAGAAAAAAGAAATGTATCACAGAGTGGGAATACAGTATTTAAACAGCCAAGACACTGAAAAGAATATAATCCAGACTCCTAAAGAGTCATAGCTAGTAATCCAAAGAGTATGTCTGCAAATATCTAAAAAAAGCACATTGATACTCTAAAACATAGCATGAAAATTACACAAGAAAAAAAACTTGGATGGAATAAAAGAAGTTTCTAGTAACAAGAAGTTTTAGTTAATTCAATCAGATACTTCATCATTGATAAAAAGACATAAGACCTTAACACGCATGCTCTTGTGAATATGTATCAAAGTCCTAGTCTGAAATTCGAGCGTTAAAAACCTTACACACTATTAACTGTCACAACAGAAACCAGGGTACCCAAAGAGAAAAAAATCCAGGACAAATTTAGATAATCAAGAACATTTATCAAGCATGACCATAAACATGAAAAAAGATCATCGTGAAAATAAACAAATGCCATGATTACCCAAAACAACTCACTTTGTTGAAGCTTGCTATTAATTTAATAGACACCCAGCCTTGATCGTCCATGTTCTTCCGTAAGTATATATCTTTACATAAATTTTCATTACTGCAATAAACATTTATTAGTCAACTTCCCAATAAACTTCACTGTGCTGACACAAATAAACAACAGGAACACGTGTACAAAAGCAAAACACCACAGAAGCACCTGAAATAATAATCTATCTGATGCAATATCTTAATATGCAACTGGGGATCTGAAGGAAAGAAAACAGTATGAGGTGGTATTGGTGCCGCAATAATAGGCACACCTCTCATAGAATCTGGATGTGGAGCAACATAATACAATGGCGATCCCATATCTGGAAACAGATTGAGACATTAGAACAAATCCATGTGTAAGCCACAACAGAACTGTAAGCAAATGGGTTTACCAGGGAACCCCATGTGGCCAAAAGGCCGCACTGGTGGGGGTGCAATATATGGAGTAGTAGCAGGAGGTGGTGGAGGCGGTGGTGGATGCCTCATAAGCCTTGGGGCAACTCTTGGTGATGGCTGCACGTGCCCACCATCTCTGCTATTAAAATTTCGATGAGAATTCCAATCTTGATTTGCACGATCTTGATCATTTCGCCTGCCACCATAATTGTGATGGTGGGAACCATCTCCTCGAGAATGTGGCCCACCATTACGGTTCCTAAATGAATTGCGCTGCTGCAGTGGATGGTCATTAGAGCTACGGGATTGGGAACTCCTTTGTCCATGGTCCCCAGAAGAAGAGTTATTTAAATGTCCTTCCCCTGCCGCACCCTGTGATCCTGGTGACTGAGAAGTTCCACCATTAGAAGCTGTGTTAGCACCATTGCGCCTCATTGATCTCTGGCGTGGTACTGTATGGTTTGGAGTTGAATTAGGGTTTGCAGTATTGGTAACTTGTTTCTGTGAAGACAAGGATGCAGTTCCAGTTCCCTACATTAGAAACAAACAGCACATATTAAAACATGCACCCATGTATGAGCAACCTGACAGTTGAAATGAGGATGCATTAAGCACAGAAACTCTCCATTTCATTGCTGAGTTAAGAGAGAACCACAAGTCTGCCTTTTGTTTTCCTACTTGCAAAGGATGAAAACTCACTCAATCATATCACATTTTTAATCAATTGAGAAAAAACCACGTTTGTTGTTTTGGTGTCACCAACTAGTTTGGGATTGACACTTAGTTGTTGTTGCTGCTCTTGTTTTGGCATCTACAAATTCAACAAGGCAGCAAAATTAAGATGAATAATTAGGTACCTAAAAACTCTCTCTTTTGGATTAATTCTCTCCAAGCATTTATAATAAGCTAAAAAAAGCTAGACAGACAGATAATCCAATCATTCCCACTTAAATGATTTTCTACCTATCAGATCAACCTTACTTAGATGTCTGCTTTTATTTTTCTACCTATCAGGAGCTACTAACTATACCAAAATTATAAGGAAAAAAATACAATAATACATTTTTTCTGTCCCTCGCTATTTCCAGAAATAATCAAGCTAATGAAAAAGGAGAGATTCCTCAATGAAAGAAATAAATTGGTAAACTCCTATTTTACACGAATCTTGTTTCCGAAATTAATGATTAAACTAAACTAAATAGATTACTAATTAATGTAAGAAAAATATCTATATTGCATCCATGCCAAGAATTCAAGAAAATACCCAGAATAATAAACTTTTCATCTTTCACTCTTTTCCTAGAATTATTTATTTATTTGTTTGTTGTTGTTTTGGTCTATACAAATTCAAATGCATCTTTCAGTTTTCACACTAATTTCAACTAAATAATCCAAAAAATTTCACCGCAAAACCAAAGCAAAGAAAATCAAAATATTACATTCAATAAAATAATACAAAAAATAAAATAAAATAAATTAATGAATATTAAATTGAGTTAACCAAACGAAATTAAATTGATTTCTATCCAACCTGCGTAACAGGGACAGAAGATGATGATCCATCAGATAATAAACCTTTCAAAGAATCCGAAGATGATTTGGTCAAAGAAGAAACCCTAGCAGCTGACTCGGATAAAGCAGGCCAAGAATCAGCCCCCATAACACTCCCAATCTCCACAGGAGCATTATCAGCCGTAGATGGCTTGTTCCACACCAGTCTCTTGCTCACATTATTCTCACTCTCCACGCTCTCTTCCTCTGCTACCAAGACCGAAGCCACTTGCTCCGCCGCCGTTGAAGAATTAGTAGAAGATTCCGATTCAGCACCACGCACGATTCGTGTCCATGGCGGAGAAACCTGCTTATCAGCTGTCCGCCGCGATTGTGGACTGCTCACCTGATTGCTGTTGCTGATGTTATCGGCAGCGATTGTATGACGAGGAGAATGATCGGCTGCCGTGATGGTGTTTGTGTTGGAATTAGTAAGCGTCGCCATAAATTAAATTACGAATAAAAACCAAACAGTTAGGGTTTGTTTGTTGCTGTTAGTGATCAATTTCTGCTGTTGATCGATTGAGAGGGGCAAAACAGGAATTAAATTGATAAAAAAAATTTTGATATGGAGAGAGAGCAATTAGGGTTCCGATTTTTCTGATAATGTGGGAGAGTGAGATTTTTGTTAAAAAAAAAAAAATGGAGATCGAGAGAAATCGGAATTGGAAAGATCGAAGTAAGTGAGCGTGGTGTGTGTCTCTCTCTCTCTCGCTCGCTCTCTGTTTCTCTCTCCCTGTGTTTTTTCCTTTCCTTTTATTCCTGTTTTGTTTATAAAATTATTTTGTCCTTTCTGTCAAATTTCTTGTTGTCGTGGGCCAAGTTATACTTCCAGCCCCCATGATTATCTAAAGATTTATTTTGATACTTGTATGGAGGACTTTTCCATACAAATCGTATTTCTTACAAAAACTTGCAATACGACCCTTCACCATTAAGCCACTAACGATAACATTAGATAGTGGAACAGATCTGCTTATTTACTTTTTTTTTTCCTTTAGATTTTTGGATTTTCAAGGATTCATGAGATTTTGAAAAGTTAAAAAGATGGAAAAAAATACAATAACATCATAAAAGACAGGTCTCGTGTCAGCTTTAATTAGCAATTTAATAATAAAATATTATTTTCAAAGTCTGGCACTTAATTGATTCTACATTTTTGTAGTCCTTACTCAAATTTAAAAATAAAATATGATAAATATTAAATAATTTTTTTAAGAATGCACATGAAAAATATTTCAAAAAGTAAAAAACTAACAAGTGATTTTAGAGCATCCGATAAACACAACCTAATTAATGCATTTATTATACTCTATTTGTTGGTAGAAAATAACTTCTACGAGCACGTTTTAATTTTACAACATGTGTTCTAGCCAAGATTGTGTTGAAAAATTTCAATTTTTTTTTATATTTCTGTGTAATTTTAACTTAAAAATGTTAATCAACATCTAAAACACATGTTCTTATATAAGAACTTGCTAAAATAACCATGTTTTTTTTGTTGTTGTTGTATTAAAAAAAATATTTAATAAAAAATTGACGATAATAATATTATTTAAATGTATTTTATATGATATATTTTTTTAATTTTTCATAATAATATCCACAACATTTAAAGAAAATTAAAATTGATTTGTAGCATTAAACGACTCTTAATAAGTACTCTAAATGCGTCCGTCGGATCCTTTCAAGCTTGCGGTAAGTTCACAAACAGACAAAAGGTTTGGTTGACAAGGAAAACAATAGAGAATCGAGATGAAACTTTTTTGAACTTCTAGGATTGATATCGAAAAACTTTAACCTAAAGAACCCAAAGTAGAACACTGATAAGTCTCGGGGGACTAAATATAATCCGCCATTGTTGGTTTGTTTGGCTGGTTGCTTAGCCCTAGAGGATTCTCAGGATGCTCTCATGGGTTTGTGCTTTTTCGTAAATAGCCCTAATTCTGGGCAGTTTAGCTGCGATTTGATCCGGCGAAGATCTGTTAATGTAGGGGTAAAAGAGGCAAACTAATTATTCGCTCGTGGTTTCTTCTTGCCTAATGGGATCTAGATCATGTCATGGTTCAGTATTACGAAGCGTATCTGCTTATGTTATTACAGGATCGTTGGATTTATAAAAATAAATAAAAATACAGAATCTTTTGTTTGGTGAATTATAAATTACATGAATTAACCAGAAGTTTATCTTTCAGGTTTTTTATCCAAATTTTTTTTTTACATAAATAAAAATTTAAATTTAAAATTACTTATTTAAACCACCAGTCTTTTCAACTCAAACAAACTTCCTTGCAAGTTTTCATTTAGTCAAAACAAAATACTTGTAATAACTTATCAACGGGGTTGTTGCTTTTGGAGATACTTAACAGATGTGTTATGACAACAGACAGCATAAAAAGGAGTTTTGTTGATTGGTCTAGGTAGAAACTTTTGTTTTCCTCGTACACCAAAATAGTTCACTGTCAATCACCTCCAACAATGACCATGGCCTCCACAACAACGTTTTTCCAGAGATGGCTAGACAAAAAGTTTCACGAATCATGACCAGAATGCTCAGTTTTCGCATATATTGTCGATAAAACTAAAACAAAATCATTTGTTATTATTCATTTATTATTTAAAATATTATTTTTATAGACTTATTTTAAAATTTATTTAGATTCAATTCATTATTGCTTTTATAGTGATATTTTTATAGTTTTTAAATATTTTTAATATATTTATTATGAAAACTTTTGTAATACTACATTTTAATATTTTTTTAAATATGACTTTTTTAATTCGTAAATATTTTTTATTTGGTTTCGATCTCTTTTTTTTTTCGTTTTTGTCCCTTTAATCCTTTTTTCCTCTTATTTTTTAATAAAAAAATTTTAAGCAAAAAAATGTTTAAAAATAATTTTTTAGTTAAAAATCTATTGGTTTTGACATTCTTTATACTAGTAAATAATTTTTTTGATAAAAAAAATTTATAAAAAATATAAAAAATAATCATTCAAATATAAAAATTGATATATTTCGATAAACACACAATATAAAACGAGACATTAATATAAAATAATTTTATATATTTTGTCCCTCCTACGATATAACGCATGTTAAAAATCTAATATATATATATATATATATATATATATATATATATATGATAAACAAATGTTTTTCCTAACTACAACACTGGCCCATTTGTTTTTTTATTTTTGAAATGGGCCTGCCAGTCCCAGATTCATCCACTTTACGCGGCAGGACTGTGTCAGACCGGTGGTTGGTACTATAGTTTTTACAGGCAGCTTGAACCTAAACAACCACATATCCATAGCAGAATAAAGTTGCAATCGGAGTCCTATTTTTCCTTCACAAGATTTCGAGAATATAAGGAGGGGAAAGTACTCTCAGGTGGGGTTTGTAAAGGGTAAGTTCATTTATCAAGGGTTAATTCATGGAATGTGATGTCAGATTTCTTGTTTTGGTAAGAGTATTTCTTTAAAGCGCAGACAGCTATTTAAATGCCATTTACTACCTTAACTAGTGCTATGGAAATCGGAAAGTGTGACTCTGGATGAGCCAATAACTTCATGAGGATAGTTAGGTAGCTAAGGTCACTTGCGTTGGTTTCAATGACTTGAAATAAAATCTAATTTATACCGCAATACCTTACCGGAAAAACGAAGGGCCAAACAAGCCCGGAATGCAATGAGAAAGTTAGAGGAAAAAGAAAAAAAGAAATACTAATCTTTTCATGTTTGTGCGTTTTAACGTTGGTTTGTTGACTTTGAACTACATTTTCAACGACCACGCACTTGTTTTCATTCAAGTCAATGATAGCACAAACAAATCCGACAATTTGTGTTAGAAAAAGGTTGATCAATCTATTATTGCCTAGAAATTTTATCCCAGCAATGGTCCCAAAACGTGATATTCGTTGTTGTTTTTTTTTTTTTTTTTAACAGTATCCTCGTTCTAAGTTGAAAATATAGCTAATAGTATTTGAAACGAAAACAATAACCTTTTAACTCCTCCTAACAAATATTATAGAGTTAATAATATTTGAAACAAAAATAATAAATTTTAACTTTTTTCATCAAATATTATTTAGCATTCGAATTTTATACATTAATAAAAAAAATTCTTCCATCAAATATTATTTAACATTCGAATTTTATGCATTAATAAAAAAATTCGTTTCATGACTAACTCGGTTTTCACTATGCCAACAATTCAGTGGTAAGACGTGATATTCTTTCCAGACATCGCACATTTTTAATCGATGTGAGACTTCGGCCGTTGTAAATACACTAAACACAAGTAAATGGCCAGCCCACATAACTAGCAAAACATGAGGGGTTTTTATTTTATTTTTTCAATGAAAGGACATACTCCTTAACAAAATCATGGTCCATGCATGCTAACCCTTGTAATTAATACGTACAAATTATTTATTTATGTAGTCGATGTGGGACTATGTTGCATTGCATGACTGGCTTCCTTAAAAGATACTATTCCGTCATGAGTAAGATCTCGTGGTGGATTTTGTCCGAAAGAAATTTGTTTTGAAAAAAAAAAAAAGATGGCCATTTAAAAGTTACAAACCATTATGTTTGTACAATTCAGTAGTCAAAAAGATTTTCGTACATACTCAATTTATTAATAACAATTAAATAATAATTTAGTTAATTTTATTAGATACCAATTTATTTATTTATTAATTTTTTTTTTTTTTAGTTTTAGTATGGATTCAAACAACACAGTAAATAAATTGAACTAAACATGCATTTTGCTTAGTATAAGACTTTAGATTGTGCAAAGATGGACATTGATATTTTAGTAGAGTCACTGTCCATGTCTTGCATTTGTGATATATTAAATTGATTGGTTTGGTGAATTGAGAGTAGGATGTATTAAAAAAAAATAATTATTATTATTTTTTAGTATTTACTAAATAAGTTGAAGCAATATAGTCCAAAAGAACTTAATTTCTTCAACTCAAACCACGATCGTGAAAACATAAATAATGTAGTATAATCTTATTCATTAAAACCTATCTTCAATTCATTGTAAATACCAACCTTATATCATCGTGAGAGGATTCCAATTTTTTTATCTTTAACAAAATCATCTAAACTCTCCCTCTCTCTCTCTCTCTTTCTATTCTTTTAAAGTTGTCTCATTCACACATTAGACATCATTTAAAACTCTATCTATTTGGACCTTGACTCATTCTTGTTTTCTTCACAAAATTTGCACAGAATTTGAATGGGGATGTATGGTTCTTAACATGATTAAAGCTCAAGCAGCTGATTAGGCCTTTGGTTCTAAGGTCAAGGATTCTTTGCTTAATTGTTCCTCTACCTCCCAATTGTTCAAATTTTGCACCATTCGACCCAATCAGAGAGCTAAAATTGGGAAAACAAGGGAATAATTTAAGGGCAAATTCCTTTCTGAGATGATCACTACCATACAAATGCAAATGCCCAACAATCGGTGAGGATGCCGTCAATTAAGGGGATTTGCTACAGCAGGAGAATTCTTTCCGTTTGACTAACTTGCTGATCAAAATATGGCTACCTCACATAGAATGATGTGGAAAAACTATCCAACTCCTGGTGATGTTAACCTCACATGGAATGTCAAATATGGTGTTTTATTGAGGTTACAACGGCAATACACCTTCAGTTTCCAAAGCCATTTTGGCCAAAATATGCATTGAAGTTGGAATGATTCAAAAATGAATACAACCAATTGTACTTTTACTAAGCAAAGCTCCTGCTACAATTAATTTTGTTTAATGCATCACTTTCGAATGGAGAAGTTACAGTACATAAAAGATAGGTTATGGTCTTTAATCTCACCAAAAGACCAATGGCCCACGAGGCAGGAGAATCACAGGTGAGCACCAAAATTATTGTAAATGATTGCATATCCTTTTAACAGATAAATTAATGACATCGTTATCCGTTGTGTGAAATATCCAGCTGAGAAAGTTCAAATGTGACCGACCTAATGCACAGTTGTTCAAACAAACAAAGCTTTGAGCTTGAAATAGTGGAGGAATACATGGCATGAAAATGTTTCATCACAAGACCAGCAACTAGAGAAGATTGCCTGAAAAACGTTTAGCTGTAATCAGTTGCAACAGAAAGAACAAGCTATTTTAACTTTTAGATTCTATTTTCACGTTTTATGGGTTGATGCATCAGATGGATCCGAAGAACTGTTCCAAGGATTGAGAACTGAACACATTTGGAGCAGTCCGTTCAGGTCTACTGGGAGAAACGTGAAGCTGATATTTGATAAATCTCTGTCACAAAAGAAAAGTGAAACTGAGATGATATGTAATACAGAGAGTAGATATCCTGATCTAAGAACCAGGAAGACTAAAGAATGACGAATTCAAAAAGTAGCGAGTAAAGGGAGCATACAGCTAACTGAAAAACAATTTCAGGATTCGTGTCAATATGCCAATCTGGTTCTATTTGTCGAACAAAAGATGATCGTCCAGTTTCTGTGCTACAAAATAGAACCTGCAGAAGCATTTTACAGAGATTAAGACAAAAAAAACAAAATGCCAATTTTTTTTAACAAAAAATAAAAATCAAATCGTAATATTAAAAACTCAGCAGAATATTCAGATATTATATTTTGAACACATGAGTAAAACTGAAGTAGCATTTAAATCATAATGTAGTCATGAATCTGTTATGATTTGGATTACAATGTACTAAAGGTGTCCCAAGTGTGGTGATTATATCAATAAACAAATGAATGAATGAATACCTACCAGATATGACCAATTCTGCTGATATTTCTATACCACAAAAATCCATCCTTGTTGGCAGGTTGAGCAAGTCCAGCCTCTTCTTAATGTCAATTATCAAATATTGACAGCAGTATAAAATGTTATAGAGACAGAAGGAATATTTGCCATATCATTAAGCTTATCAGCCACAATCTTTCTTTCGTAATTTGGAAAGTTGATGACATCATTATGTCTTCAAAATTTAACAACGGTCAAAACTGCATAATTTCATGGAATTCAATCTCTTCCCTGCATAAAAGGTTCAGTAGGATTCTGGGAAGCTCACGAGATCATGCATGCTGTCATAATTATGTTATGAAATGTCACTAAACAAGTTAAAATTAAATTTATAAAAAGGAATTCTAGGAAACTGACAATTAATATACATGGAACAATTTTTATGAAGTAATAGCCAGTATAAAACAACTCCGAGTGTATTGCATGCATAGCAATTCCACAAGAAGAAATTTCAATTATTAGCTACCATAAAAACCATATTATTCTGAAAGCATTTCTAATCACCTTGTCTTTGACCAAACCACCAGATGTGAAAACTCCTGCATTTTCCAAAGCTGCAAGAACCTTTTGCTGCAGAAAATAGTTCATGATGTAATTCACGAGGGAAGCTATTTATTGCAAAATAATAGACAAGTGGAAGAGCAAAATAACATGAATAGAAAGCCAATAACTTGGTTGATCAACTAGCATTACGAAAGCATCCACAACTTAGAAGCAAAAAATCGTTAATTGTTGATAACTGAATGTGGAGAGAAAAAGAATGTGAAATAACATAATATAGGAACATAGATCAGGTTGAAGTACAACTGACAGTCCTAGAAGTAACAGAGACATTTCTGGATAACATCTACATCATTAACAGGTACCATAAAATTTATTTGTAATCATTTTCCACCAAATCTAAAATTATATGCAGTACTCAAGGGCAGATTGAACCAATGGGAAACTAAATACAGATCAATGATAAACCATTAAAAAGAACAACCCTGCTCGCTAGCACTATGAAAAACTTATTTGAAAACACAGATCAACAAAAATGTTGAGATTTTTCAATAAACGAGAAGTTATGATAAAATACTGTTCTACATAAAGCTTGTACGTACTTCACTCTCGTCATCAAGAACTCTTTCCATGAGATAAAGATCACAAAATTTTGTGATTTCTAACAGCACTTCCAGCACAGAGGACCTCACAGTTGCTTGACTTTTCCCCTGAGAAAACAAACCAAGTTTAATGTTTTGCACATTACTGTTTCAAGCACAGATTTCACTAGAAAAAAACATCTCACTACCTGAAGCTCCTCTGGACTGCTTTCTTCAAGGATTACTCCAAGTAAACGACACGTGACCTACACAAAACAAGTCATCAAAGCATTAAACTTTGTGTGTGTGTGTGTGTGTTTTGGGGGTGGTGGTGGTTATGGCTTTCTTTATTACACAACTCAACTTGTCTTCTTGCTGAATTATAACTAGCATAATCCTAAAAGTTACAACATGTACTATAAGTAAACAATTGAAAACTAGAACAGATTTGAGAGGGAATCCATTCAACAAATTTACAAGCATGGGCATTTATAACAACAAATCATGAAATGAAAAGTTCAAGTACCAAAAGTTACTAATAACAAGCATGCTACAAGATTACTTGAGGCAAATGGCATATAGATGCAAGGACCCTAACTCAAACACCTACAAAAAAGTTGGTCATATAAGTTCTAGGAATGTTGTGTTTTGGCCATGGCTCACAGCTGAACAAGTCATGTTTGTGTTTTGTTAGCGGCATTTTTTTCATATGGGAATGAATTAAATGATCACCTGTGATCTAAATGAGAGGATACTAAACACAAAACAAATAAGCGCATAAATTAAACTTCCATGTGACTGCACGCAGACTGGACAAATAAAACTTCCCAAAAAAATTTAAGAGAGAAATGAAACCACAGTCAAGCTAACAAAAGGAGACCACAGAAATCACTTCTACTAAATATCAACTGCAAATTAAGCAAATAGCAAAATCATCCTTAGTGCATCAAAGATTGTATTTACCTTTCTTCCTTCGCTCAATTTTTGCCTAACTATTTGCGCCAAAGTTGGCTGAAAAACACAGGCAAAGCATTGATAAGAATAAAAAAAGTCTACATAAACAAAATCACAATTAAACTATTGGTTTTCTTACTTTTACTGGTTGGAAGAACTCATCAACAACATTTTGCAATCTCGAATCATCTGAAGATGTACAAACACCCCTAGAAGGTATTGGCACAGCATTGGGTTGAGTAGTCACAACAGAACTACTAGTTGTAGGAGCTTGCCGTTTTGGCTGCCTTCTTTGAGATTCACTATTTGACCTCAACAACCTCCATGTAAAGACTATTGCGACAGCAAGCCCCGCAACAGCCCCAACTGATAGCGAATCCTGATACCAAATTTATCCAGCAAGAGTACTCAATACCACAAATCAAACCATTCCTTTAATTTCTAATATAAATAATTACCCTATATTAATACACATTTGCTAAAATTCTATAAATTTTTAAATAATTTTCACCATAACATTCTTAAATCTTCAACATTATCTCAAAAGGAAGGAAAAAGATATTAGAATTGAAAAAAAATTCCAAACAACAGAAAAAATAAAAATAAAAATAAAAATAAATCGATCAATTAATTACAAACCATTGAACAACAACAATAAAAAAAGAAAGAGAAAAGAAACCCATTTATGAGCAAGAAAAAAATTAAACTCAACCAAATTCCACTCCTATTAACAAATAAAAGCTTCAATCTTTACCCTAATTAAACCATAAATGGATTACATTACTCTAAAATCATGTCATTAATTATCGGTCCTTTCAACAATCAAACTACACCCACGATTACAATCACAATCACAAATACATTAAACCCTAAAAATCGATTAATCAGCAAATTAAAAAAATCCCAATCAGATCGAGGGAAAAAATTGAAATAAAAACGCGATTGAAAGACTAACCAGAGTATTAAAAGAGAAGAGACTTGACATCTTGACGGTTAAATAAGCACTAAATCGCTTGATTAGCTGCAATAACTCGTCTTTTGATGTCTCTGCTGCCATACCCGAATAAAACCGAACCTTTCAAAATCTACCAGTAATATCTGCAGAAGAGAGGGAGAGAGAGAGAGGGATAAAAACGACGAGTCGTGTTCGTAAAATACAGGATACCAAAAAAGAAAGCAGGAAGGGTTTTTTTTTTTTTTTTCGATATTTGTGATTCTTCTCTCTCAGAGGTTGGCTTTTGCCGTGCTCAAGCTTCTGCTTTGCGTCAACGAAAGAAAGAATCGATGCGTTTAGTATTTGTTTTGTGCTTTTTTCAACCTTTTGTTTGTTACTATTTCTTTGTGAGTTGTGGTGCTAAACATTAGTCCCTAAAGACTATAAATTGTTACAAATTTATTCCCTAACTTTATTTGGTTGATTCAAAAAACAGTTGGACAAAATATTTATCGTAAATGCATGAATTTACAAATAATAATAATAATAATAAATAAATAAATAAATTCAACATTTCATTATAGAAAAAAATCATCAATAACATACGCTTAAATTTTCCATAAAATAAGCTTTTTTTTTCTTTAGAAATTCTAACGTATAAATATTTAAGTTCTTATGTGAAATTAAATATAAATAAAACAAAAAAATAAGAAAACATATTTTTTGTTTAAAAAAAAGTGATTAAGAGTATTCCCAAGCTATTGAGAATATAAATATAATATGTTATTTTATAAAAAAATAGTTTTGATGATAGAATATCTACTCCATTTGTTTTTTTAAAAAAATGTTTATCTTTTTATTTATATATGTACTAACAATTTTATTGGTTTAAAACTTTAATATCCCTAATTGAAGTCTTGTTTTATGAAAGTTCTTCAAATACAATTCTACAAAAAAAGTTTTTTTTTTTTAAGAAAGTATTAATAAAAGATACTAATATAGTATAATAATTAATATATATATATATATATCTATTTTTGTAAAACATTTAAGAGTTCAATCTTTTTATGATAGAAAGAATATTGAATTCTATTTTATTAATTAAACCAAGTTCCAGAAAATTTTCTAAAAATCCAAATCATCACTTGGTTGTTAATTGATTGCTAGTTTTTGGATGATGAAATTAAGAGAAATTCTAGTTTAGGAACTGATTTAGAAACACCATTGGAGTTGGAGGCCTTATTGGTAATTATCCCATGTTACAGTTTTACTGTTCGTACTCTAACGGTAAGAGACGAGGTCTGATTGGATGTTGTAAATCTGACTGTTCTTTTCCGGATGCTCACGTGGCTAGACTTTATTGCATGTTTGAAACAACCGCACAGACCTGGCAGAAGCAGAACTCCACTGTCAAAACTCCGATAGGAAGGGGAACATTTTTTGAGACAATGTGTTGGTATTCAATCCATAAATTAAATAACATATAAATAATTTGGTGGATTCCATTTTATGTTCCTTGTATTTAGAAAGTTGGATTCTATCGTTTTTATTTCTTAATGGACATTGAAAAACCTGATAATATGAAAAAATATTAGTGGCACGACGCATAATTTTGATTTCATTTCTCAATGAATATTCAAAATTTTGATAATGTGAAAAATATTAGTCACATGAGTATAATTTTGATTAAAATATCAAATTTTATATGATTAATTTTATAATGATTAAAGAGTAATTTGTTACAGCTAATCAGTTACTCGAAATCTTATAAATTTGATTGCTAGTTTTTGGATGATGAAATTAAGAGAAATTCTACTCCATTTGTTTTTTTTTTTAAATTGTTTATTCTTTTATTTATATATGTCCTAACAATTTTATGGGTTTAAAACTTTAATATCTCTAATTGAAGTCTTATTTTATGAAAAATTTTCAAATACGATTCTACATAAAAAGTTTTTTTTTTTTTTTTAAGAAAGTATTAATAAAAGATACTGATAGTATAATTTTGATTAAAATATCAAATTTTATATGATTAATTTTATAATGGTTAAAGAGTAATTTGTGACAGCTAATAAGTTACTCAAAATCTTATAAATCTCAATTGTTAGGTTATTAAATATTTTAGTTTATGTGAACTTGAAAATATGATCTGATTTGGAGTAGGTTTTTTTTTTAAAAAAAAAAAAAAGAGAGGAAAAAAAGAAGATTAAAGCTTTGGCATTGGCTGCAAAAAAATTGAAAGCCTACTCTTCTCTCTTGCAAAAATCCAAAAGCAATAATTCGAAGAGAAGAGAAAGTAGGGAATTAGGATTCTCATTCTAATTTAGTTGTCCACGACACTTCATCCACGTTCGTTTTAAGAGGGAATCTCTTTTTCTTTCTGCATGTGTTTACTTTATCCATTGCTAAAGGTAACTTATAAAACATGTCAGTTGAGGCTTATAAAGTTTTCAGTAATTTATCAGTTGTCACAAGTTATTTTTAATTTGAGTATTGTAAAATTTCTTAAAATCTCACTTAAAAGCTTAAAGCTGATAGATGAGGACATAGAATATAATTTATACTATTCTATAACACATCCCCTCAGTGAAAGGCCTAACATTTTAGACATGAAACTTGCACAAGTCTATATTACCTTGTGCTTTATACTTGAAAAATTGAGGATGATGAGACTTGAATTTATGACCTCAAGGTCAACCAAGTTTTGATACCATATTAAAATATCATCTCACCTAAAAATTTAAGCCGATAGGTGAGGTCATAAAATATAATTTATACTATTCTCTAACACATCCCCTTAAGTGAAAAGCCCAACATTTTAGACATGAAACTTGCACAAGTCTATATTACCTTGTGCTTTATACTTGAAAAATTGAGGATGATGAGACTTGAATTTATGACCTCAAGGTCAACCAAGCTTTGATACCATATTAAAATATCATCTCACCTAAAAATTTAAGGTGATAGGTGAGGTCATAAAATATAATTTATACTATTCGCTAACGAGTAATGACAAATATTTTCTTATACTTATGGGTACTAGTTTTTCATAAGTAATGTCTTTCTATCATATGGCATTGCGTTGTGTGTTAATTTTTTTAATTAATTTACTAGTCTATTTGTCATTTACTATCCACAAATTTCTGCAAATGTCCAGTACAATAAAGTATAAATATATCAAAGTTGTGGTCCATTCTACGAACAAATGAAAATAATGATCAATTTAGATGCTAAAAAAAGAAGGAAAAAAAAAAAGCAATAAAGCGATTCTCATCACGAGCAATTATTGTTGCTTACTTTGTTGGCCAATGAATATGACTTTACTTTCAGCAACGGAAACATGAGCAGCTATTTGATAGATTTAGAGGATTATTATTAATATATAAATTAACAAGAGTTTATTTATATTTATAATGAACAAAATTTCTGATTAAAAGTTATATAAACAATTCATACGTCCCTTTTTTATGGATTGCAGTTATATATCTTATAATTCTTGACTAATTTTAATAGATACAACTTAATTTTGTGAATAGATACACTCATAAAAGTTGGTTTCGTATGGGTGGAGGGATATACAACTGAAAATATTTGAGTGGATTCGAGCACAGAGAAGGGATTGACAAAAAAATAAAACCAAGAAACAAAAGAAAACTTCCTTGGCTAATGAAGATGATCATGGAAAAATTACGGAGACTAATTCCTACATGATAAACAAAAATCACCCACTAAGTATTCATCCCTGCGAACACTCTAACCCGGCACAAAGGGCACAGATTACTCTCCAGGAACCACCTAACAATGCAGTAATGGTGATAAACATGCGAGCAAGGCAAGCATGCAGCTCCACCAATCTTGGGTATCAAAATCTCTTCTAAACATATCGCACAATCCATAGGTTGCTCGATGTTTTCCGATTTCTTCCATGCAAAACCACATCCATCAGTACTAGACAACAGTTCATCGTCTTGGATTACTGTGTCAATGGTAATGAAAATTGCTTCTGTAGGTGTCTTCTCCCGCTCGGCTGTGATGGTGACGCACCCCAACCAACTCACTATATCAAATATAACCGAGTGAACAAACATATGATCTTCGTCGGTAGGCCATGAACAAGCTTGCTTGGAGATGTCATGGGCTAAACCATCCCTTTGATCTTCAATGGTTGTCAAGATACTAATACGAGAAAGCATTTGCGACACCAGGGCTGTTGTCGAGGGTTGATCGGAGGTTAATCGACGGGACATCAAGAATTCGTGCTTGGTGATTTTTGATCTTTCTAGTGGATAGTCTAGCTCTACAAAAATCAAGTGGAGGAGGAAGTCATCAGCTTGCAAGACGGACTCCTTATTGTCAATTTGATCATAATTTTCCTCTTGAAGTTCATTCGATGACATAGTTTGAATATGGAGAAAAAAATATCAAAATTTATTTGTGGAGGAAGAGGAAGAAGAAGAAGAAGAAGAAGAAAGCGAGTTCTTAATGTATTTAGGGTTTTTTCGTTCATAGTACGTAGACTAGGTTTGTAAAGTTTGGGTTTGAGAAGGGAACACCGGATTATATAGGATAAGATTAATCTCGCTTGGTTACCACACGTTTGTACATTCCTATCCCATTACGGATAGGTTTTATATTTTTCAGACACTAATAAGTATTTTGAGATTAATTTATATTCAGCTTGTTTGAAATTCGAATTTCCATGGAGGAAGGCAAGAAATTTTATACTCTCCATGCATGATCAACAAAGATTTGCTCACAGTAATGGATCAGTGAAACCCTCTAATCCTGCAGAAAGGGCAGAGATTACTGATCAGGAAACGGCAGATTATATAGGAGAATAATAATCTAGTTTGGTATATATTGTTCATCATTCCAAATGTATTTTTATATCTAACTTTTTGTTAATTTTTTAAGAAAGTAAAATAGCAATTTTAGAACTACACTACTCTATTAATTGATAGATAGAAAATCGCCAAATCCATGGCCATTTTAGTTAGCTTAATTTTTTTAATTGCTAAAAAGTACCATTTACGTGCAACATGAAAATTTTACTTCATTAAAACATTTGGCTAATCAAAGTAGCTATAGGCTTTTGTTTTTTGTTAATTTTTATATGCATATAATTAAGAAGATATTTTTGAACCAGTTTTTACATCAATCGAGATTAAGTTTTTTTTTTTTTTAAAACCAATGCCAAAACACATATAGTCCTTGGTCGACTACTAAAATGCTTCTTAAGCCAAACCAACCAAGATATAATACTATTAAAGAATAATTATGGATAGTTATTTATGAATAATGAAAATTAAAAGTTTTTCTCAATTCGAAGCAATCCATTTACCACTAATCAAAATAGCTATATGTCTAACCTCACTTACTAAAAATCTCATTTAAGAGAGAGAATCATGGACCGAATCAATAATAGACTTAAACTAAAAAAATAAGTACACTTGAAATAGTTTTATTTAGATACAAAACTATTTTGGTAGTGATTCAAATAAATCATGTATTTTTTTTCAGTATTGAATTTTGATTTTTTTTATGCATTCAAGTTTTTGTATTTCATCGTAACTAGTCGTTGTTTTTATGCGGATATTATGAAGTTCTATTTGATTTTTGGTAAAGAATTATATGTTTTTTTTTTTTTTTTTTGTCAAGCCACTACATTCTTAATATATATTTAGTGTACAACTACAGTTGTGATGTATCACAACTACAATAAATTAAGTCTTTTACAATATATTTTTCCATCGCTAAATATATATATTCCATCGATAGTTTTTTTTAGTGACATGATGATAACAAAAAATATGCATTTGTAAAATATTTATAATTAATAATTTTAAACTCGGAGTGCGAGATAACTATTTAGTATACAACTATAATTGTGATCTATCATCTATATAACAAGTTTTCAATAAATACATATTTTTTGTGGATCTTTTTTTTTTTTTTAAATGATGTAAATTTACTCGATCAATTCTGTATTAACCAATAAATTAATATATAATTTCTCATAAGCGTGTAGGGTTTGTTCATATTTTTTACAAGTTTCTCATTCTATTGATTTTGTCTATAAATAAATAATTGGTACACTGAGTTTATTATGTTAATTTCATGAAATTTTCAATGGTACCAAACATATCTCTTTGGACCTTATTTCGCACGCCATGACTCAAGAATATTAGCATGAGGTTAATGGAAAATCATCTGAATCGTATTTAACCTAACCTGGCATTTTGATGGCATGATTATACAGTTTAAACGCAAAATAATGCTAAACTATTGTTGTCTGACTCTTTGCAAACAGTGGCTCAAAAGTAAAAGGCATATATCTAAAAAATTTCGACATCTAAAAGAAATCAGTTTATACTTTTTTTCCCCTTATTGCATGCATCGAGGTCTTTTACTTATGTTAATTAATTAATTGACAATAAAATTTAAGCTGGTTAATTTTGATATTTCAAATGTGTGATCAGTTTTTGGCAGAGAAATGAAGATTAACATTGATTTTGAAGGTGTAAATCGCCAATTTACAGTGGGAGATGATGCAACTGGTTTAGATTTGAAAATGAAAGTTCAGGAGATACTTGGTTTCCAAGCTACGAACCAGAGACTCTTTATCAACGGTTCGACAATGCTGGATGATTACAGCAAATTGGTAAGTTATGGAATTGTGGATGACACTAATATCAGCTTCCGCTATAAAATCTTGATTCAAGGACGACCAAACCAGTTTAAAACTTCCAAAGAGTATGAGCTATTTGTCCATGGTGGCAACACAGTTCTGAACTTGAAGCAGATGCTTAATTCTGAGCATGGAATTGACATCAGAACAATCAAATTCAAAATAGGCAATAATGATAACCTTGATGATAACACTAAAATCTGGAATTATGACATAAGGCCTGGTAGTCACTTATGTATGATTTAGATATATGGTGAACTTGTCGGAAATAAATAGTAAGAAAATGAATAAAATGCATTAGCAGCATGGATGCATGTGCTAAATGTGTGTAATGGTTATTGAATGCAATAAAAGGTTCAAGTTTTATCTCGAAAGATACAAATAGTTTTAATTAGTGTACTCTTTTGCATGGTCTTGTTTCTGTAGAATCCTCAAAAAGGCCTTCTTTGGCTGGCCAATTTGGAGAGGGCTGTAATCCTGTAAGAAATTCATGGGCTGACCTAGATCTAGTTTGCAACACTAATTTCCTGTGCTCAACCACAAATAAAATTATACTCCATGTTGGGTCACACATTTTTGTTCAATTTGATCATTCTCAAAGTAAAACCAAAATTTTTTTAGAAGAAGATGTATATATTGTTTGGGGTTCTTAAGTGGAGGTTAATGAAAGGTTACTAGATCTGTAAAAATATGAGAATATTTCTCGAACTACAAGAACAGACAATTTGTAACTGTCTTTACCTATTTAATCATAAGAGGTATTTTTCTCGAAACTATAATATTAATATTATCCCACTTTAAACTATGAGGATCATAATGAAGTATTTGTTAATATATAAGGATCAAAGTATAGTTTATTCTGAAAAACATTTTTTTTCCACTTCGCCGTAAAACGCACTATATAATGGAGAAAGACAGACAGAGAGACGCAGAGAGGAAGAAAGCTTGGTGGCAATGGAAACAAAGTGTCTTATAGATACAAAGTGCGCCGCTGAAATTTCTGCTCTGCTCACTCCTCCTTCTCATCTTCAACTCCAGGTACGCTCTCTCTCTCTCTCTCTCTCTCTCTACCTCTGCAACCCTTTTTTTTTATTTTTATGTTTTTTTTTTTTTTGGTTGGGATTTAAAATGAATTTGTTTTGATTTTTATGTATTAATGTTGATTAGGAATACTTTGAGGATATTATATCTGAAAGGAAATGCCACGGTATTGAAGTCAAACAAGATGGAAACTTTAGCAAAGGTATGTATGTAGTATGGTTGCTTCTGCATAATCAAGTATTAGAGTGATTAGAGAAGTAGTTTTGGGGTTGAGATTGAGGTTTGATTAAGTTGATGATTTTCAATGTGGATACTTAATATACTTTAGCAGAAATTATTTATTCAAGCTGGCCCCATTCGAGCATGGTAAGTGGGATCTTTTACTGCTAAAATAGTAGCGAACAATGGACCTCACATGAATGCGGGAGAAGAAACAAGTGTCATTTTGTAATAATAATTACATTATCGACTAGCGAAATTGATTATTAAAAATTGGAGATGGTTTTTTATGTGATTAGAGATTCTCTTTATTTATTTATTGTTTTGTTAATATGTACTCCTATTTATTAGTGATGACACCTTCCAAAATTTAATCATGTTTTTCTTAAATCACTTAAAATGGAATTATTTAAACAAATTTATGTGTGGTTTATGATGTTTAACTGTAAATGTTGAAACTTTTTAGGTGTTTATGCTACTAAGGACTTTAAAGAAGAAGAACTTATTTTGAAGGACAAAATACTAGTGGGTATACAGCATGTTCCAAATAAGGTATTGCAGAATTTGAAGATTTCTCTCTATTTTTGTGACACTCTTTGATTTTTTTTTCTTTTTTCATTCAAAGATTGCAAATTTACATTTTCTTTTTTGTTTCTGGTTCACAGCTTGACTGTCTAGTGTGTAGCTATTGTTTCCGATTTATTGAGTCAGTGGAATATCAGATTGGGAGGAAACTTTATTTTCAAAATCTAGGAGGATCCAGCTGCAATGGATGTGATGATGGTATGACTTTTCACATTTTGAAAGATTGGTTTTACATTGATTCATTAGATGAAAAGATGATTCTTATATGAAAGAAGTTATGAAATTTTAGGGGAATGTAGTTCCAGCAGCTCCAAGGATAAAGTTTGTTTGCCTGAAGGAGTTATAGAATCACTGATGAATCGTGAATTGGTGTTGCCTTTCTCTGACAAATTTCCCTTGCCTTCAACCATTCCGTGTCCTGGGGGATGTGAAGAAGCTTACTATTGCAGGTAAGGAAACTTTACTTTTTCTTGCAAATCTGACCTTCCATTTAACATCCATTTCTTATTCTATGCTTTGAAGCATTGTAGAACTCTAGCAGCAAAAACCCTAAGTGAGTTTCTGGATGGTCTCAAAATGGTTCTTCTATTTAGTCTGGCAACAGTCATTTGACCAGAAAGCAAACCATTGATGCTGCAATATTTGCCTTTATCATGCAATAGTTTTGGTTGTATAGTTTTTCTCTGGAAGAAAATTGTTATTGCCACTTTTCTATATAAGCATCTAGCTTGAACTAATCCTTGATGACTTTTGACAATGCTGTCAACATGGTTGTAGCAAATCTTGTGCGGAGGCTGATTGGGAATCTTCACATTCTTTACTTTGCACTGGGGAGAGGTCAGAATCAGTATCTAGAGAGGCACTTTCAAAATTTATACAACACGCTACTGGTAAGCTTTGAAGTTTAAGGCCATTTCCTTCAATTAATTTGTTCAAGTACTTTTTTTTTTTCCTCCATCTTCTGATATTTACATTTCTCCTTTATGTTCTTTGATTTCTCAGAAACAAATGATATTTTCCTCCTTGCAGCCAAGGTATGTTTATGAACACTGCTGTAATCTTTCCATTTCTTTATCTTCTTGTTCTGAAATAAGCAGCCTGTTACTAACTGTCAGTGCAAGTGTCATGCTGTCATGCAACCATTTGGTCAGTATATAACAAAAAGGCAATGCATTATACATGAAACTGAGGGCAAGGCTTTTTATACATCTGTACTTTGCATGTAAGAAATAAACCGTCTCGTGGATAAGTAAATCAGTCTGCACCTCTTTTGCAGACCATTTCTTTCACCATTTTAAGGTATAGGAAGCTGAAAGCAGCTCATGCAGACCATTCTGAACTTTCTTTACTTTTGGAGGCATGGAAGCCAATATCAATGGGATACAAAAGAAGGTAGATGCATTTTTCATTCTTCTTTTCCATATCAGGTCTTTTTAGTTTTCAGAGGATGAATCTCTATTAGCCATAATAGACCGATGGTGCCAACTGTAGGGTTAGGTGTATTGTTTCATTACATGATATCTATAGAAGATGCCGACACATTTTGGGAACTTTAAGCAAATGCAGGAGCTCAAACTGCCTTCATCGTTGTTGTTGTTTTTCTTTTTTTCCAGGTGGTGGGACTGTGTTTCATTTCCAGATGATATCGATTGTTCTGATGATACTGCGTTTAGGATGCAAATACGGGAGCTTGCATTCACGGTGAGAGTTCACCTCAGTCATGATAACTTTCTCTTGAAATCTCAAGTATTTGTGGAAAGGATAACTACAAACCCAACAGCTATTTCATAATAAATATCCCAACTGGCTGGTGTCACTGCCAAGTTTCTGTAAACAACCACCTGAATAAGAAATAGAGAAAATGTTTTTTCAAGGTTTTGCATAGTTTTTGAATCTTAATAGCTTTAAAATCCTGACCTATTTATTTTCTTTGACCCAGGGGCTCCTCTTGTGTGCCCCCCACCACTTACATGATATGACTCGCACCATCTGAGTGAAATTTTTCTTGTTAGAAAGGAAAGTGATATGTTTAAAGTTTCATTTAAATAGTTAGAAAAAGAAATAGATGCTACAGTTAGCTTTACTAATATTTAAACAATGCACTAAATTTTGGAAGCATCATACTTCTGCAAAATATACAAAGCGTGCAATAATTCAAATCAAGAAAAGCATCTTTATCAACCATCATCATTCTTCTTCTGGAGCATTCCCATGTGCAACATGACAAGTTCTCCCCTCATTATGCCGCTGGTTTTAGCTTTTTGATGAGCTACAGTTTAGTTTCCTAATATTTTTTTCCTCTTCTCTTAGAAACTTGGTGCTAATGGTTGAGTTTGACTTTTTGCAGTCACTGCAGCTTCTTAAGGCTGCCATATTTGGCGAGGAATGTGAGCCATGTATCCTTTTTCCAAATTTTGTTTTCGCACTTCATGTTGAAGAAAAGTCCCTTCTTGTATTCTTACCTTTTACAGTTGAAGTCCTTGACACTTCCAAGTATTCTCCCTTGAAATCTATGGGAATATTATTGGCATGTTTGAGCTAAATAATCTGTAAGCTTTTCCATCTGTCAAGGCTCCATTATTATGTTCCACTTGTCTGAAATTGTGAAGCAGGCATGCTTGGCAGTGATAATTGCAATGGCTTGGTTTACCATTGAAGCAAAATAATGAAAATGTTTTGTATCACATATTGGGTAGCTTGTTCCTTCATATGCATGATTAGCGTGATACTTTTGCATGATTATTTGAAGTTTTATTTTCTGGCAGTGATTTGGTCGTAGCATCTCCAGTCGAGGATTATTTTTTGTATGTTGATGATCTTCCAGATCCTGAAAAGGTTAGAACACAATTCCTGCTAAGTTCCTGAAGTTCCTTTGGAATACAAATTACAGATGCCGTTCTTAACATCATATATGGCAGGAAAAAGCCGAAAAAATTGCACAACTTCTAGATGCTCTTGGACAGGACTATTCGATTTGTTGCCAAGGTATGATTTAAATTGAAGGAGCTGCTTTGTTAGACAATGATGAGAAACTAATTTTATCCTCATTGTTGCAAGATTTCAAGGTGTTCTTTAATTTCTTTTTTCTTATTATATCACCACGTCATGGAAAATTTAAATTCCGGCTATCTGTATGCATTAATGAGAATTTTTATTTAATTATATAGGCTTGAACTTTTACAAAGCCTTTTTTTCCTTCCTTGGTGAAACTAATTTAGCTAAATGCCAGTAACTATGTGGTTAAATTTGGCTTTAATTAGATATCAATCAGTGAGTAAAATATTGAGCCTGGCTTGGAAAGATATGACACTAGAGCACTGCATCGTGCTACAAGCTTCAACGTATAGGCTTTTTTGGTGCAATGCAATGAAACAGCTGGCTGCCTATATCCGAGTGACCACAGAAATTCAGCATCAATGACCAGTGGATTTAACTTCTAGTAGTGTTATTATTATTCAAACTTTAATATTTCCTGAAAGCATAGGAGTTTTAATGGGATATTTTTGTTCTAGTCCATTATTGGAAAGCACACAGCACAGAAATTGTTCTAATGGTTCTTCTTTTAAATGAGATTCAAGGTTCGGCATGGGATGTGAAGAGAACCTTCATTTTCTTCAATACGATATATCTCAAAGCTGGCATGCTGTAGTCTATGCGCATCTTTTATGAATGTGGCAAGATGAGCAGTTGAAGATTTTCTTTGAATGATGACTGCTATGTTTTCTTTTCATGCATTTTCCTGTGGTCTTGTACATTATACGGCGTGTGCAGATTTTTCCTTTTCTGTTCAGTTAATTTGACAATCTCTCTCTCTCTCTCTCTCTCTCTCTCTCTCTGTGGAAATTTCTGCATTACATATACTGTCTAAACAAATTTGATTTGTTAATTTTTTTCAATTTTGCTCTAGGTACTGCATTCTATCCTTTACAGAGTTGCATGAATCACTCCTGTTGCCCAAATGCCCGTGCCTTCAAAAGAGATGAGGTACGTTTAAAATTGAAGTTTTGTTTTAGTTATCAAAAGTACACTCGTCTACTCCCTATGCGCAAAACATTCTTCACACAATTGGGTATATTTGTTCTTTCCACCATTGTGAGTGTACTTACCTATTTTGATGTTTTCTCGATTGCAGGATAGGGATGGGCAAGCAGCAATAGTCGTCCTCAAACCAATTCACAAGGGAGAAGAGGTAGTTCATCTATTCATTACATATAGTTTTCACTCCTTTTGACTTAATTTTGCCAGCAAAAGAAAAAACACTTATTAAAGTAAATTCCTTGCCTCGTTATGGCCGGTGAACTGAAAATTTTGTAACTGTTATTTTTCAGGTTACCGTTTCATACATAGACGAGGACCTTCCATTTGAAGACAGGCAGGCTTTACTAGCAGATTATGGATTCAAATGCAGATGCAACGCTTGCTTAGAGCAAGACCCCAACAAAACTTAGAAGACACTGCAAAATATAGGATTACATGGTAGTCCACGGGGCTTTTGCAAACTATTCTGATGAAAGTTTTTCCTTTGGCAGAGTCCTTTTTGCTTTCTTCTCTTGCCAGGGACATTTTGAATTACTGGAATATACGAGACAATTTTGTGCTGAGGTTGGAAATGATCTCATTCTTTTTATAGATGAGAAGAACAGTTTATCCGAGATATTAAAATGTGCAAATTAAAAGAAGCAATAGGTATACCATTGTAGTCATGTAAAAAGTAATTAAACTTTTGATTTGTGGAGTGCCAATAGGAATGACGGTGAGCTGTGTATGAAGCACACCCAATAGGTTTACCGTTTTGGTAATTATCAATGTTTATTTCATAAATTCACCCTGAAGATGAAAACAAAAACAAAGGAAAAAACATATATTTTGATACACTAAAAGTGATAAAAACATTTTTATTAAAGCTGATTTTTTTTTCTCTCTTTCCTATTTCTCTAATGTTAGTTATTCTAGAGTAAGATAAAATTTCTCCACGTAATACATACTCCTTAAGCATATCTAATGAGTATTAGGGTGGATGTGGATAAGAGAAGCGAATATCTTAGTTCCTATGCTTATTTTTATTGAATATTCATTAAAAATGCTACTTTCTATATCTTTAAAAAAAAAAACCTATTCTTTTTTACTTTTTAAATAAAGTTATTAATTATTATGTCATATTAATATTTTTCTATATATATATATATTGACTTTTTATAGAATAAAATTTAATTAGAAACATTTTAAGAAAATACATCACTTATGATTTTTACCATATAAACCCTTAAAGATTTGATCGAACAAGTATTTTATGTAGAGAATATAAGGAGTAACAAAAATTATTTTTTGACATTTGTATTAAAAAAATAAGATTAAAAAATTCAAATGGATAACTTATTAGTAAAATAATAAACAAGTATAAGAACTAAAAATAAGTTTATTTGAAAACTATAATGAACATTATTTAAATATATATATATATATTGCACTCAAGATCTTTGAGGGTAATTTTTTATTTCCTAAAGAGGTATGGACTTCAGTGAGTTACGTACGGGCAGAATGAACTAGATACCACTTCCTTATTGATTTGGGTATATGGGTTTGGCTTAATGGGTTGGGCACCCAGCCCATTTCCATCCCTAGGCACCCATACCAAAAATAAGGACAAAATGACTAGTTCACCAAGGTCCAAGAAGCGAAGAACATGAAGAAAATTCAAAACAGTCCAGGATGAAAATTTCCTTTTCATTACAAGCAGAAATGACATGCCAAAACCCACGCATACGATCCCTGGTTTCCCAAATCCGGAAACCCGGCCATGTGCATCTAGAAGCTCTAAATGACTATAGTATATAGTATCTACTGCATTGTATTGCAGCAGGGATGGCTAGATTAGGCACCTGAAAACGTCGACCAACCCACGCCAATGATGCAAGTAACTAGTACATTTCCCACGCCCTTACGTAATTGTCACAAAATCGATGCTAAAAGTTTCCTTCTGAAACCTAGCTTCTGATACTAAACACAATTCAGAGCTTCCATGATAATAATATCACTATCGTCTAATAATTCCTTGAGGAACAACAAAACATTGAGTTGTATAACCCAAAATTATACACACGAAGCTCACCGATCAATCCAACATGGTATAGAGGTGGCATGCGAAAAGATAAACGAAATCCTTTACAGCAACCATTATGGTATCAGACAATATCAGCATCCACCATCCCCTCCTCTAGGCCTCCAACATCTACATTCTCATCTTCACCCTCATACTGCAAGTCCAGAGCAAATCAGATAAATGTCAGATGTTAAGTCAAAAGACATAGTTGATCCTATGCACATATTAGCATTTTTTTCATGAGAAAATTGTAGACAAGGGGAGACCAAGACTGTAAAACCAACCTTTGAATAGGTATTTCGAGGGATTGGAGGAGGTGGGGGAGTGAAAATGGCAAGCTTCTGGCCTCATATGTAGCTCTTCCTTTAACACCAACTAAAGAAATATTTTCAACCACTTCAACATGCTCCTCCATTTCAATTTCAGCTGGTTCATCAATTACACGAGCAGCCATGCTGGTTGATGGTACGAGAAGCACTGAGCCTGAACCCTTGGCCTGTACGTTTAAATGTGCACGGAGTTAAGTATTTCCTTAAATTGGACTTCATTCATTGCACTTATAATTCATGAGTAATGCCAAGGACTCCGTGAGTCTCTCGTCCACACAACTAAAAAAAAAAAAAAAAAGAATTCAAAAGTTGTTTTGAGTGTTTTAATTTCTAAAAGCACAGATAAGTAACATATATATTCCTATGAGGGGGGCAATCCCTTCAACAATGCTAATAATGATAATTTGCTATTTGACAGAAGCCAAGAACTGGCGTCTGCTGATTCTGGTGCATTGCAAAACTGCTTTATTATGATATGAACATGAAATGCAACCAGCAACTTCATTTTTCTGTCCCTTTTAATTCTCCTGGCTACATTTTCTCACTTGTTTGCTTACCTTTACTATCTTCAAGTTACAAACCAATCTCATGTTTTTTACTGGAAAAGGCTCTCATGTAATGATTGGGAAAAAAAAAGTAGGAAAGAAAAAATTACCTTATCTGAAGGAATCCTGGTGGAAACACTCTTTCCTTTCTTTTGCTTGCCTTCATTTCCTATAGGCCAATGACTGCCATTCCTATGGTCCGCCACCTCAAATTCCTCGTGGCTATTCAGCTGCACAGGGTGTGAATGAAATTGGGAAAGCTTACTCAATCTTAGAGTCTCTGCCCGATGTCCATCAGTGGTTAAATTGCCTAAAATTCCAGAAAGATGTCAGCAAATCAGTAAGAATGACCAGGTTAAAAAGACATTACCAGTTAGGTTCCATTGGTATCAAAGTAAATTTGAAATAAATGATGGTAGCATACAGCAGTTTAATGGAAATATGGAATGACCAATTGCCAAAATAATGGAACCATGAAGCAACTCGAGGAAAATGAGATTATAGATCAAACAATTTTGCATTTATCAGTCTAGACTCATGCTATTAACTGCTTGTTCCAAGCTTTATATTTGCTTCTTATTCTTTCTAACTGATGTTCAACTACATCGTCAATGCCATATCCTTTTGTAATAGTGGGCCTAATACTATGTGATACATAAAGGCATCGGATCAGGGGACTAATCAGTTTGAAGGTTCCAAAAATTCCATATAATGTATAATATATAAAGACACCATATACCTTGGGTTAATTTTTCAGCAGTATACTGTTTACCACCCAAACTTTTCTCAATTGGAGAGGAATTATTCTGCTTCTGCATCTCATTCTGTGTGCTGATTTCACAATGACTGTTTGTCTCTCCATTATTGACAATATTGATGTTTGAATCCTCTTCATTGCAATCAGTTGCAGTACCAGAAAGAAGCTGATCTCCCAACTTCTTAAATCGAACTTCTGACCTATACAGTTCCATGAAAAAATCAGCTTATGAAAACCATCAATCACCGAAGAAAGACAAAATGTGTCAAACAAACAAAACACACAGAAAGATCACGAGAACTGATATCATGCCTGTTAAGTTCATCTTGAGCCCACACATAATGCTTATATGCTTTGACAAACTTCTTGATGTTTGAAGTGATCCTGAATTGTCAGTAGCAAAGAGAAAATAGGTAAAGTTAAAGAAGTGTGTCTTCCATCAAGTAATAATGATAGATAAAAATCGGTAAAACTATGTTATAATATTTGCAATAACCTTTTACAATCCTCTTTCTCTGCAGATAATTGAGCCTCAAGCTCCTGAACTTTAGAAGTAAGACTGTCTGCCTCTTCAGCTTTCTTTTCCAGTGAGATCTTGAGAAAATACATATATCAAGTGTCAAAATGTCTTTACTTCCTCATGAAACTACAAGGCAACAACATCAAATACAAGGGGAAGAAAAGAACATTGGCAACCATAAAAAAGGGACACTTGAAGACGTGTAGATTGAAAAATCATTATTGGAGCTGGCAACTCAAGCATTTATGGAAAAGAATCTGCATGTCCTCTAGGTTCTTAATTCCTATGTGATAAGCAAGCTGACTTCGCACCAACTAATGCTGTGGTAAACCCTTCTTCCCATGTCAAACAGCTATTCCCGTTACCACTCTCCCAAAGGTTGGGTCAACTGGAAAAACATCCAGACAATTACGTACAATACTCTTGCTTCTCGGGTTACATATAAAAATTATCTACAACATTTGTCAACTGCCAATTAGGTTTGCTTGTTGGAGAAAACCAAGAGATGCAAAAAAAGAAAAACAGAAACAGAAAGGACCGTGAACAATTGCAATATTTGAAATACCAAAAGAGGTTTCTTGGGATACATGTAAGAGTTATCAAGTCAGAAGAAAGTGCTTTTAACATTATCATAATGCGACATGCATCCCAAGACCAAATGATAGATAACATCAAAATTGAAGCTGGTCAAACTTTAATAGATCTTTTTCATGAAATATACTATCAAAATGCATAATCGTAGATCAAAGTTTCACTTATTTCAGCATAATAAATTACTCGAGGAAAAAAACTCCACTAAGGAATGCGCACCTCAAACCATCTGCAATAGATAATAACATGAAAAGAAATAGGAGGAATAATAACAAGTCCCATCAATAAACAGGGAACTTGGCAGGTTATAGAAATAAAAGAATAAAAGAAATGACTAGAGAATTATTTTGTTTGCAGAATACTAACAAAAAAATTGAGAATCACAGAGAGACAGCACTGACCATTAATTCAGTTTTGTGGTGCTCAAGCTTGTTGATTTTTGACTGCATTTCTTCTAGCTGCACATAGTTCGAAAGTTCTTTTTTAAAAAAAATAAAAAAATTAAATGTTCCTAATATTAATATTCAAACAGATCAAGCTCTACTAACCTCAAATGATGCACTTTTTCTTTCTTTAACCCGGTCATCTGCCCTATCTGAGACTTTCAGACTCCCAGAGAAATCACTTTGGCCATCATACTGCTGTTTTTTCCTACGTTTTCTGTCACTGTAAAACAAGCAAAATGAATTAATTTTGGAAACCAAACATGTACAATATGGACATGAAAACAGAAGAACATGCAAAAAAAAAAAAACTTTGCGTGCCATATGAATTCAAAATATGTAATTATACAATCAGCAAAGATATTTCAAAAAGTGCCCCCAATATTTGTTTCCTCAAACCTTTATAACACTAGCAGCTTTCAATAACTCACCATACATGCCACATTTGTACTGTAGCCTCTAAACTGGAGTGTACGACGAACCACAGTCCTTTACATTAAAAGCCACACCATCTAATGACATAAATGGACCATGTAGGAGTGCCGATTAACAAAACTTCCAAGCTTTATATTGAAAAGGTTTCACAGCCAGATTGTTCATGCCATGAAATGGTTAAAAATATATTAAGCATTCTTCCCAGGCCAATCAACCATTATAAAGAACGATATAGATTCTAAAGTACGAAATCCACATTGGCTGGCCTCCAGTAATATTAGAAAGTATAGTAACAAACTTCCGTTTGAAATTTAGAAGTTCTACGAACTTTCTTGAACACTTCAATAGAGACATAAGGCTTCAATGGAGATGTAAGTATGCTCTCCCAGGTAAACGAAATTATACCACACCAGTCAAGAACTCAAAGCTTAAGTAAACATAAGCCAATAGCACAACAAGACACCCACATGGACAGATATATCTTCAGAGAGGCAACACCTATGAAACCTTGAATAAATTAAAATCAGCAAAAGGTGGAATCATGTTCACTACATACTTACTCGTTTTTCTCAAGCGACCTGGAAGGGCTGGATCCTGAAACACAAGCAGCCAACAAGAAAGGAAAATCAGGGGATAATTGCATTCATATGATAAAAGAAAAATGAGTTGATAACTACATACTTGTTGGGATAAAAAATCCGATAACTACCAAAAATATTCTAGCTACCCTGTGATAATTCAAGTTAACGGATTCATAATTTAAAGACATGAAAAGTACAGGTGAACAAGAAGGTTAAGAGCACTACTCTCCCCATCCATAGCCAGAGATAACAGAGGAGATAAAAACACAACTGTATGGGGAAAAGATGCAGCCAAGTTATAAGGACATGATTGCTGACCACGAAATGAGTGGCGCCCGCTTGCATCTTTTCCTGGGGAATACCGCTGCTGTGGAGATAACCTTTGCTCAAGTTTATTCCTCAAGTCAGCACCTCGATAGTCCCGCATACCTGCAATAGGGAAGGGAATAAATTCCATTACAGCAGGTTAGATGGTACCTTATATGCTTGAGTTAAAGCAACCAGAGGACCTGTAAATCATAATGATCCCAAGCTTACCAACACATGTAATAAAATTATTAAGAGCAATGAATAGCAATAATGCTTGCTTGTCAATTCCAAAGGGGAGAAGATATGACCCCACTGTATAATGAATAGAAATAGAAGGTTGCCATATAACACCAGGAAGAGAGCCCTTCAAATACAGAAGTCGCATTGGATACGACTAGACAACATATTCTGACTTCTTGATGAGGAATAAGGAATAAAATACAAGTTGACTTCTTGATGAGGAATAAGGAATACAACACAAGCTGAATGATACAGAGTGCTCCCCGGTGCCATATTAAGAAATAATGGCAATCCATTGAATAAGAGCAGTCAATATATCCTGACTTCTTGACGAGCAATAAGAAATATAATGTCTCCACAGTACCATCTTGTAATATAATGATTGTACGATAAATAAGAGAAATCAATATATTCTGTCTTCTTCATGAACAATAAGCAGCATAATAGAATCAGAATAATATAGATTTGTGGCCAGTGCCAGGACACAGGATAATGTCAATGAATATACCATCAGTTAAAAGAATTGGTTTCTTCAGGAAATAACTCCCACAAAAATGGCATACTTCCTCCCATAAGCAATCCCTTGAAAATTTCAAGGAGACATAATGAATGATGAGCTCCACCAAGATACAGACAACTGGATGCGCTAGCGCTGGAGATAAGACTCAAGAACTCCAACAAAGATGATTGCTATCTCCATAAAATGACAGGCTATATATTCCAACGAGGCTAATATCAATCCTTCACCAAATTGTTTGCCGTTTTGCAGATACAGTATGATTAATAAGAATAAAGATGCCAAGGAAAATATACTGGGACCAGCTCTAAGATTAACCAATGAGCAATATGCATTCTGAAGGAAGTCACTAGTAGCTGACACTGCTGATATAACGAAACACATTCTCCTGATGCCCTTTTGATGCATCTCCAAATAACTACACGATACTGCTGATCAAATGAAACAAAAATCTGCTGAAAGACATTCTGATGACGTCTCCCAATCACTACACCAATAAAATCCAAATTGAAGAAATCTCCTTATCGTTATTCCCTACTTCACACTTTTAATCATTTGAAAAAAAAAAAAAAAAAACAAGTATTCATCATAAATTGGCACTCATAACAATAATAAAAAAATAATAATAATAACCTAATGTCAATTAAATATTTAAAAAAAAAACAGAAAAAGAAAAATCTTTAACTTCCTTGTATAAAATAATCTATCAACAACTATGCTCACAATACCAAACCAAACATTTTTCAGAACTAAACCATGAATAATACACTGAAAAAATAAAATAAAACAACGATATCAGGACCGCAATCACATCAAAAAAATTTCACACAAAATTGATTAATTACAATAAAAATAGCATATAATAATAAGACTAGAAAATTAAGAGAAATTGAAACCTAGCATCTAACACTTTACAGACAGCAATAATGCAAATAAAAACTCAACAACAAAACGATTAAAAATTATATAGCATAGCAGTAAATAGGGTTAGAAAGCGAGGAAAAACGGAACGGAGAGAAAAGATACCGTTACGAGAAGCCATGGATTGACGAAGCTCGGAGTTTCCATGAGCGAAAGAGCAATTTCGACGATGACAACGACCTTTCTGATATAATACGCATAGCTTCGTCCTGAAGAGCTTCCCTTCCACCATTTTTTAATCAACCAGTAGTTATATATTTGTATTCTGAGAGAAAGAGAGAGAGAGAGAGAGGTGAGACTGATTCACGTGAAGATCCCGAGACTGTAAGCGTAGAAAGGGATATGAAAAGCGAGAGAATATCAAGGTTAACAAGAAAAAATAACTCCCTGATCTTTGGATGATCTTTCAAATTAGTACACAAACATATTAGATTAATTTGTCTTCAACAAAAATACCTCGTTTATTCTTTTATATATATATATATACACACACACGAAAGTATGCATATATGAAGTATAAAAGAACGATTAAATAGGTCGAACTTCACTTCAATTTCAATTTATTTAAAAACCAATTTCTAAACGTTAAATGATTTCAAGTTTGATCATTTTTTTTATTAAATAAAAGTAAACTCGGAGCCCTTTTTTTTTTTTTTTTTTTTTTTTGAGTATGGTGGAAGAGTAGCTCTATAAAAAATATGATTGAATCTTTTTTCATAAACATTATCCCAAACTTCAAAATACACACATAATCATTTTCAACCTTGCTAGGTTGTCATTTGTCCTTGCTTTTTTTATTTTTTGGAGCTATTTGATCATGGCCTTATTTTTTTAAATTTGATAAAGTATCTTTTCAATTTATTCCATGTTGATCAGCCATAGCTAAGATGATGATGAATGGATTAGCTTAATTACAGGGTCAATGTGTTACCAAAAAAAGAAAAAAAAAATTACAGGCTCACCGACCTATAAGAGGACTCTCATGCTCCAATTCTCAAAACGCAAGCCAAAGTAGTAGCGAGAATTGCTGAAAAAATGGTCCCTTCTAATTCTTCTGTTTTGTTGATACTTTTAATCCTTTTGGCGTCGCCTTCATGGATCGTTTCATTGCCAATTCATGGTAGTTTTGTTGAATGCCTCTTACAGAATTCTGAACTTCCCATTCCTTTTATACTCCAAACAACTTCTCATTTTCTCATGTTTTAGAATCTACTGCTCAAAACCTTAGGAGCTCATTGCCTTCGGTGCCGAAACCTGAGTTCATTTTCACACCTTTGCTTGAATCCCACATCCAGGCAGCTGTTATTTGCTCAAAGAAGCTTGGAATTCACCTCAGAGTCCAAAGTTTAGGCCACTGCTTTGAGGGTCTGTCTTATGTCCCTAAATTTGAAACACCTTCTTTGTTCTAGACCTAACCAAGCTTCGTGAGTCCATTTCTGTTGGAGAACTTTACTATAGAATTGCTGAAAAGAGCAAAGCTCATGGCTTCCCTGGTGGTGTTAGCCCTAGTATAGGCATTGGTGGGCACATTACAGGAGGTGCCTAGCTATGGTTCCATGCTGAGAAACTAGGGCCTTGGCGCTGACAATTAATGTTATCGATGCTCGTATAATAGATGATCCAGTACATGACCAATTGGCAAGACGGGGAAAAGAATACATCAAAACATATATATCATCATCGTAGTTTTAAATAACTCTCGTTACGTTATATAATAATTTCAATACATTCTATTATTATTATTTTAATATTATAATAAGTTACGATCCGCGATGATAACTGCGATCATTTTTTCACTCATTCATTATTTAAAACTATGATATTGATTGGATTAAGAAGATTTACGATTAATTTAATGTCACCACATGTTTCTGCATCTCTAAGGGCAGCATATGTCAATTATAGGGACCTGGATTTTTTTTTCAAAAAAAAAAAATAGAACTTCACATTATCCATAAATTTTTTTATGGAGTCTCTATATATTTTCGTATTTATTTATAGGTAGTGCTAAATCCACCGTTTTTGTTATTCCCATCATTTTTTTTTTCAGTAAATTACCAAAACACATTCCGATCAATGTTGGTTACTATATCCTAATTAAATATTTTATATATTCACTTTGGTCCTTAAAGCTCGAAATTTGTTCAAAATGGTTCTTTTAATTCATTTTTCCTGAATTCAGTTCCTGATGTAAAGGGGGAGAGAGAAGAGATGAGAGAGGAGAGACTCCTTAGCGACCTGTGCTCTGAGCACTTTTAAAACATACTTTAATATACTTTGAAGACATTTATAAACCATTTTAAACTTCAAAAATACCTTAAAATCATTCTGAAAATGATATTTATAAATCATTTTAAATCTCAAAAAAAAAAAAAAAACATTTTAATCCGCTATAATTCTCAAAAAAAATCGAATCAAATCCAACAGCTCATTTTGTTTTCAAAATTGATCCTAAAAATTACACTTTATCAAATTTTCAGGCTATTTTTTTTTTAATTTAGCATTTAATGATTATAAAATATAAAGATATTTCTTAACCATTGGATTAAATTTTTAAAATTATTGATAAATATTTGTATTATAAGTTTAAAAAATGTGTTTTTGAGGTTCAAAAATAGTTTATAAATGTTTTTTTCAGAATGATTTTAACGTGTTTTTGAAGTTTAAAATGATTTATATCCTTAAAATGGTTTAAAATAGTTTCATGACATTTCCCTAAAATGATTTATATCTTTAGAGTGTATTAAAATGTGTTTTTAAGTCCTCGATCGGATCACAGCTCGTCAGAAGTAAAATAACATTTCATGACATTAATCCAAAATTCATATAACCAATGTTCACAAAATGTTTTAACCCTTCATTTACTCCTCTTTTTTTTTCTTTTTTTTTCCTGGCTGAATTGATCCCTCTCGTGGTAATAAGTAACAACGTAAGTTTACCATTAGAAAAGGAAATACAAAGTTGAGAAATTAATATCATTTCAAGATGAGGAATTATTTCATTACCATTACCCTTCCCACGATAAGCAGTGATAAGAATTAAGGATCCAGATTTTTAACAAGTAAAAATATAAAATTACGTCCCTTACAACCACAGAGATGGAACAACCTACCAATCAAAATTTCCAATTTTTGGGTGGAAAATCCAATCTTTACAATTTGATTGACATTTCTGTTTCCTTTTTCTTTTTTCTTTTTCCTCTCAACTTCACACCTAGAAAATAATGCCCCACCTTATTTCAATTGGCAAAAAACTTTTAAATAGTTTTGGTCTCCAAAAATAAAATATTTTGTTTGTATTTACAGTAAATTTAATAAAACCTTTTCAATTATCATAAAAAGTTCTCATTTTTTCGAGCTCTTAAAGAACTCTTGAAAGAGAAACATTAATAATAATAGTACTTGAATTATAAAAAATATTGTTAACTATTATTTAATTTTTTTTAATCAGTTGACTATATTTAATTTAATATTATTTTTATTTTACAAAATGTCTTTTTTTTTGTCAATCTTAATTTACATATTTTTTCTCTTTTCTATTTCTTAAAAAAAAAATCAAAATTTAAAAAGAAGAAAAAAGATTAAGTTACAAATAGATTTAAAAATATGAGGACTAAATAATTAGTTTTAAAAATAAAAATAACTAATTAATTTGTTTCTTTTAAGAGAGGGAGTAATTTATAATTTACTCTAAAAAATCTTTTTAACTAAATAATTATCTTTTTTCTATTTATATCTATCTTAAAATATCTGTATAGTCAAAATATTAAATAATGTACTTTATTAAAATACCTCTAATAGATAAAGAAAGTCAATCATTTCTTCCCTTTTCTGTTCTTCACTAAAAAAAATCAATATTTTTATATTTTTTCTTTATACATACAAATTTCAAAGAGAAATTTTTTGTTATATGAAACATATTTATGTTTATATGGACATTACTACATGCCGAATTTTTTTTTTTTGGAAGTAAAATACTTTTACCAGTATGTTAATTTTTCATAATTTCTTTTAAATTTCATTGTTAATTAACTTAATAATTTTTTTATTTACTATCTTAATTTTAAATAGATTTTTTCTTAAATTAATATTGGTTTCATGAAATGCTGATTAAATTTAGTAAGTAATAATTCTAATAAAAATGATATTTTAAAAAAATATAAACAAAAAAAAGCTAATATGGTATAACAATTAATAACTTCAAAAAAAATTTAAGAAAAGACGATTTTTTTAGTAAAGATCTAGGAAATAAAATCTATCCGATCCTAGTTAGTATCATGGGTGATAGGATATCATGTCTATCTTTATCAAATTACTTATATACAGCCAAGCAAGATTTCTAATTAGAGTAGTTTTTGTTTGCTGGAAAAACGAAATTAATTCATTACCATCTAGGCTTTATATCATTGCCATTAGGATTTCAGTATGTAAATGGACCTATAAACAGCTAGCAACAAGCAACAACAGGGGCGAGCAATCTAGGAACTCCTCTCAGAGTAGTAACCATAATTACAGGAGCCATGTTCAAGCTATTTATGTTGTTGCTAACGTTTCATTCCTGTTTAGCAGCTAACGTTGCAAAGGACATCTTTATCCTAGCAGGGCAAAGTAACATGGCCGGAAGGGGCGGCGTCGAACATGGAAATTGGGACGGGAATGTCCCACCGGAGTGCAGACCGAACCCATCAACACTTCGACTCAGTGGTAAACTCAGCTGGGAAGTGGCACACGAGCCACTCCACGCAGACATCGATGTGGGCAAGACTTGTGGGATTGGCCCAGGCATGGCATTTGTTGATGGACTCAGAGCCAATGGCTCGAGAATTGGTGGCGCCGTGGTGGGTCTGGTCCCTTGTGCGGTTGGCGGGACCAAAATCAGTCAGTGGGCTCGAGGTACGAGGCTGTACAATCAGTTGGTGAGTCGAGCTGAAGAGTCAGTGAAGGATGGTGGGATGATTCGAGCGATTTTGTGGTATCAGGGAGAAAGCGACACAGTGAGAAAAGAAGACGCCGAGGCTTACAAAGGAAACATGGAGAGGCTTATTCTCGACTTGCGTTCTGATCTTAATATGCCATCTCTGCCTGTAATCCAGGTATGATGTGTATCCTTGCTCCGAATCCTCTTCTTCACGAAACTTGAAGGCCATTTTAGAAGCATTTTGTCCTCGTGCATGCGACTTTTTTTGGTCACAGGTAGCTCTTGCATCAGGTGAAGGCAAATTCAGAGAGACAGTCAGAAAAGGTCAGCTTGCAATAAACCTACCTAATGTGAGGTGCGTAGATGCCAAGGGATCGCGCCTCCAAACAGATCACCTGCACCTCACTACAATGTCTCAAGTACACCTTGGTTTGAAGTTGGCTCATGCCTTCATAGCTTCTTTTGGCCGTATGCTGTAGTTTCTTAATAAATAGATCCGTCGAATAAAACGCAAAAAAGAGTCGACTTCAATAATTATATTAAGGATAATGTTTTCATCTAAATACAATCAATTTTTAAACAAATTATTAAATACAATTAGTCGCTAACAAATTCATATATTTAATCAAGTCCTTTTTAACTTAAACTAAGTTTTAGCCATAAAGAGTGATTTAGTGATAGAAATTTTAAATTTATAACAATATATTTAAAATTCAAATCTCACTTATCATGTCTTTTTATGATCATTATAAGATTTATGTATACTTCTTTGGTTTCAAGAATGTGAGAAGCTTGAAATTCTCGGTTTAAATCTCACTTCTCATGTCTTTTTATGATCATTATAAGATTTATGCATACTTCTTCGATTTTAAAAATATAAAAAATTTAAAATTCTCAATTTTAAAATCAATATATATTCATCGAATATCAATTTTTGAGTTTAAGAAAAAAAAAACGTAAGTTTTCATTCAAGTTCTATGAAACGATTACATTCTTGACATAATTTTATTAAATCCAATTGGATAGAAATCTTTGGAGTGCCTTCAATTTGAGTATGGAATTGGTTTTTTCTTTTTCTATCAATGAAAACAAATATGTTCCCCCCCCCCCCCCCAAAAAAAAAAAAAAAAAAAAAAAAAGACACACAACCTATGCTTAGATTAGTGAGTTCAAGAGAAATTGGTTTCTAACAACACTTATTTATTTATTTTAAAATAAAATTCCATTGACCGCTAGACTGTAATCAACAATAAGAAGGCCAAGCCAGGTAAATTTCCCAGAATATATGTTACAATAACTGATTTAACCAAAGCTGCCTTTGCTATTGGTTGATCCTTAGCAGAAAACGACTGCCGCAACCACTTTGCATTTTGTAGCAGATTTTGACTAGCATAGCACACGCACGTTACCGCGGGTAAGTTTGTGTAATATGTTTTAATATTTTAAATAATTAAAAAAATCTAAACGTAAAATAAAAATAAATTAACACTAATTGTAAAATTTTATTTGATTTAATATGTATTATAAAAATTTATTATAAAAATTTAATAAAATTTATGTATTTATAATTAAGTTTAAATATATTTTAGGATTATTTTTTTATTTTTATCAATAAAAAAAAACATGCAATTATTTATTTATTTATTTAAAAAATCAAATGAGAAGAAGGTGTAATCAATTTATTTTAAAAAAGTGTTTAATTATAGTTAACGAGTATATAAAAAAATAAAAAAGTAACCATTAATTATGGAAACAAAATTATTTTGAGTATGTAATAAATAATGAAAAAAATAAAAGCATAAAAAAAGAGGGGAAAAAAGAGAGAGTGTGGGTTGGGGATCACACCAGTCCTTTTTGTAAGGGTCTGGAAATAACTAGCCCACAATTTATTTTAAAAAAAATGTTTAATTATAGTTAATGAGTCTATAAAAAATAAAAAAGTAACTATTAATTATGAAAATAAAATTATTTTGAGTAAGTAATAAATAATAAAAAAATAAAAAACATAAAAAAAAAGGGGGGAGAAAAAGAGAGGATGGGTTGGCGCTCACACTAATCCTTCTCGTATGGATCTGGAAACAAGTAGGCCCATGCGCCCAGCCCTTGTTGTAATAATAATTAAAGTTAAGGATAATTTTATATAAAATTAAAACTTGAAGAACTAAAATATAAAAAAGTGTATAAAATGTTCAAAAAATCATTTTTATTTTTTGGTAAAATGAAGTTGCTTCAAGCTAAAAAAAAACTTAAAAGAACGTCGTTTTGTTCACTTTAATAAAAACTTAGCTACAATAAAATTATATTTAGTAACTTATCTACAATAAAATTATATTTAGTTTTAGTTTGTCTACATTTATAGCATTTTGCACCAAGGTTGATGTCGGTGATGTCGAGAAGGAAACAACAACCACAAACAAAAGTGTGTTTATATATATATTTTTGATAGAAAATATTTTTAACTATGATATAGTAATTTGTTACAAATATTACTATATCATAGTTAAAAATATTTTTTTATAAAATATCTAAAATTCCCATAAACATATTTGTTTTTTAGTCTCTTTATTTTTGTTTTCATACACATTTAAATTTTAGATATTTTAGGTAGTTGATATAAGATATATTTAACTATAATATAATAACAAATATTAATGAAGAAAATGTATTAGTAATTTTCAAAAAACAAGTGGTGGAAATGATAACATTGATAGTGAATTTAAACTTAGTTTTTCTATTGTTGGTTTTCTTTTTACCGTTTTAATTATTATCAATTTTATGTTTAAATTATTTTTGTATCAATTTTACCACTAAAATATTTTTATTTCTCAATTAAAGACTTATGTTAGAATTATCTTAAAAAATTATTAAGTTTTCCACAAAATGAAATCATTTATTTAAAAAAAAACACAACTTGGATGGAAAAGTAGACCAAAACCTTGAAAATGAATGAAATTTTTTAATTGAGAATTTTTGAAAGTTTAAGAATAAATTAATATGAATAATTATTTGGTGATTACATTAAGATTAGTTATATAGTGGTAGTTTTTTTAAAGTTTGTCCTTAATTTTTTTTTTAAAATTGTACTTCATTTCTAACCAAATTTTACAACCTCAACCTACTAAATACAAAATAAGAACATATTTGGAAAAGGTTAATTTAGAACTTTTCAAAAAAATTAAAATTAACTTCGATCCATTCTAAAAGAATAAAAAAGTCAACTTTGGTCAAAAGATTAATTTATGATTTTCAAACCAAAAAAGGACTAATACAAAAATCATAAAAAGAATTAGGGACTAATTATAATTTACTCTAAACAAAATCTAAATAAGCGAACAAACCCGACACACCAAAAGTTCTATAAACACACTTACCACTGTCAGCGTCCTTATAAATAACTCACGACGATGAAGACCCGAGTTCTGATGCGGTTAACTCGCTTGCTGCTCTCCCAACTCAGCTCCACCCAGTCACACCGGTTCTTCTCCACCACTACCACCACGTTATCCCCTCTCCGCCACCACCAAACTACCGTCATTTTCACTCGCTCCATCTACTCACCCCCAAAATCCCGCCAAATTAGGACATTTGCCACCACAAGCGAGAGCATAGCTGATGCAGTTAATGAACTTAGAGAAGACGATAATAAAAACGACGTCGCGTCGAAGGGGAAGGAGCTACCACATGATTTTTATAGAAATATCGTGGCTCTCACATGTGAGTCAAAAGCTGAGGGTGGCAAGTGCGTTGTCTATTTAGTTGGTACAGCTCATGTTTCTAAGGTGAAAGCTGAAATTCCATGTTTGTTTTGTGTTTGGTTACTGAGAAGGTGAAGGAAAAATGTGAGAAATTGTTGAAGTTCGGGTTTTTTTGCGTTTTCTGGGTTCTTGGTGCTTGAAAAACGGAAATTCTTGGTTTGAGAGAGCCTAACTTTTGTACTCTCTGCAAAACTAAATTGGCATTAAAAAAGTGTATTTTATTTGGTTTTGATTTCATTTTTCTGTTTGATTGCTGGGAAAGTGAAGAAAAAAGCTAGAATTATTAAATTTAGAAGCTTTTTGTGTTTTGGGATGCTTGAGAAAAGTAAATTCTTTTCTTTAGTGAGTGTAAAATGGCCGGTTCTGTAAATTTAAGAAATTTGTGCGAGAATTGAAAAACACGTAAATTGTTTATGTTGAATTTTTTTTTTTTTTTGTTGGGTTGTGAATTGTAGGAATCATGTTGGGAAGTACAAGCTGTAATCCGTCATGTGAAACCACAGGTGCCCCCACCCTCTTTTTTTTTTTTTTTTTTTTTGAAGCATTTTGATTCCAAATATTAATGCAAAGGTCATTTTTTAGAAGGTTGGCTGTCTGCATTTAGATTGTTTTTATGGCTTTTACTTGTCACATGAAGTATCCGCAAATCTGTTGATTGCAGGTTGTATTTCTGGAATTGTGTGCAAGTAGAGTGGCTCTGCTGACTGCACGGACTTTAAAGGTATGCCCCTGGAAAGTTTCTTGCTTTTGTTCTTTCATTTATGCTCTTTACCCTTTAAGTTGCCATTTTCTGATGTCTTTACTTTTGGTTGTTCAGATACCAACAATAAAGGAAATGATAGACAAGTGGAAGAAAACTCATGACTCGCTTGGAATTTTTCTTGGCTGGTGGTATGCCAAGGTAATTATTTAAGATGAATTTCTTATTCATGCTTTTTGATGAAAACTAGAATATCGTACATTGAGAATGTCATAAGTTGCTTCAAGATTATTTGATCAACTTCTGTATTTCTTTTTATGTAAGATTGGTGATATGCTTGGAATTGTTCCTGGTTCGGAGTTCCGGGTAGCTCTTGAAGAAGCAAGAAAATGTGATGCCAAGGTAGTACTTGGTGATCGCCCTGTACAGGTGAGATCCTTTTGCTGTATTGCTAGTTGGAAGTAGCAATGTATCTTCTGACGTGGATATGCCGGATTGTCTATCAATCCAGCTTAACCTATATTGCCCTGCCTAGTTGTTGCTTGGGTGTGGGGTGGATTACTTTCCTATTACTGCAACAGAAATTCCTGCTGGTGTTTATGAATATAGCAGTATTCATTTGATTGCCATTCACTTCTAGTTTTCTCATCAGAGAAATTTAGTGGTATAGCCTCCTTTAGGCTGATTTTGAGATTGTACGAAAAAAATTGTAGAGATCTCCTTGAATGCCAATCAGGAGCTTTAATTTCATGGTTTGCCGATTGGATACTTCGTTGCTTTGTACAATTGCGCTAGTTTCTGTATCCATTTGGTATGCATTTCCTAGGCCAAAATGCAAATCTAGTGCCAACATCCCCGTAACCAAGCATTTATTATGCTTGCAAATTATGTTTCAAGTCTATTATTATATACATAATTGGATGATCTAACCACCATGAAGGCTGATTGTGAGATTTGATGCCATGGGATGCATGTTATGTATTTTTATGCTTGGTACTGGCTTCTCTCTTAGTCTGGTTAGCATCCCTTAGTGCTAATCTAGGGCCAACAATTCCACATCCTGACAAATATTCCCATCCATCTAAAGCATCCATTACCCTGGCTTTTGGACTGAGACATCTCCAGTGGAAAATTTTTGTGGATTTGTCAAATCTCTAATGCTGGATTGCTTCTTCTTCAACTCCGATTAATGAATGGGGACTGTGTAAAAATAATAAACTCACTTTTTCATTTTTATCGAGTCTTGTCCACTTAAGGATTTTGTGACCTTTTTCACTTCTCTTTGGATGCGACTCTTTGTCATTCTTCTCACTGCTGTTATGAACTTCTCTGACTTTGATGCGTCCACTGAAACAGATTACTCTTCGGAGGACCCAGGGTAAATTGCCGCTTTGGCATAAAGTAAAATTCTTGTACACAGTACTAACAACTCCATTCTCATCAAGCTCTAAGAGTATTGACATGAGTGTAAAATCTCTAAACTCTCTTTTCCTTCACTTTTTTCTTGCCAAAACTATTCCACTGTTTTTCCTTTAACTGCAAAAATTATTCAAGATTGCTAAATGTGGTTGACATTCAATTTGTTTTCTTATTTCCAGTTAAAAGATTTGGATGATGCTGGGACTCTTACTCGTGCAATTCAAAGAATAAGCGAGCAGTACCCCTCTGTAATGGAAACCCTTGTGCACGAGCGAGATCAGTTAATAGTCTTTTGCCTTCATTTATATTTGTAATTTGATGCTTTTTTTAGTTGTGAAAAGATGATGGTCCCTGCCGCTGTTGTTGCCTTCCATAAAAAGAATGAAGCAGAATCTAAAATGAAATAGTTTTTTGTTTCTTTCTGGTTGATGTTGATTGCATGAGTTTACAAAAGGAATACAGTCGCTAGAAATATTTTGAAATTTCCGTTGCCTTGGTCTGTTTGGAGGAGCATGTTTATAGTTGATGTCTAAGCTACGTACTCTTGGTTCAAGAAAACGTTTTTGTAAAAACTCACCTTTGAACTCATTCTCCTTTCATATCTATTTATGGAGGGGAAATTGTTAATCTGGAATTAGTTCTCACTGATGAGCTTGAATGTTCAGGGGTACCAGCGCTCTACAAATTATTTTTTCGAATGAATTTATTCTTATCTACTTAACTAACCTGCATGCAGGTACATGTCTTCGATCCTGCTAAGAATTGCTAAAGAACATACTTCAGTCATTGCAGTAGTTGGAAAGGGGCATTTGCAAGGAATTCAGAAGTATTGGGAGCAACCTGTTGAGGTTGGTTAAGAATATTTTTCATTTTATGTACTTATTTGAATCCTAAATTCCAAGTTTTCTTGTTAGTCCACAGAGATGATAGAAAACTGACCCGTTGTACAGTTAGTTTATATTAATGGACCAGATTAGCATCCACCTTGTTTACTATCTTTTAGGTTTTCTAATAAATCTTCAGACTTACATGCTCACTAGTTCTTCCTTCCCTTTGTTGCAGTTGAAAGATCTTCTGACACTTCCTCCACAGAAACCATCCTTTCCAGCTCTAAAGGTTCTTGCTGCTGCTGTGGCTATTGGTTCAGGCATTTATCTTTCACGCAAGGAATAGTGAACCTGAGTTTCGATTTGCACCGACTGATCTTTCAAGGATCAGCATACTCAAGACTTTTTAGAAAACGACTTCCTATCCTTCAATAGTTGAGCAATTCTCCTATAGGTTACAATTTGGATGTGATTTGCACATGGCCTCTCCATTAACTTTTAGTTTGCAGACTCCTTAACCCTTTTTTTAGTTCCTGTTTTGGTCACTTAATTGAGTGACATGTGTAATTAAAATAAAAAAAATAAAAAAGGAAAAAAACCTCTATCTCTATTTCCTTACGGTTTAACAGACTGATTCTGTTTCTTATTTTGAAGGGGGAGCCATTTTGCAGGACGAAACCTCCCAAATTGCCCCCGTATTTCCATCAAATCAGTAAATAACTCTATGAAAAAAGATTTTGTCAGGTTCTACCCTATATGTACAAAATTTGTTAAAGCCAATGCAATTGGGCTAAATTATATTAAATTTTAAGTTGAATGGCCATTAAAAGTTCAAAAACTGTCTAAGATAGAAAAATAATTAATTTGCACTAAAATCTTCAAAAATGCAAAACGTATAAAAGTGTTAATGTTTTGGAAGATTTTAAGAAAGTAATATATACAAGGAAAAAAGTATTTTTTTTTTAAATTAAAGCTTCACCTTTTTAAATTGTTTAGTTGAAATGGCATTAGTTTTCCCTGCTACTAGAGGTTTTGAGTTTGAACTACTCATTAAAAAAAAAATCTAAACATTTCAAACTTAAATTTTTTTTTTTTTTAAAAAAAAAGCTTAGCAGATTATTTATTTATTTATATATAAGATTTTAATGGCAAAGAACTTTGCAAATCCTAATTTCTTAAATATTTTAAAATTATATATATTGTTTTTTGTTAAAAATTTTAGAACATTTTTAATGGTGAGCATTTTCTGATATTTTCTTCTCTGATCGTTTCAAGTTTTTTTCTTTCTCAAAATTTTATTTCTTATAACTTTTCAAAAGAAATTAATCCCCACGCATCCTGGACCTTTTTATTTGTTAAGCCTTTTTTAAAAATTTTAACTAAGTAATTTCAAACTTTTTAAATTGCTAATTCTTTTTCAAACATTTTAAGGCTGAGTATTTTTTTTTAATTTTTTTATTTGAGTATTTTGAATTTTCTTTTACTCCTTAAATATCTCCAAAACTTTAAGTTCTTTAAAAAATATATACTTTTTTTTTGTTTCTTAAACCATTTTTAAAAAAGTAATTGGGAGTAGTGTCAAAATACTTTTAATTCTTATTTAAAAAAATATTAATTTTTATTCATTGTAATTTTTCAAAACTTTTTATTATTATTTTTAACTAATGTTTTTAGTCCCTAGACATTTTAGTTGATAGTTATCTTACAATATAATGCAATTTGGTCCAACCGTATTGAATTGAATAACATTTCCAACAAATCTTTAGTCTTGCATGCTCACTAGTTCTTCCTTCCCCTTGTTGCAGTTGAAAATGATCTTCTGGAACTTCCTCCACAGAAATCAGCGCTTTCTGCTCCAAAGGTCCTTGCAATTGCTGGTGTGGCTATTGGTTTATGCATTTATCTTTCATGCAAGGAATAGTTAATTAGAATTTTCATTTCTGTCAACTGATCATTCAAGATCACGATGTTCAGATTTTTGGGAAAATAACTCTATCCGTAATTGTATAATTCGCAACCTGATCATTCAAGTTTAGAGTAATTATTAATCAGTCCTTCTCATTTTGAAAAAAAAATAAATTAGATCATCTTATTTTAAAAGCTAAGTATTTGGTTTTTTACATTTTAATTTTATCAATAGCTGAATCTTTTCTTCATTTTTTCCTTAGATTAGTGTGATTTTTTAAAAAAATTATATATTTTTTAAAAAATCTTATCTCTCTCTTTCACCTACTTTTTTTTCACTGCTCTACCAAAAAAAATCAAAAGAAGAACAATTTGAGAACAAAATCACTAATCTAATGAAAAATTGATGAAATGATCCAGTTATTAATGGAATTAAAACATATAAGGTTAGGTAATTCGTTTTTAAAAGAAAGAGGACTAGTTAATTCGTTTTTCTACAAAAGAGGTACTAATTTGTAATTTAATCATCCAGATTAAGATGATCAGATTTTTGGAAAAATGGCTCTACCCATATTTATATAATTCGGCAATGACCTTTTCAATTCTTTTTTCAATTATTATTTAGATTTGTATACAAGCTAATGAATAAAAAGTTGCAATATGAAGACTTGCTCTTAAAATGCAAATTAACTCAAAACATTTGACAACATTAAAACAAGTATAAAAGTTTTTTTCCCTTTTTTTTTCCCCCTAAATGAAGCTTTTATTTTTTGGTTTCCTAATTAATTTTAATGGTAAGGAGTTTTGCTATTCATTAAATTAGTATCCAAGCAAAATGCCTCATAAACAAATTTTGTATAAGTATCTTTATCTAAATCAATTTTTCATGTATCTCGAGATTAATTTTTTTTTTAGAGTGATTAAAAGACACTTCTCAATGTATGGTTTTGGATATTTTGAAAATACATTTTTAAGAATGCTAGTCACGGGAATCAAATCCTAAACTTAATTTACAAGTTAACGCTTGTTTACCAACGGACTATCATCTTGTGGTTTCATTTAAATAACTTATTAGAAAAGAAAATTTGTATATTAAAAAAATAATATATTATTTTCGAGAGGAATAAAAGTTAAAAACTATTAACTTTTATTGGTATTATGGTATGTTTTTGCTCCTAAAGTATTGCATTTTAGCAATTTTGGATCAAAGTATCAAATTACGTAATTTAAACTTCAAAGTATTGAGAATTTGACAAATGTGATTCAAATTGCTTAATCTCCTTTATTTCTAACGGTTAACTCGTCGTCACCTTAACTCTTTCAATTCCTCTTGAAAAACAACGAGAGAGTTTAATTGAAAAGGAAAGAAGGGGAGAGATTGCGAGATCGATTTCGGTTTTGTGAAACATCACTTTTGTGAATAAGTGATCCTTCGAGATTGCTATATGAATGAGATTCACTTCCAAGGCTAGTTGCAAGTAGCTTGAACTCGACGACTTTAATCGATAAATCTTCATCTAAAAAGATGTTATTGGATTTGAGATCATGGTGGCGAGATAGGAGGAAGGATTTCATACTCGCAAGAATGCAAAGAAAACTTGCTGTTTCGCAGCAATTCTCAATCTCTTATACCAATCAAGGCCAACCTTTTGTTCTCTACCGGGGATGGCAATGGGGCGGGCGGCCATCCCGTCCCCGCCCGACCCTTAAAAAATTTTCTCCATCTCTGTCTCGTGCCTCGAACGAGTAAAATTTCTCATACTATTTCCGTCCCAAACAAGGATGGGGATCTCCCGGGGCAAACGGGGCAAAAATTATATGTATTTTTTAATTTTTGCGTCATTTTATTTAATTTTACTATCAAATTTTAAATTATAGAAAAAAAAGATAATTTATATAGAAAATAAACTATAAAAATCACTAATTATAAATTTTATATGGAGTATAATTATATTTTTAATAAAAAAAATGAGGCAAACGGGGTGGGACGGGCAAATCCCATCCCTGCCCCGTTCCTCGATCAATGCAGAGAATCCTCGCATTGATTGGGGATAATTAACGTGGGGCAGGGTGGGGCTCCGTTGGAACGAGGCAGATTGCCATCCTATTCTTCACTTTGGTGCAAACGTTCCTAGACAGGACCTAGATGAGGTCTCTTTAATCTTGGCATGGTACTTTGTGCACAGCTATATTGCTGCTTGCAAGTTTTTGACCATCCTCAAGTCCTCTGGTAGCATTTTCTAGCTCATGGCAATTGAATAATCGAGTCCTACAAGCTGTCCTGAATGAGATGGTGCTAAGTCAACGAGCCTGGTCGGCGTCGGACATGTCGGCTTTAACATGCCTTTTCAATATACAAAACAGTGCAATCAAAGAGGCAATGATAATATCCGACCAATAACTCCTGCAAGTTAAGGATGTGATGAAATTATTCTTACGACAATAAGGAGCAAAGAAAGTTATCGATATCATTCTGCCCATAAAAGAAAAGAAAAGAAAAAGAGGTGAGTATGGAATCTCCAGATGCGCACTTCGCGTGGATGCCTGTAAATTCTTGCTTGAGAAAATGAGAAAAGTATATTTCAAGTAAATATTACATTTTGTGATTCTGCAATGAAATCAATCTCGCAATCTCCCTCCTTTCTCTTTTTTAATTAAGTTTTTTCTGTTGAAAACCAGGTTTTTACGACAAGAATTAAAAGGAATAAAACAGATAATATCTGTCTTATTCAGGCCAATTCCTCTTGGCTTTAATTAAAAAAAAATAATAATAAATATCGGTCAATTTACAGTTAATCATTAAAAATAACGAGAATTGAACAATTTAAATAACATTTATTCAATTCTCAATACTTTATAATTTATGATTTAAATGACGTAACCTATACTCTAAATTGAGAATTACCATTTGCAATACTTTGAAAATAAAAATTACCATAATATCAACTTTTATTCTCTTCCTTGTTCATAAAAAGCTAATTTTCAAATAAGGTTGGAAAATCATTAAATTTAAACTTGTTGTGAAAAGTTGGCCATAAAATCCTTAAAGATGGATTCAATAGTCAAACAGATTTGTTTACATTCTTTAACTTACGAGTTTGAATTTTAAAATAAATATTTAAAAGATTTTATTTTTAAAAAAATCTACTTGGAAAAGAATATTAAAAGAATTTATTTCTCCGGATATTCATTCAAATGAACATATGACATATGTATATATTTTTAAGATCATTTGAAAAAAGAACTTATAATCTTAATTAACCCATAAGAATGCTTTTTCCATATAAAAAAAAATAAAGAGAAAAAGGAAAAAAAATCAAATAAATAAAGCACGTATTAGCACATCTCTCCTTTTTACCATCCAAAAGAAAAAGGAAAAAAAAATCCTTTCTCAAAAAAAAAAAAAAAAAAAGAAAAAAAATTCAAATAAATAAAGCACGTATTAACACACCTGTCCTTTTTACCATCCAAACAACTGCTGCCACGTACATCCTGACCCACCAAAGCCCTATAAAGACAGCAACCACCACGTCAGCGGCCATATAAAATCCCCACCACCAGAAAAACCCGATTCATGAATAGCTTGACGCGATCACAACTCGCACCCCTCGACTCACCCGATTCACACCGATTTTTCACCACCACCACCACCATCAAAAAATTCTCTCTCCGCCACCACCAAACCACTCTCAATTTCATTCACTCCATCTACCCACCCCCGAAATTCCCCAAAACTATAGCCTTAGCCATCATAACAACCAACCCGATAATCCCCGACCCAAACCCGAATACAATGGATCCAAACCCTTCTAGTGAGGATTTTGTTCATATCGAAAACCCTAGCAATAATGACCATCCTTTAAGCGAAAGCATAGTTGATGTTGCTAATGAACTTAGCGAAGATGATAACAAAAACGACGCCGTGGTGGAGAGGAAGGAGCTACCCGAGGAACTTTCTAGAAGCGTAATGGTTCTCACGTGCGAGTCAAAAGCTGATGGTGGAACTTGTGTTGTGTATTTAGTTGGCACTGCTCATGTTTCTCAGGTGAAATTTTGAATTTCTTGTATATTTGTGTGTGTTTGGTTATTGAGAAAGTGAAGGAAATTGTGAGGAATTGGGAAAGTTTGGAAGTTTTTGTTTTCTGTGTAGAATGGTTAATGTTTGTAAATTTTGGCTGAAATAAAGGAGCATTGGAAATGTGAATTATTTGGTTTTAATTTGTGTTTTCTGTTTGGTTGCTGAGAAAGTGAAGGAAAATGTGAGATTGAGAAAGAGAAAATTCTTTGCTAAGATGGCTAATTTGTAAATTTTGGCAAAATGTTTGAACTTGCCTTGATAAATGTGAATTTTTGGCGGATTTAAATTTTCTTTTAGGCTGCTGACAAAACGAAGTCAAGTGAGTTTAAATGGTTAATGAATGTTGAGCTAGGATTGAAAAATATGTAAAATTACTTTTGTTGATTTTCTTTTTCCGGTCTCCATATCAGGGTTTTTTTTTAAAAAAAAATTATTGACTGCTGAGAAAGTGAAGGAGGAGCATGGAACTTATTAAATGTTGAAGCTTGTCGTTTTAGTATTGGATTCTTGAGATTGAGAAACGGAAAATCTTTTTTCAACTGAGTATAAAATGGGCGATTCTTTAACTTCTGCTAAATTAAGCTAGTGTTGAAAATGTGAGCTATTTGGTTTTGATTTAATTTTTTTGTTTGTCTCTGAGCAAATGAAGGAAAAAGTGAGGAAATTCTAAGTGTTGGAACTTTTTGGTGTTTGTGTTAGCATTGGATACCTGAGAAAGTGGAAATAAGATTCTGTGCTTAAGTGAGTATAAACTCTCTCATTTTGCAAGTTTTAGGAAAACTAAACTAGCGTTGAAAAATGTGAAGTGTTTAGTTTTATTTTAAATTTCCTGATTGGTTGCTGAGAAAGTGAAGGGAAAATAGAGAAATTGATGAAGTTTGGAAGTTCTATTGTGTTTTCTGGGTTTTGGATGCTTGAGAAATAGAAATTCTTTGCTTAGGTGTGCCTAAAAAGGCTACTTTTGTAATTTCTGCAAAACTAAACTGGCATTGAAAAATGTGTATTTTATTTGGTTTTGATTTCATTTTTTGTCTTATTGCTGAGAAAGTGAAGGAAAAGCTGAAATTCTTAATTTGAAACTTTTTGTTGTTATTCTTGACGAAAGGAAATTCTTTGCTTAAGTGAGTTTAAGATGGCTAATTTTGTAAATTCTAGCAAAATCAAGCTAGAATTGAAAAATATGTAAATTTTTCTGTTGATATTTTTGTTGGGTCTTGAATTGTAGGAATCATGCAGGCAAGTACAAGCTGTAATCAGTTACTTGAAACCACAGGTGCCTTTTCCCTTTTTGTGAAACTTCAATAACATTTTGATTCCAAATATCCATGCAAAAGTCTTTTCTTAGAAGGTCAGCTGCCTGGGATTTAGATTGTTTTTATGGCTTTTACTTCTCGCCCAATGGAGTCTCCACAAAGTGAAGCTAGTGTATGTTGATTACAGGTTGTATTTCTGGAATTGTGTGCGAGTAGAGTGGCTGTGCTTACCCCTCAGAATTTAAAGGTCTGCCTCCAGAAAGTTTCGTTCTTTTATTTATGTTCTTTACCCTTTAAGTTTGCATATTCTGATTTCTTCATTTTTGGTTGTTCAGGTGCCGACGATGGGGGAAATGATAGAGATGTGGAAGAAAAATCATAACACATTTGGAATTATTTATGGCTGGTTTCTTGCCAAGGTCAGTATATAAGATGGATCTATTATTCAGGCTTTTCAATGAAGACTAGAATGTTGTCTTTGAGATTGATATAAGTTGATTTTTGCATCAAGATTATTTGGTTAACTTTTATTTTTCTTTTTACGTAAGGTTGCTGATAAGCTTGAAGTCTTTCCTGGTTCTGAGTTCCGGATAGCATTTGAAGAAGCGAGAAAGTATGAGGGTAAGGTAGTTCTTGGTGATCGTCCTGTACAGGTAAGATCCTTTTGCTGTATTGCCAGTTGGAAGTGCTTATGTTTCTTCTGGCATTGATATGCTGGATTATATATTAATCCAGCTTAACTATGTTTCCCTGCCCGCTTTGTGCTTGGGAATTGGGTGGAGTACATTTCTATTACTGCAAGAGAAATTCCTGGTTTTGTTTATGAATATAATAGATGCATCTGATTACCTTAGTTTTCTTGTGCGAGAAATTTAATGTTATAGCCTCCTTTAGGCTGATTTTGAGAATGCGAGAAAAAAATTATAGTAATCTCCTTGAAGACCAATTATGACGTTTAATTTTGGTTTGCCTATTTGATACTTAGCCTGGTTGTGTTTATGAATATGGTAGATTCAATGTTTGTCCTAGTTTCTCTATCCATATGGTTTGCATTTTCTAGTCCAAAATCTACATCTAGTGTCAATATCCCTATACCCAAGCATTTATTTTTATTGCAATCATTTTTCAAGTATATAATCATATGCAAAAATTGGATGGTGTAACCCCCTGAAGGCTGGCTGTGAGATTTGATACCATGGGATGCATGTTACATTTTTGTGCTTGGCACTGGTTTCTTTCCTAGTCTGTCTGCCTTTCTGAGTGCTAATCTGGGGCCAACCTAAGCATCTACTTCCTTGGCATATATTGCCATCCATCTAAAGTATCTACTTCCTTGGCTTTTGGACTGATACTTATCGTGTTTAGTGGGTTTGTCAAATGTTATTTGCTAGATTACTTCTTCAGCTCTTTATTCATGAATGCAGACAGTGTCAAAACAATAAACTCACATTTTTTAATTTTTATTCAGTCTCGTCCACCTAAGCATTTTATGAGCTTCTTTTCTTAATCTTCTTCACTTCTTCTTTTGATGCTTTTTTTTTTTTTTTTTCTTACTGCCGTTTCAAACTACTCTGACGTTGATGGCATCAACTGAAACAGATTACATTGCGGAGGACATGGGGTAAAATGCCTCTTTGGCATAAAGTTAAATTGCTGTACTCGTTACTTTTTCAAGCATTATTTTTACCAAGCTCTGAGGATCTTGACAAAATGGTAAAATCTTAAACTTCCTTTCCTTTACTTGTTTCCTCTAAAAATTTCTATTTTCTTTTCCCTTAGCTGCAGAAATTATTCAAGATTGCTAAATTTGGTTGACAGTCAATTTCTTTGCTTATTTCCAGCTAAAAGAAATGGATGATGTGGACAGGCTGACTCTAGTCATTCAAGAAATGAGCAAGCAGTTCCCCACTCTAATGGACACCCTTGTGCACGAGCGAGATCAGTTAGTAGTCTTTGGCCTCCATTTATTTTTGTAATTTAATACTCCTTTAGCTGCGGAAAAAAAAAAAATGATAGTCCCTGCCTCTGCCATTGGCTTTCATAAAAAGGAAGAAGCAGAGTTTATTGGGCAATAGTTTTCTGTTTCTATTTTTTAGATGTTGATAGCATATGAGTTTACAAGGGAATGGATTTGCCAGAAATATTTTGCAACTTCTGTTGCCTGTGTCTCTTCGGAAGAGCGTGTTTATAGTTTGATGTCTGATCTACACTCTTGTTTTATGAAAACGTTTTTGGAAAAAATCCACCAAGAACTCATGCTATTTTTGTATCAATTTACGGACAGAAAGTAATTAATCTGGAACAACTTCTCTATGAATAACCGTGTGAGCACTGTACTAAGAATTTTTTTTTTCTCAAATGAATTTATTCATGGCTGTTTTAACCAACTTTCAGGTACATGTCGTCCACCCTGCTAAGAATTGCTAAAGAACACACTTCAGTTGTTGCAGTCGTTGGAAAGGGGCATTTGCAAGGGATTAAGAAGCATTGGGAGCAACCTATTGAGGTTGGTTAAGAATACTTTTTCAGCCATGTAATATGAGTAATAAATTTCAAACTTGCTAGTTAGTCCATTAATAAGTCGATTAATGATAAAAGTCCATGACACATAATCCAGTTAATATTTAATAATGTAAGCACATTCTTATATAAGAACTTGTGTTTTAGCCATTGGATTAGTATTTTCAAGTCTAAAGTAAAACATAAATGTCAAGTGAAGTGGGGATTTTCAACACAATCAATGGTTAAAACACAAGTTCGTGCTTACAGAAGCCATTCTCAATTCACCAGATTTGTACACTCCTTGTCCGCCCACCACTTAGAGTTTCTTAAATCTTCAGACTTCCATGCTCACCAGTTCTACCTTCCCCTTGTTGCAGTTGAAGGATCTCATGGAACTTCCTTCACAGAAACCAGCTGTTTCAGCTCGAAAGGCTCTTGTATCTCTAGGTGCTGCAGTTGCTTTTGTGACTATTGTTTCTGGCTTTTATCTTTCACGCAAGAAATAGTTAACCAGAGGTTTGGTTTGCGTCAATGGATCATTTACGATGAGGATTCACAGTTTCTTAGTCACAATTCAAACAATTTGTTTCAAAGTTCGTTTCCTTACTCACAGAACAATTGAGGACATTACAAATGAACAGTCCAACTAGGATCATGTAATACATACATGTAACAAATTGAAAGTTGATTTTATACAGTGTCTTAAGGGAGATCATCCCTACCTAAATCTTTAAATGACAAACAATGAGCAAAGGTTGCCTCAATTCAATAGCCAAACAATCCTACAGGCAAACAACATCGGCACAGAGGGCAGGAGGTGCTTGTGATCAGCCACTTAATGATTCAATGAGAGTGATACACATGAGAGCATGTTGTGCAAGCAGCTTCAGAGCCGACGAGAAGATGGTTCAAACAAGTTGCACGGAACAAATCCTCGGAGCCCATATAATTGTCAATCTTAATTTTATTCAAGCATGGGATTGGTGGTTTGCAAGCTTGCAACAATTGATCGAAAGGTTCTTCAAATGAATCCCAAGAGGTTGCTTCATCATCATCTACAAGAATTCCAGTTGTCAGTTTAAATTTGATGATCGCTCTGCTCTCGTCGTCCGTCTCGCATGGCTCTGATGCGACAATGCACAAGAGGCATTTGAGTTACATGGAAACATATGATCTCAAGTAAGTCTTCTCTATCTTCTGAGGATAATGGGATGCCTATGCTGTCCAATATCAGTTCAGTGCATCGAATTTGTTTAAAGGAAAACAATACAGTGTCCACGCATGGCACTTGGAATTTTACCCTTGCCTTAGGTTCGAAGCCATGTTTTATTTCTCTGACAATGATGAAATTGATCACCATCTCTTTGGCAAGAAAACTCTTAACAGCATAATCATAATTCCCCATAATTATAATTATATTTCTCTTATCATGAAAGAGAAGTAAAAAGTCAAATCTGGAGAAAATAAACTCAAATTCAATTTGTGCCACAACAATTTACTTCACTCTTTGAACTTTGGAATCTACCTCACGTTTATAAGAGCGAATTTTATTGAGAATTTGCCATATCAGAAAACAAAAAAGAAAAATACAAAGAGAGAAGGAGAAGGTCTAGAGGTTTAAGAAAGGAACATTTCAATAGTAGTTGTCTTTTACAAACAACGTAGAAAGCATACTTTTTAGGGTTAATGCTAAAGAAAATATACTAAAATTCATGTCTTTATTGAGTAAACTAAGGATCAATCATCCTTAAGGCAACTTAGAGCGACACATAGGGCACGAAGTTCTCTTCATCACCCACTTAACTATGCAATGACAAAGATACACGTGAGAGCAAGCAGTGATTGCAGCTTCAGACCCAACAGGAAGATCTTCTAAGCAAATAGCACAACATGACCCTCCCTCAGAACCCAAATTCTGTGTGATTTTCACTTTCTTCAAGCATGGAATTGGTGGTTTACAAGCTCGTAACACAAGACTAAAAGGGTCAACTAAATCCCACGTGACCGCCTCATCCTCATCAACATGAATTCCAGTCTTTATTTGACACAAGAGTTTGCTTGTGCTCACAAACACAGGGCACACAATCATGTGGTCAGCTTCATCAGGGAATGAACTAGCATGGAGAGATATGGATTCAAATAGTCCAGCTTGTACTCTTGATGGTAATTCCATGCCCATTCTCCTGTACAATTCTCTGTGTGCCTCTTCTTTGAAGTATTTCATCACCAAATCACGGCGTTTCATGGTCAAAGCTGGTACTCTGTTCTTGGCTTCTAAACTATCCTGTGATTCTTGGGCAATGATGAATTGTATTTTTATCGTTTTGGCAAGAAATTTGTATGAACTGAGAGAAGATATTGGAGGTTCCATCACCAGGGCTGTGCTTCAACTGCTTGACAATGTTGAAGTGTTGAAGAGACGTAGATTGTTGGCATGAAGTAGTAGCGTTTATGTAGTACGTGGATAGTATCTAGCTCAAAGGAGTTGAAGCAAATCCTTTTCCCTTTCGGATTCGGACAAGCTAGCTTTAAATAATATCCCAATTCCCATGGGCTCTAGGATTTTATTTATTTATTTTACATTTTGTTTTTTGGTTCCAGTTGATATATTTAGAGAGTGAAATACATTTTGTTTCAAAAACTAATTATTTAATCTCAATATTTTGAAATCTATTTGTAATTTAGTCCTTTTTGCTCCCTTTTAATTTATTTTAATATTTTGTTTCAAGAAATAGAAAAAAAGAAAAAATATGAAAAGATTCATGAGAAAGTAAAAGATTTTATGAAATAAAAATATTTAAACATGTTCAATACTGATTAAAGTACTACATACTAGTTTTTAAAATAAGGAGGACTAATTAATTTGTTTCTTGAAATTAGAGAGACTAATTTATAATTTACTCTTTATATATATATGGAAATTTTTATTTATTTATTTATTTTTTTATGAGGGTTGTTTAGGGCACAAGGAACTACAATTTATATGTGGCTAGCGTATCCTAGCCCAGAATCAATAATGGCCCAAAGCCTTAATATAATCACTAGTAACTCTTTAATACCCAAGCGATTCACAATTAACAACCTCATAGCACCATTCATTAATACAACAGAAGAAAAGAATGTCGACAAATCTTATTGACTTTGATTGATATAAACAAGCTAAATCATCCGAGTACAATAAAAATTTAACAATATAATCATAAAACATTTCGATTTAAAGAATTAAATCAAATTAAAAAACAATTCAGAAATCTTGTTCTTGGTAACAAAAATCATCCTATAGGCAACTTAGAGCGACACAAAGGGCAAGAACTACTCTTCGATAGCCACTGGACAATGCAATGGCAATGATAAAGATGAGAGCATTTAGTAGTAGCAGCTTCAGACCCAATAGGGAAATCTTGTAAGCAAATTGCACAGCATAACTCTTCATTCTCACAACCCAAATTTTGCTCAATCTTTACTTTCTTCAAGCATGGAATTGGTGGCTTGCAAGCTGGTAACACGGGGTTTTCAGAGTTTTCTACTAAATCCCACGACACAGCCTTGTCCTTGTCAACATGAACTCCAGTCAAGATGTTGAACCGGATATCAAGTGGGGAGCCTGGTATCAAAATGCACACAAATAGGTGGTCAGTTTCACCTTGCAGTTTCCGAGCTTGGTCAGAGATGGCAGATTTCAAAGTAGCTTTCAGGGCTGAAGATAGTCTCATGTCTTTGTTCTTAAACATATCCATATATCTACGATTCCTCACCACCAACTCAGAGAGTTCCATCAGGAATTGTTGTCTAGTGATTTGTAAGCCAACATGAGATTCTCTCACAATAATGAACTCTATAGTAATCTGTTTGGAAAGAAATTCCCTTGAATAGAGAGAAGATGCCGAGGATTCCATGAATCCCATTGAACAGAGAGAAGATGCTTAGGACTTCAAGATTTTGCTTGACAAACTTGCTGGAGTAGGAGAAAACATGCAAAAGAGAGTGTGAGAAGCTATTGGCCTAAGGTGGTCTTTATAAAGACAAGGAATTTGAGGTAATCCATGTCGGTCCTGGATTCCGAAAGGAAATAGGTACCAAGCTGTCAGAAAAATAGCCGTTGGCCTTTTCTTCTAGGTTGAGTTTCCTAGTTAAAATTAATGCCCAATTTTGCTATTTTGATTTCATAATTCTACTAACTTTTATTAGATTAATTTTCATATTCTTCATATTAGATTTTAAACCCCAAAAAACTTTTTAAGCGATCTGCGTTTAACCAATCCAACAGTCCAGTATACACTATACACCATCCTTTGGACAGGGTGTCATTACTGACAAAGAAAACGTACGTGTATGGGATTTGAAGCCATTATTGTCCAAGAAAACGTATGTGTTTCCAGGATTAGAAGCCATTATTGTCCAAGAGAATGTATGTGGTGTTTCCAGGATTAGATGACACGGATATAAGCCACTAATCAGGATAAGCCACAATTCGGTTCTGGCACCCGAGCCATTATGCCAAGAGGAACTGTTAATCCCCCAGAATTGGTAATGGGTGCAAACATTTCACATAATTAACAGCAATAGACAAGCAGTTAAGGCATAATTAACACCATAAACACAACAAAAGATGAGATTAAAAATGGGATTAGAAGCTCAGTGGAAGGAGAAGTCGTTTAAAAAAGAGAGCTCACGGCAAGTATTTGAGTACTTGTCCACTGCTCTTCAACACATCCAAGTGCTTAACCTCATCATTGCAACCAAATCCCTTCTACCGGAAAACCCATTAAGCCAAACAAAGAATTGAAAAATTTTATGGAAAAAAGATTTGATAAAAAGGGCTTCAGTGTGTGTAACAATCAGATCGTTGATTTGATAATCTCACTGAAATCCGCTAAGATAATTTATGTTATCATCATAAGCCCAATTGACCAAAAAAGACACTTTTTTTTCTCTCAGAAAACACAGAATTAAAAAACAAAAACAAAAACAAAGAGGATGGGTTAGAGGGGAATAAGAAAGCAAACAAGAAGGGTGCTCAGACAGCCAAGGGTTAGTAATCAAGTTCCGGGAGAAGAAGCCCAGATCAGAAACTCTAGTCCACAAAACAATTTGCTTTCATCACTGCACTCTTTTTTCAAAAAAAAGACAACATCAAAACCAAAATAGCAAGACCTTTTTGCACTAAAATACCATAAAACATTGGCAGAAAACATGTAAAACAATAAGGAAAAAGGGGTAAAAGAAAGAACCCAAGATGGGATTTTGAGATCTAAATGAGATGGGCAGGCAGAGAGAGAAACAGACGATATGAAGTCGTGAGGGTTTTGTTGTATATATAGGGGCTGTAGTCAAGTGTTTGGTGTCATGGAAACTAGGGTTTCAAAGGGTTTGTGTTGTATTTGGGTTGTAGGGTTTTAGTGTATCTGTATTTGGGCTTTTGTTCGGCTCCATAATTTTCGATTAGAGTAAGGTATTTCTTGGGCCGTAATTTTTCAATTAAATCCCAGAAATGGGAAACTTTTTTATATGGAATAATGGAAATTATTTTCTTATTGAATTCTTTGGCGATATTCTCCTATCAATTTTTGTATATCGAAATTAATTTTTCTTCAAATGGTTTTTATAAGTTATTGTATTTAGAAAGAAATTTCTTGCCATTTATATCGAATTCCTTTTTCTATTTTTATTTTTTGCCTATAAGAAAGTAGAGAAAATAATTAAACTATGTCAATTTGTATCTTTTTTAAGGGACAAAAAATAAATAATTTTTGTTTTTAAGGATCAAACAGAAAATTGTAGGAGAGAAGAGGACCAAATGTGTCATAGTTAAGGAGTAAGAGTTAATTTCTATTTCTGAATGGTTAAACTTGCTAATAGAAAGAAGGATTAAATTTTTAACTTTTTTTAGGGATTAAATTAGAAATCTGTAAGGAAAAGGGATAGAATATACTATATTACTAAGAGGAAGGGGAAACTTTTTTAACCTTAAAGAAAGAAGTATTTAAGAGAAAAGTGTATTACTTTTTTAATCTAAAATCCAAGATTTAATGAAATCATCAGTTGTAATATATATAACATTTTATGTACTTTGTCCAAGACAATAATATGTATTATTAGAGTTAATAGCATAGTTTCAAATCGCATATATAATTGCAAAATATGATCATAATCTTGATTGTAAATTATAATAATACGTAAAATAAGAGTCATGGTAATCGATGCGATGAATACATTGATATTTTATAATATATTTTTTAAAAACTAAAGAATCAATTCTTTTTGAAACAATAAAATAACGGACGTTGTTTATGTTGTTATTTATTAAATAATGATCATAACAAGTCGTTATCATTATATAATATCATTATTTGTATGAATCGAAGTTATGCAATTATAACGGTGAAAAACAGTAAGGATCTTGATCAATTCTATTAAGTAACGATTATTATATTATATAATTACAGTTATTTAAAACTATGGTCAGAAAAATGAGGTGAAGGAATATTTTTACACTCTAATTCTTCCTAGTTTCGAGTATGAGAAGGTGAGAGTGAGGTTCCAAATTATTCACGAGGGCTTGATTATTGACAATTGACTGACATCATGATGGGCATGCACAATTAGCTATATAAGGAATTTTTCTCAACAGCGTAGTTTTTAGGTGAAACTTCTTATACCAAGGTTAGACTAAAGAGTTTTGCACTTCAAGTTACGTCACGTTCAAGTCATTGTAAATAGGTATCCAATCTGTTCAGGAAAATCCAATCTGAAATTAACTTCCTTAAAGTTTATAGTTGACAAGTTTATATATGAAGTTTCGTGATAGCAAATTTGGGTTAACTTAGCAGATTTTTATTAACACAAGTATATATATGAAGAAAGGAACATTACAATTACAGGCTAATTATTCACGCCAACAAAACATAACCCTTCAAGAACAAAAAACACACTCCATCAAGATCCCCTACAGATCCTTTATTTTCTCTCAAACAACCAAAAAAAAAAAAGGCTTGATACTTAGCCTTAGCTATTAACCAAAGCACATTGCTTCCTAATCTCACCGTCGGAGCCGGTTTTAACATTATTCCTGCCCATTTTCTCCATGGACATTGAAAATTCAGAATAAAAATCAAGTGAACCCTGAAGTAATTGGTTGATCGTAGCCAATGTATTAGAGGTTGTGGTCAAGGCAGCATCTGATTCAAATAAACCTCTTCTTTTAAGTAAGAGTGTATAGTAGCTAAGATCAAATGTTTTTCTGCTTCCAGGGTCCATCTCAACTTTGGTAGTGTTATCATTAATACTTTTGCACTTTTTTGCCTTTAAATTCGTGGCGTATTCGGCATCTAGAGCTGGATCTTGATCACCAATTCCAGTAAAATTGTACAGCCGGTTCGAAAACGATGAACAATGAGCAAGGCCAATGGTATGAGCTCCTGGAAAAATTAATTTGGTTAGATGATCAATAGTTCAGCATTAATGTAAGAATATCTCACATAATGAAAATGTTAGAGATGGGACATACCAGAAAGCACAACTAGGTCTTTCAAATCAAGACCTTGGTTAGAAAAAACTGTTTGTAGACTGGTGAAGTTGGAAGAGGGAGGTGGGATGTTGGACATGGCCTCCGAGAACTTTGAAATCAAACCGTCTCGCCGGCCAGTTGGAACTCTCCAGGATGGACCTCCCTGCCAACATTAAAAGCAAATTTATCTGTGTTTTTCTAGCAATGGATGATAGTAGAGAAGAGGGCCTTTTTTTTTATTTTTTGTAATTACATACTGTGGCTACTATACTGTCTCTTGCGACCAAGGTAAGAATATCTGCACAAGACACAATTCCAGGACATTCAGCTTCAACTAGGCTTTTCACTCTGTCAATGAAGTCAAAGCCTCTGAGCGTTAGATTTGGAGTTGCTGCCTTTTCGGGTTGTTCGCCGGAAGTTGTGTTCAACAGCACAGATGCATCGCAACCCTGACACAAACATTTTCCTCTCATGTTATTTCAGAATCTTAAAAATCAACATATCCAACATTCTACAGTAGAATCATGAGGAAAAAAAAAATACATAGCAGAGAGTTAAAAAATGCAGTAAATACAAACCCTGACAAAGCAATCATGGAAATGCATTCTGAGAAAGGTTGCAGCCAAAGAAGGAGCATTGTGGATGTGCTGGTTAACAAAGTCTTGCACAATCTTCTCAGCTTTTGGGCAGCTATTATCATAAAAACCCATCGTTAGTTGAGCTTCAGTTGAGCCCACAAACGCTAAAAGACCAATGATTAGCGTCCCAAAACAACCAATCTTTCCCATCCTGATTGTTTCTAGGTTTTTTTTTTCCTTTTCTTTCTTTTCTCTTTTTCAACTTTCTTAAATACCGTACATGTAGATTGCTGTACACAACTCCTAGTAGTTCGTTTGATGAAGCTACTTCAATTCTGCAAGCAATCCCAAACATGAGAAAATATTTATAGCCCTAGATTTGTGAGAAAATATTTTTAGCCCTAGATTTGTGCTACAAGCTGAGAAAAAAGTTGATAAAAACAGCACATCTAGTGTAAATATGATAAGAAAATGATAAATACAGTACATCTAGCTAACAAACATGTGCCATCTTGTATTATTAGACATATTTTAATTTGAAGTTGGCAGTGATCAGTTAGGCTTGCCTCTCCAGAATAAGTGAAGTAAGACTACGTGAAACCCCACACACATCATCAAGACCTTTCATTTGATCTATAGACGATGAAGTTTCCTTGTACTGCATTGATCTTTCGGTGAAAGGAAAGTCGTGGCCTCTTTTCGACCCGATAGATATTTCTAACAATAGCTGCATCAGCAGATGCGTCTTCATATACACATCTATGTATGTGTTTTCATTTGGTAGGTATAATTTTTCTTGGAATGGAATGCTGCAGTATTATAAGGTTAAAAAAACATAGCTTGTTCACCTGCTCTATGGCTGCTATGTTATACTGTTTTCCCTTTTCGGATAACTGCTGCCACCCATGATGCCAGTTGAATAATAAAGCATATAAGTGTTGTCAAGTAAAGAATTTGACACTGAAGAATGTGTAAGTATGAATCCACATAAAAAGTAGCAGACAGAGTGACGGAAGATTACAGGGAGAAGATTGATGACAACAGGATATCTAGAATGATTTAGAAATGATCTTCTAAAATTTATCTTCTACGAAAAGAACTTTTCAGAGGGTCAATACTGAAATGCCTAGGGTCAAGAGCAAATTTGGTAAGTCTTTAGCATGATGGGTATCAGCTAGGTCCTATTCTTGTACGTTGGGGATAGTTTTTCTCAGGCTGGAAGCAGTTGGCTGGATCAGGGTTAGCCTGTTTGGTATCAGTCTTGTATAACGGGGTTCTATTACGTATCCTTGAGGAATCTCAGATTTTGTCATATATTATAAGTAGGATTTTTTTTTCATATTTACACCCTTTTTTTTTAAATTGAGTAAGACTCTATACTCTTCGATCTTTTTTGTTTTAAACCTTTAATTATAATATTATTAATCAATGATTAACACATGATCTCTATTTTTTAAGATTTCTTATTCTATAATATTACGTATCAATTATTGATTGATGTTATTATAATAGAAGGTTTAAAGTAAAAAGTCTCGAAAAGTAAAGAGTCTCAATGAAATAAAATAAAAATCTAGAAATATGAAGTGTAAAATGTAAGAAAAATCCATTTTTAATACATCTTGTGCATCTGGTCTTACTTGACCTCTTTTTTTTCTTTGATTTTCAGTGTATCCCTAACCCAAAGACCTAGATTAATCTCTTGTTATTCAGTTAGACGCACAAGACTAACACAACTATCCAAAGAATTTTAAGCATACATAAAAACTTGAATTCAATATCACTTACTTAAGCAACTAAATTTCTTTATGCTTAAGCCAATCTTTTTGGATTTCTCACTTTTTTTAGATTGAAGTTGGCAGAAATTTAATTTCTAACTACAAACAGTTCATGCTCATAAACCTTTCTGTCAAACTTTTAAATTTACAATGCCAGAATCTGGTTGTGTACAACTTTTACACCTTATAAGTGGACTAGCCATTTACAGATAGGAATAGTTTATTGTTTCCCATCAACCTACAGACCATCATTTAATTCTTGTGCAATTAAGGATCCTCATGATCTCAGACTAATGGCCCTTCATTTTAGTATCCAAAGCCTAAAAGAGAGATTTTTTTTTTTTACAAGCCAATATACATCCGTGGTCAGTTGTAAGAGTTATAAGGAGTGGAACTTAATACCACCAACAATAGGGACTAATCTGATCACCACAAAAAAAAAAAAAACCGAGAAGCCAACTTGATCACCTCTCGTGCATGGAATGCAAATCCATGACCTCTTGGTAGATACCAAGATGCCACCAAAACCAAGTCAAAGTCTCTTTTTTAAAACCTAAAAGAGAGATGAACACAGTGAAAATAATTCATAGACCATCTTTTTCCGCCTATGGAGCGTACCATCTCCTTTAAAACTGTTGAAACAGCAAAAGCCAGCCATTGAATGGAGTAAATTGCATTGACGTTTATTAATACAGAAGCTTTATCACTCATCACCATATTTTTTCAAGCCATCAATTTTGTCTAGTCCACATTGTACAGCCAACACAGTCTTCCGTTCCTGGAGCGGAAGCCATTTGCTTCGCTTTACACCCGTCTCAAGGGAGTCATTTCTAATGCATATGTGGGTCAGGTCTGGACACAATGAGTACACCCTATATCATAGGTGTTTTCTGAAAAATTCACATGCGTGCAAACTGCTTTGATGATAGGATCACTGTCAACATAGTACTTTATCAGTAAAAATAACATGCAAAAGGGCATTGCCAGTTTATTTACACTGTGAGAGTTAATCAGTCTCGACAAATTGTCAAAAAAGTAGAAACACGAAATCCAAGAAAGACCTTGCCATGATTTCTGTAATCAGAAGGCTAATTATTATAGATTATGTCTAATATTCTAGTCTTTATTGGCCAAGCTTTATGCATGGACATGCTAATATGACTGTTAGCTTCGTATTCTATTCCAAAAGCAGATCAGCATGTTGTTGGTATTTGGAAAATCAGCTTATAAGTTATAATTTATTATTTAAGTGTCTTGAAAAGGGCACCGACGCATGATTAGATCTACTGGTTCCAAAGCTAGTAGCTATGTTGGCTTTTGAATAATTTAGCTAAGCAATCTTACTTTCACTTAACCACAAGTTGTTTTTTAGCACTTTTAGTCTCGAGATTCGTTGAATTTCCTGTACTATGTGTGGATGAGCTGTTTCTAGGTGATTAGAGTAATAAATTAGATGAAACATCAGAAAATTCGATTCAACTAGGCAACCGACAAGCAAACAGAACATGATTTTTTTTTCTTTATGGAAAAATAATGTGATCAGTTTCAAAAGAAATAGTCTTCCTGACATTATTTGACTAGCAATGACACACCCACGCGCACGCACTGCACACTCACGATCAGAAGATTCTTAGCTGTTCACAAATGCACACTGTTTTCTAATCTCTCCGGTGGTGCCGGTCTTGACATTGATTCTGCCCATTTTCTCCATGGAAGTTGCAAATTCCGCAAAGAAATTCTGAAGTGAACCTTGGAGTAGCTGGTTGATGAAGGACAGTGTAGCAGAGTTTGTGGTCAAGGCAGAATCAGATTGGAATAGACCTCGTCTCTTGAGTAAAAGAGTGTAGTAGCTAAGATCAAATGTCCTGAAACTTCCAGGGTCCATTTCTACTATGGTGGTATTGTCATTAAGACTTCTGCACTTCCTTGCCTTCAGATTGGCAGCGTATTCGCTGTCTAGTGCTGGGTCCTGAGTACCCACCACTCCGGTGAAATTGTAAAGGCGGTTCGAAAATGATGGACAATGTGACACCCCAATTGTGTGAGCACCTGAAACATCCAGCAGGATCATGATACAAATTGCAGTACGTAGCATTTCAAATCACATACAGAGCTAGGGAGTGGCATTTCCTTTAACTGTAGTACCTGATAGCAAGACCAAGTCTTTCAAGTCCAGTCCTTGGTTGGCAAAAAGTCTCTGTAGATTGGTGAAGTTGCTTGTTGGAGGAGGTATATTGTTCATGGCCTCTGAGGATCTTGAAATCGTCCCGTCTCTTCTCCCTGTCGGAACTCTCCATGATGGACCACCCTGTTGAAGTTCAAACAGAGGGATTCAGTGCTTCTTTTGCCCAGTAATCAGAAAAATTAGTTGGTTTTGATTTGTTTTTAAATCCTTACAGTGGCTACAATAGCATCCCTTGCAACCAAAGCAATAACATCAGCACAAGAGACTACACCAGGGCACGCTGCTTCCAGCAGGCTCTTAACAGCATCAATGAAACCAAAGCCTCTCAGTGTTAAATTTGGAGTTGCCAACTTTTCAGTTTGGTTATTGCTTGAAGTTGTGTTCAGAAGCACAGATGCATCACAACCCTGAAAACAATCGAAACTAAAGGAGGTTCAAAGATGTGTAAGGTAAAAATGTAGAGAGTCACAGAAAGAGTGAAGACACAAACCCTAACGAAACAATCATGGAAATGCATTCTTATGATGGTTGCTGCCAATGATGGAGCATTATGGATATGCCTGTTAACGTAGTCTTGCACAATCGTCTCAGCATTTGGGCAGCTACTAGAATAAAAACCCATCTGCAATTGAGCTTCAGTTGACCCCATAAATACCAAAAGACAAAAGACCATCATCCCAAAATAACCCAACTCCCCCATTTTTTGTTAGCTTGGAAAAAATTCCTGTTTTTACTGCAACCTCACAAATGGAAGCCACTTATGGCACAACCTTGGATATGAGAGGTTATGCCACTTTAAGATTTATAGCCCTCAAATTTACGATGAACCGTAATGACCAGAGCAACCCAAAAAGATAGTAAAATGATGGGCCAGCTAGATAGCCAACTAACGCGGTAAGTGATTTAACGTATATTAATGTAAAGTAGGTGATTAAGAACATGATGATGAGTTATGTTTGTCCCTAGTTGATTATGTAAGAAAGCATCCGGTCTCTTGGCAATTACACATTACTCTTCAGTCATTTGGAATCCCTTGTTTCTTGCGAAGGGAAAATCAAAAGAAGAGAATCCCATGCTTCTTTGGAGAATTATAATCTAATAATTTCTGTAAGGTTGACCGAATATAAAACCAAATTGGTGACAATGGTAATGTTGCGACGTGCCAGATTAAAATACAAGGAAATGGGTTCGGTGGATATTGATCTTACGACATAGCATACCTAATTGCATTGATACAGCAAGAATGGAATCACTTTTTCACCTGCTCTCTGATGGCTAAAGTTATCTTAATTAATCCCCAACCGTTTACATTTCTTATCAATTATTGGGTACCTGCTGCCACCAAATGTATTGATCACAAGCAAAAAAATAAAATTCAAAGTTCAGCTCCCACATTTCCGTTTTTTGGAGATGAACTCTGATAAGTGGTTTACGATCAGTATAAACACGTTAATTCCCTTTTTGGTTGAATCTTAAACAAACTATCCACGTCTGAACTAGTGAACTTACGAAGAATTTCTTCATTTTTTTCGGTACTTATTCCTGGATTTAAATCTCAAAATGATAACGTCAAAAACAAATCTACCTAACGTAAGTAGTTAACTCAAAGTTAGAATCCCATCTTATTTTAAAAAGAACACACATGCATACAAAGGAGCATTAGCGTGTTGCAAAATTACATAGAATATGATTCAGTAATGATTATGATAAGCTGTCGGTCGCAATTTTTATTGGAGAGAATCAAGGAATGTGTCAGGGCATTCACACAGCATCGTAATGGGGGTAAGAATGACTTTGAGGGTAACAGCTAGAGAGAAAAAATATCAACATACAGGTCCACATAGTTCAAGCAAACCACTGGAAGCAAGCTTCATGTCTCTATCAATCTTTTCTATCCATTTTCTGTCTATAATTCTAATCTTGCCTTATGTCACAGGAACTGGAGAGTGGGGACAATAAACATACGAACCCGCATCTGCACATGTTGCATAAAACAAGCCAAAAGTACTGAAGCTAATGCGTGGAAGCTAGGAACTGTAACTTTCTACTAGGGCACCCTCCTTGATTTGTACCAAATCAGCTTGTGCCTCAAGAATTTGGGCTCCCTAGATTTATTTCCATGAATGTGCTTTTCTTTATGGTGGATTGTCTCAATGGTGGGATGCTACTCTTCACCGTTTCTTGGATCTGCATTTAGACTTAGGAAACAAGGGATAGGGCTGTCAGCTGTTGGGGTAACTTTATTCCTATGTAGGATTACCTAAAAAGATCACCCTAGGTAAATGCCTGCTCAAAGCAAGATGAATACCTTTCCTTACTTCCAAGATAAAATAATAAGAATCAGAAAAAGAAAAGGTCTATACTTTAAGAACAAACTCCATGCAATTCAAATATTGTGAGTGCTTTACAAGGACGAATGGCTTTTGTTAGTTCTTTCCTTCAGAAGGCAGAAGGCACATATGTCTCTGCACGTACTGATATAATATCATCACCCCAAATATAGACATAGTTCATCAGGCTTGCACCACTACCGTTAATTCCAGCCCACTAGCAACCGACAAGCCGTTAGGTTCTTATGTTCTGATCAGATAACCCAACAGTTGGACTGGCAGGTATACATCCAGGAAAAAAAGGCTCAATTAAAGAGCGAAATTTTCAGCAGCACAAAAGAAGTGTACCAACATAAAACGATATTGAACCAAAATTGAACTGTATTACATACATGCATATAGAGGTACACAACAATCTTAATGAATTCTGTGAACGATTGATGATAGAATTGTACAGATAAAGAGTGGTATTTGCTTGACATGATTATATAGAATGACCAACCAGTCCGCAGGATAAGGTTGGGAACAATGGTCCTTGTTCTCATCATCAAACAAGTGCTCCCTTAAATGCCTTTCCCTGGCAAAGTAGTTTATGGTACAAAAGAGGGAAATTTCCTAACATTGACAGACGACAACAACAAATAGCCAAAAATTGAAATTTTGTACCTCATTTATGAAATTTAACTTTTTCAAATCTACTTTTATCATTCTTTGAACTGCCATTCCCTGCGGCACATGGGACAATGTGCTTGTGCAGTCTGTGAATTCACCCATTTCAAGATGCAATGAAGATGGAATGCATGGTTGCATGCACCCCAAACTGCAAAAATATGATTAACAATAAAGATCATTAGTTCCCATCTCATCACATCACACCAACTTAAAACATGTTTAATCATTTACCAAATGTTTTTTTCTCTGGGTCTACAGAATGGTTCAAACTGAGACCCTTAGGGATGAAGATACACAACCAACTGAACCAGCTATTTAGTGTAATCCTTTCCCTAATTGATCAATGAAACTTTCATACAGGGAAACATCATTGACAAAGGAGGTACAAAGAGAAAGATAAGAATGCAGAATTCCAGCATCTGGTTAAAATATGAGCCAATATAATGTGTTTCATTGCTAACACCATATAACATTTCGAAGTCCAGCGCATGACAAACAAGAAAAGAATGTTGGCAGTTTCACTGAAAGAAGAAACTAACAATAGGCTGCACTGAATTTTTGATGCATGAAACACAGGGAACCACAAGGCTAATCTAGGCCACCTAAACGTGTTATCAGGCTTCCTACTGGAGCTCAGGTCCAGGGTTAGGGATGACTATATAATCAAGCCATGCCAGAGTGGTTCCACTGAATTACAAGACTGAGGGGTCGCCACGAATTGGTGATGCAGGACAGCTTAGGGGCTGTTCTGGATCTGATTTTTGGAGGCTGTTTAGGAGTGTTTAGGATTGTATTGAATTAGGTTTCAGCTGGAATATGAGGAAGTAGGTGGATCTGCATTGATAGAGTTGTAGAAGTCCAAATCCAAATCCAATTAGGACAAGGATTCCTACACCTCCAACATAACTATTCCTAATTAGAATAGGAAAACCTTTAACTATTCCTATTTTAGAATAGGAAAACTTAATAACTTAGGACTAATAAAATACTTAAACAAAAATACTATAATTTCGGATTTTCCAGCAGATTTGAAATTACTAAAATTCCCTTGTCAATTATTCAAGTTTTGCTTCCTTTATTTTCTGCATCAATTGGTTTCGGGAACATCCATTGTGCTTTGGCATCATCTCCATAGATAACTGCCAAATACATGACCTTTTGCCTATCTCAGTTCCAAGGGACAAATAGTCTGACATATGGGCTGTGAAAATTTACATGGAGTACCAGGCTGACTGTTCAATTATTTCTTGAAACTCAAGCTCACTTGGAATAATAAATGTGTAGAGACCTAGGAATAATATGGACAAATCCTATTTAATAGTCATGCTGTTGCATAATAGTTTCAATTTATAACAAGTGACATGTGCACAGGACCGCACTAAGAGAATGAATATCCCTGCAACTCAAACTTATAGCAACTCGAAGGAAACAGGGAAAACAAACTACAATGAATGGTTCAATGGGATGATAATTCAGATGCAAGCAGTTGACTAGAAATTTAATAAGCAAATCTAATAAGAGGGTCTTAAACTACCTAGCATGAACCATGCAACATAACAGATTCAGTCTTCAAGAACATTTTTCCTTTCTTAAAACCATTGGAACATTGGAACAGAGGGGACATGTAATGAGACGAAAACAGACTACAATAAGAAGCTTTTAACATTTGGCTACAGAGAAACAGTATTGATTCACGGGTGCAAGAAATTACCAGGAAAAAACGGTAAAGAATAAGAACATTTGAAATCATGAATTGCAAAGATTGATAACTTACTAAGCGGGCAATCATCTCCAGGGAGTTTACAATCAGGACAGCATCCATCAAAGGCCATCCTACATATCCCACATGTTTCGTCCTGGGCATCCCAAGTCCATGAACCAACAGCATGCCACCTATGAGTCACAAAAGAGACAAAATTATGCCTCTCACAAGATGAAAAACAGAAATAACACGATGGCCAACTAACATTGAATTAGTTTTGTAGACAGTAAAATAAGCTAAATCATGAAATTAAACCCAGCAGAGGTTTTGAATCCTTCAAAACCCTTTTTTTAAAAAAAAAAACAAAGAAAAAAAGAAACTTTAAGATTGCATAGCCTATATTATATAAATGATCATTATCAGCTTTAACAGAAAAAAGATGGCAGGAGATAAAGAGGCCATACTCTGTTAGAAAATCCAGTGCATATTCGAGAAGACAATGAGTCAAGGAAAACTATATTTTCAAAAATCAGGGTAGGAAGTTAATTCCATGGCATAAATATTCATCCCAAATGCTAACAAATAACAACAGAAAAACCTTTACTTTACAGAAGATTTCTAAAATTTATTCCCAAGATAAATGTCGTATTTCAATATAAACCTTCATCATTTCTCAAACATTGTTATTCAAAAAAAAAAAAAAAGTGCCCTTTACTGCTAGAAAATCTTATAATTTTGGATTTGAGCTGCAAAACTACAATGAATGACAAAGGAATGCCATTTCTCAAGGTCATCAAATTTATCTATAAAAATTAATACATAGTTCACTAAAACCCCAAAAGCAGCAAGCCACAAACTTTTTCAATCTAAAAAAAACCCATTAAAAAAAAAAATCAACGACAAAAATTTAATCAACATATTGACCAAAAAAAGAAGGATACGTAGCAGCTTCACTTTCATTGTCTTTCTCCTGCAAAACCAAATTTTATGACATTA